TCATTTCTTACAACCTAATCCATATCAACATTGACTCATCATTTTTAAGCAATCTACACCATCTAATTAATATTATTAACTAATAAAAACTTATATAGTAATATTAGGAATTGTGACTCTTGAAACTACCAAGGGCTATCAACTTTTTTTCTCATTACATACTAAAACAATAATGATTTCATAAAACTATTGTGTTAGTGATAGAATACTAAAAATATAAGTGGCCTAATTATAATTTACAGAAAGATTAAAATATAATTGTTCCACCCACGAGATACAAGTGAAATCAGTAGCAGGATAAGTCTTAGTTCAATACTTATAAACTTTACTCCGTTTATGTCTTATTATAATTTACACATACAAATTAAGAATGACAACGAAATAGGTCTAAGAACGAGCAATTCTCAGTTTTTAACTGAAAATTGTATTAAACTGATTTATTTTGATTGACAGATAATAATTTTAGATTAACCCAGAAGACAAAGGCATTGTTGAGTCATATCCTTCTCTTGTCCCACACTCTTAGTGGAGACTTTCCATGTCTATCAAATCAAAATTAGGACGCTTCCTATTATCCTATCACTGCAATTTAGCAACGGTCATTAAAGAGAGGATTTGCAGCTTCGATTTGCTGCGTGCAATTTAATTATGATAATTGTAGTAACTTTAAGTCTCCATCAATTTTAATCAAGTATGTTTTTTATGCTTTTATTAAAATGGACATAATTAAGCTAAGCAACGTGTTGGATTCGGAGAAGAGATCAATCCTTTCATTGTATATTTTGCATATCATACAATAATAATAATTTCAACAATGCAGCGTAAGCTAATAGATTTTAATTCAAATTTTCTCCGTAATATTTAAAAAAATAATTTCAACAATGGCTGATTATTCATTGGAAGCTGATATTCATACGTGATAGGAAATGTAACATACAATTAATGTGCAATAGATTTAATTTATTTTCTTCTCAAATAAATTAACTTCATGAAACGCAAGTCAAATTGGAATTTGGAACCCTAACATTTAGTATAACGAAATGGACATTCCAACTATTAGACCACTAGTCTAATTACTTGCAAGTCAATACATAATAAGCAGCCATCTCCAAATCCAATAACATCTTTAGGAAAATTTTCGAAATATATCTTTCAATTATTTATTTATTTTTTCTAAGTTTATTAAAAATCACAAAATGCATATAATTTTTAAAATTTTATCTTAATTAAGCACCGACAAAGTTGACAACTCAAATGCCATTGGTCAAAACCCAATTGTAAATACATGAATTATAATTAGGTGCAAGGATTCTTTTTATTTCCTTATAATTAAAGAAATGAAGCAGAAACGTAGAAAGTGAAAAATGGCCAATGATTCATCACCACTGAAACAAGAATAAAGCATCAAGTGAAATTTGACTTTGAAAAGCAAGAGCTTCCCTCTTTAATCTGTCATCTTTTATCTAATTAAAAGTCTAAACAGTCTTTTGCTCAATATTTAACCATTTAGTTACTTTTAAATGATAGATAATAGATAATGAGAGGGGTGTGTGTGTTTTTTATTTGTCCTTGCTATTTGTCAACTTGGCTACTCTTCTCACATTAGTAATTTTTAATTTTTATACTTTTTACCTAGCTTTTAATCAAATGCACTCAAAATTGAGAGAAAAGATAAAAAAAAAAAAAAAAAAAATCCAATAACCATCTTTAGGAAAATTTTCCGAAAAATATATCTTTCAATTATTTATTTAATTTTTTCTAAGTTTATTAAAATCAGCAAAATGCATAATAATTTTTAAAAATTTTATCCTAATTAAGCACCGACAAAAGTTGACAACTCAAAATGCCATTGGTCAAAACCCAATTGTAAATACATGAATTTTAAATTAGGTGCAAGGATTCTTTTTATTTCCTTATAATTAAAGAAATGAAGCAGAAACGTAGAAAGTGAAAAATGGCCCAATGATTCCAATCACCACTGAAACAAGAATTAAAGCATCAAGTGAATTTGAACTTGAAAAGCAAGAGCTTCCCTCTTTAATCTGTCATCTTTTATCTAATTAAAAGTCTAAACAGTCTTTGCTCCAATATTTAACCATTTAGTTACTTTTAAATGATAGATAAAGAATAATTGGAAGAGGGGTGTGTGTGTTTTTTTATTTTGTCCTTGCTATTTGTCAACTTGGCTTACTCTTCTCACATTAGTAATTTTTAAAAATTTTATTATACCTTTTTACCTACGCTTTAATCAAATGCACTCAAAAATTGAGAAGAAAAGATAAAAAAAAAAAAAAGATAAAAAAAAAAAAAAAAAAGCTGATCATCTTTCTATCTTTTCCCATTTCTTTTGGTTAAAAAAATAAAACACTATTCTTCAGAAAGCACAGCTATCAAGTATTTTTGACTTTAAACTTTAGCCGATCTCTTTGTATTTACCTAAACGTTACAAGAATTTAATCATGACTCTGTATATTTATATTTTATTTTATAAGAGATATAGTTATTATTGAAATGTGAAGTATAAAATCGTGATGGGTCTTTCACGAATTTTAGGGGACCATAAAAATAATCGTACAAGATCAAAGTTATGGATTAGACATTTTATTTATTTATTTATTTAGTATTTTTTTACACTAACTAAAGAGAAATCAACTTTAATTACTGATGTGATCCTTTAGGGTAATAAAGGATTCTCATATCCCTTTGTTAGATTTGCCTAACCTTCTTCATGTCTCAACCCTTGAAAGCTCTATTAGATTGTTTTAATTAAGTCTATGTTGCAATGCAAGGACATACACTTTTGAATAGGCTTAGGAGCTTAGGAATTTAGGAATTTCATTCTCTAGCTTGCTTAATTGCAAATAACACTAACAAACACATGCAAAATTAATAATGTCACCATCACAACTAATTCTACTTTTAAATTATATCTTAACTTTCAATTAATGAATTTCTTTATCTTGCCTAGCTAATTAACAATAACAATAAGGGATTTATATATATAAATAGATAAGTTCACCCACTAATCCAAATAATAATAATCAATATTATCACTATAAAAAGTATACTCTTTTGAAACATTTCTCTGAATTATTTAATGTGAAGGTGAAGCACCCAATTTATTGAAAATTCTAATTGGTGGAGAGCCAGCATGCTCAGCCATTAGGGATGGATTGCTTAATTAATTAAATTAATAATTTGGGATTAGATGGATGTGTGATTAGGTCATGGAAATGCAATAATGGCAAAAGCAAAGTTATCAATTAGGAAATTTTATTTTTCTCCCTTAAATATATATATATATATATATATATAATATATAAATATATATATATATATATGACAAGTCAGAAGCATTCAAGTTGGATTTGCCTAAATATATATATATATATATATATATGCAAGTCAGAAGCCAATTCAAGTTGGACTTTGCTATAGGCTGAAACAATGAAATTTGTATTACAATGGGAAACCAGTCATTTTCCACTCATTAGACTTTCTTTTCATGGCACTAAAAGTGTCACATACGCACACTTTATTTACAATATCTAACAGCATTTTTGAATTTTGAAAGACCCTCGTTATATATTTTTCTTTGAATTTTCTTTAAATTATGTTTTTTCTTTGTTACTCCGTGATCAACATTTTTTTAAAAATTAATTAAAAATTTAATATGGTTACAAATGCCAAAAAATTAATAAAAGAATGTCATTTTTATCAAAAAATATATTAAACACATATTATTACTTCATTCACAAGAGGTTCATTTGATTTGAAAAAATAACAATTGTATGTTGAATTGACAAAAAGAAAAAAAAAAAAAGGAAAAAAAACTTTAATAGTGAGTTGTGAATTTGCGGGTTGGGCTTCTGCACTAAACAGAACAATCGAAGTTGCTTTGGCCCAATATAAACAGAAAAGGAATTGGGCCACAGACCAGATAAGCTTTCAATTCAGGGAGGGAGAGAGAGAGAGAGAATTTATTTATTTTTTTTGAGGACCAGTAAAGTGGAATTAATGGCTCTTTGACCTCAGTAATTGTTGACATAATAAAATTTTCCCGTACGGTTAGACGACAACGTAAATTTTAAACGACACTATATTCCATACCGGCCACCTAAATCAAGCCGGCAAACTTTTTTAAATGAAAATCAAATTGAATCAAATAGTGTAAAAAACTAAGTTGAATTAAATCATATAATTTTGTTTAATTTTAGTTATCTTTGGGTAAATTTAAACTTATTTTTTGAATTTAGAAATCATATCAAAGTGAAAAAAATTTTCATTCTCTACATATTAGAATCGATGTAATACTTTTGACATTAGTTTGTTAAAAATGACCGTGGATCAGATTTAGGTTAGATTTTATAAATATATGTATCTGCTAACAATTAATATTTGTTTGTATGAGATTCGAATTTAAATTTGTGCCAATTTAATATATAAGGAAAAAAAAAAAACTAATCAGATCATGCAGTTATTTTACATTTTAACAGTAATTTTTATGAATAACTAAATTGTCCTAAGTTCTCTTTCTTGATTCATACGAAGACTAGATAATTTACAAATGAACAATAATTCATATTTATGATCTAGATTTAGCTCTAAATTTTGAACGCATGAATCAATAAAATAGAAAGTGAATTCGTTCATCAATTAAAATGATTTAAACCCTAAATCTTAAATCTCAAAATCAACTCGATCCATGCTGAGCACTTGGTAGCTCCTAATAATAACGTGCAATTTATTGCTTAGTACTATTGAAGATCGATCCTCATCAAGCAGTAGCACAACTAACACGGACAAAAAAAGAAACAGAAAATGCAAATTTGTCGAGTAGTTCATGATGATAAGAAAACATATCATAGAACTGTAGCTAAGACATTTCACTTTCACAAGTACTACACGAGAAAAAAACATTAACCAAGAAAAAAGATCATTAATGGCAACTACTGTTGCCTTCTTCATCATTGTTATTCCGATTCTTGAAGGAAAAAACAATAACAACAAGAAGAAAAAAAAAAAAACTAGCTCATCTCCATTAATCGAGGAGAAAAATGAAAAATTAAAGAAGGCCATGATTAGTTTCTTTCGAAGAAAAAGTTTTGATTCTTGGAGTGTTCGTTTCTGATGATATCACTGACTCATACCAAATGGGTCAGGCATGCAAAAACTGAACATTACTTCTAAAAAAGGTAATAATCCGTGCTCAAAATTTTTACTTATTGTGGCAACCATTTGCTAGTTTTAGCAAAACATAAGAGCGTGAGAGAGATGGAGAGTAACAGTGGCGAGATTAGTTGTGATAATAGTACTGAGAGGCACAAGAGTATAGAAGAGGAGGAAGAACAAGAAGAAGAAGAAGGTGAAGAGATCCTCAAGAGAAGAATATTAGGGCATCCTTTATATTCTCTTTTGGTTGAGACACATATCAATTGTCTCAAGGTAATAATTAACTTCATGAAACCTCATTAAGTCTTATTAGCTTACGAGTGATTGGTATAGATTTATTTGAAAATTTCAGTTAAACGCAAAAACATTCATGCTTAATTGGTTTAGGGAGAATAAAAACAAGAAATTAGGGTTTTTCGTTTTTTCTTTTTCTATAAAATTTACATACCTTATCTTTTACATGTACTTAATGTTTCTATATAATAGAGAGATATTGGTGTATTATTATTATTATTATTATTTATGTGCGAATAATTAGATCAGTTTGTAAATTGTATGTTTTTCTGCACATATTTTTTTGTTGGAGATTAATATTTTTTTCAGAATTTATGATTTTCTCTCTATATAAGTACATTTTATCAATTCTTTAACCCTACCGAAGTCATCTGGCTTAATTCAAATATTACCTTAAGCAACTTATTATGGGTAATTAACCGTCATTTACAATGAAAAAATCAACATATATACAACTACAGTTTTTATTTTATTAGAAATGTGAGATAATATGCGCATGAGTTATATATATATATATATATATATAATATAACAACTACAGTTTTTATTTTATTAAAATGTGAGATAATATGCGCCATGAGTTATATATATATATATATATATATATATATATATATATATGATATACCTCTAATCGATTAATATTGATGATGATACATATATAGGTGGGTATAGGTGCAAATGTAGATGATGATAAAGGGAATGCGACAAAAAAAGCAAAATTAATGCTTGAAACTCACAAACCCAGCACCTCAGACCTCGATCTCTTCATGGTAAGCTATATTATGTATATGTATATATATATATCCACTACAGTAAAGCAAGTATATTAGGAAAGAACAAGTAAGGATACACCTTCATCACATGATACTGACATCATGACATGACTGCTCATGTATTAATTTCTGCAGGAAGCATACTACCTAATATTGAAAAAGCTGAAAGAAGCAATGGAAGAACCATTGGAAGGGGCAACGTCTTTCATCAATGACATGTACAAGCAACTGAGAGAGATGAATGAGAACCACACCGAAAATTCAAAACCCGACTCCTCTGCTTAATTAAAAGCTATATATATGCCCCATATAGTTAGTTATATCTACAGCAACACATCGACTATTGATGATGAAAGTCTATATATAATGGTGGCTTAACAACCCCTTGTAACTAATAATCCTAGTACTTACTAATATGAATCTTTACATCTATCTATATTTAAATTTAAATTCAATACAAATAATATTAAAAAAATAAGTCTAGGACTTTTATACTTTTCATTTCACGAAAATAATTATATTATTCTACTAAAGTTGAACAAGAATATTATATTTTATATTTTTTGTATTTCGGCCATATTTGAACAATAAATTATCTTGGGTGAACCCAGGCAGAGATAAAAACCCTAGTCTTGATTATAAGCGGTAACCCAAGTTGATTTTGGGTTCGAGGCAACGAGGCCCGCCTTGTGAATGAATGTTAATCAAACTTCATAAGCTTCTCAGTCAACGCATGTTGCTTTTGTCTGTGAACGAAGAGCTCATGGCCCTAACCGCTACCAACTATACTATTACAGAAGGATTGCGCTTTATCTTGTAGGCAAAGGAAAGAATTGCCAGTAAGAAAAATGCAAGTATTATAATTTTATTTTAGGGATGATAGTAATAAAACACCATCTATCATCTAATCTGCAACAAACAAAATCTAAATAGCTATGCAAAATGATAATAAATTTCAGTGGAGACGCCTACATAGAGTAACACCATCGCCAATAGAAACTTGCGAGAACTCTACACGTTGATCCCGAGACAGGTAGTCATTGAGTTCCTGTATAGCCTTTGTTGAGTCCCTGAAAAGCTCTGGAACTTCATTTTCTTCTTGAGCAACAAATCCAAACCATAGGGTGTTATCATAAGCAATTATTCCTCCAATCTTAACTAATTTCAACAATTGCTCATGGTAATTTTTGTAATTGGGAGCATCTACAAATGCCATGTCAAATTCTTCTTTCTCCTTTTCCTGTTGTTTATATATACAATGAAAAAAACAAAATAAATAAAATCCAAATATATAGATATATATTAGGCTAAAACTTTATGAAAGTTGCATACATTGTTTAACATTTCACTTAATACTGAAATAGCATTAGAGTGAATGAAATTGATTTTGTGCTCGACGCCAGCCTTACGAATGAATGGTAATCCAAATTCATAAGCTTCTTGATCAATGTCTATTGCTTTTATCTGTTCACAAAATTTCTCAGCAGGCACAAGGTTACTTCTTCGTTAAAAAGAGAAACAAAAAGGCACTATATACGTATAATGCAGAAGAGTAGATACAATCTTCAAAATGAAATTAGTCCCATACTAAAAAAGGGCGGAAACAGGATAAGAAAAGAACATAAATTACCCGGCCATCATGAGGCAACGCAAGGGCAATTGAAAGAAGAGAATAGCCAGTAAAAACACCAATCTCTAATGTCCTTTTCGCGTTCATCATCTTCACAATCATTGATAGGAACTGCGCTTCATCAACTGGCACTGCCATTATGCTCCTGCAACAAGTAAATTTTTTGAAACATTTATAAACTTTTCTAATATTTATGGATCTATATAGTAATTACTTACAAGTTTCCATATTTCTTCTCCGTAGCTTTTCGTAAATTCTTGAGTTCCTGTTGCTCTCTAGGACATGCACTTGTTTCATAGATATACTGTAGCAAAATTAATTGCTTCGTTATAATTAATTGAACAGAGATAAAAAGAAAGAAAACAAATTAAACAGAGTTCCGACCTGTTTCTTTTATATATACAAACCTTCAATAGAGCTTCGCTCTGAAGGATTCCTTTACGAGGTAAACTGTGCGCCATGCCTGACTTCGTCCTTTTCTTCTTCTTTTATCTTTAATTATAAAACTAGTTTTTTTACATCTTTTTGCAATAGCACCGCGTGTCGTCTGCATGCACAAATAAAGACAAATGAAACCCGCCACATGTGAATGAATGGAGATACCCATGTGGGTATGGAATTCTCATTGAAAAGACCTCTTCTTGAAAGGGAAATAATCATCTCATATGAGTTGCTCAGATGCTTATTAGGTACTAAGGTTAGGAAATTATCTAGAACCCTTCTAGGAACGGACTTATTCAGTCAGATCGTGCCGGGGTTTTTTTTTTATAGGTAATTTAATTATTTTATTAATTTTTATATATTCAGAAAAAATTTAACATTTTCAGATATCTGATCCCGAGTTAATAGACTTACTCCGAACAAATTCAACATAACCTGAAAATGTTACGTAAAAAATAATCTGAAAACTAAAAGAGTACAAAATTCATAATAGATAACTATTTCTTCTCTTAAAATAAGAGAATAAATAGTTGAAATAAACCAAATCCAAAAACTTCATATCCAAGTCAAAAAATCACTCTGCGCATAAACTCCCTTTTTAGCCAACACATCAGCAAAATTATTCTTGCTTCTTTTGATAAGATAAAAAATAATGTGTACTAAAGATGAGATCAAACAATCCAACCTGGTAAATTTTTTTCACCAATGCCACGATGTATTATTTGTGTTCAACATCCAATCAATCACATTCTTGAATCAGACTCACTAGTAAGGGGAAAGAATTTATATGCGAGGAAGAGAAGACTTCGATTGCAAAGGATTGTCAGAAATTCTGCTTCATCTGAATCTGCAACACCCACTGATTTGTAGAATATACATAACACTTGACCATGGGAGTTTCTAAGAACACCATCAAGTCCTGTAGGGCCTGACTTTCCAATGGATGATCCATCAACATTGAATTTTAAAGATCCATCGGGTGGATTATCCCAATCTGTACAGGGGAGGGGTCTAATATTGTTGGAAATAGTATTTCCTATATTAGTACACACTAAAAACTGAAAAGAAACTCCAATTTGAGAATGAAGCTATAAGATAGATCGAAATTTAGCTCTTAATAACTTAAAACTTTTCCTTTTTACAGTTTCTAAAACCTGAGCTGAATCCATTCTTTCATTCGAAAAAATAAACTTGTTCCTTCTCATCCATATAGTAACAAAAAATAGCGCATTCCAAATCAAGTTTGCTCTTGTCAATAATAAAAAGCTTTCCCAATGCCAACCAAGATTAAGTAAACTGCAAGAAAACACACTTGATACACCCCACGAGTTAAGAATCATGATCCAAACCTCTCTAGCAAAGAAACATGTTAGTAAGCAATGATCCGTGATCTCGATCTACTTCATTGTTGCACAAGGGGCCAAAGCAATCTCTAATATATTGAATAACATTCGGAATGAACAAGTTTTGTTTATAAGGAATCTTATTTAAAAAACATTTCCAAATAGAAATAGAAATTTTTGATGGGATGAATGAAGACCAAATAAGTTTTTGATTATAATTGACTTCCACCTCACCAACCTCTTTTTCTTCCAAAATAAGATTGAAATTTTTCGCATAGAATTGCTTGCTTTTATTAAAGGACCAAAACATTTTGTGTGATGCATTCATATTCAAAGAAATACCTGCCAATTCAGAAGAAAATTGAGACCAAGTTTCCTCCTCGAAACTTCTAAGCTCTTTAATCCAGTTCACTTACCAAACCCAATTACTTTCCATGAAGTAACCATTTTCACACACAAGGGACTTTTTATTTGCAGCTAAACAAAAAAGTCTAGGGTAAATGGCTCTAATTGGGATATCAAATAACCAAAGTCTAACCAGAAATGTATTTGACACCCGTTTCCAATTAGCCATCTAAAACCACATTTTAAAATATCTAAAACAGGAGAAAAAAATATTACCAATTGAAACTATATCTCACTAGATAGGTGAAAGTTTCCTCCAAAGTATAACATCTGGATTTGCAAACGGAGATGCTTCATTGCCATATTTCGCAATAAGAATGTTTTTCCAAAGAAAACCTCTCTCTGGTTTAAACCTCTACCACCGTTTACCTAGCAAAGTTACGTTTTTTTCTTTTGATTGAAGTAATCCCCAAACCTCCATATTTTGTATTTCTAGCAATAGAATGCCAAGCCACCCAATTTAGTGGTTATTCAGTGGTGTCGAATCCTCGCTTTCTCTTTACCCTAACCTGTGGATGGGCATAGCCCCACCAAAAGTTGAACTTTTGTTCTGGCTCATTCTTCGGAATGGTATTAACACTAAAGACAATCTGGTTAGGAAGGTTATTCTTTCGAAAGATGCTTGTTTTTGCTCTTTTTGTAATCACGTTCTTGAGTCACCCAGTCACCTTTTCGGCTTGAAAATTGTGGTGCAAGTGTTTATCGTGGTGGGGAATCTCTTTTTGTACCTCTAGCAGTCTTAAAGATCATTTTGGTCATTGGTCGTTTTCGCTCGGGGTCGGGGTTGGTTCCAATCTAGATTCTGGTGGGCAACCTTCTATTCTGTGATTTGGACTCTTTGGAAGGAAAGGAATGAATCCACTTTTAGGAATTCCTGTTTGATGAAGAAAGACTTTTTGATCTGTTGTTGTACAGAGCTTGTGCATGGATCAAAGCACCGTTCCCGATTTTCCTTGCACTTTAAATCAAGTAATCTCTACTACTTCCTCTATTTACCATTGGAGAATCTCTAAACCAACCAGATCTTTAGTTAATTGGCTTCCTCCTACTAAATATTATCTGAAATGGAATGTTGCTGTACTGGGCACCAACAGCTCAGGTTCTAATCATTACCAATTAATATTACAGACGGATTGTGCTTTATCTTGTAGGCGAAAGAAAGAATTGGCAGTAAAAACAATGCAAGTATTATAATTTTATTTTAGGGATGAAAATAATAAAACACCATCTATCATCTCATCTCCAACAAACAAAATCTAAATAGCAATGCAACATGGTAGTAAATTTTCAATATAGACGCCTACATAAAGTAACACCATCACCAATTGAAACTTGTGAGATCTCTACACGTTGATCCTGAGATAGGTAGTCGTTCATCTCCAGTATACACTTTCTTGTATCCCTGAAAGGCTCTGGAACTGCATTTTCTTCTTGAGCAACAAATCCATACCATAAGGTGTTATCGTAAGCAATTATTCCTCCAATCTTAACTAATTTCAGCAATTGCTCATGGTAATTTTTGTAATTGTGCTTATCAGCATCTACAAATGCCATGTCAAATTCTTCTTTCTCCTGTTCCTGTTGTAAATATACAGAAAAAAAACACTAAAACAAATAAAATCCTAATGTAGATATATTTAGGCAAAACATTTTATGAAAGTATGCATACATTGTTTAACATTTCACTTAATACTGAAATAGCATTAGAGTGAATGAAATTGATTTTGTGCTCAACGCCTGCCTTGCGAATGAATGGTAATCCAAATTCATAAGCTTCTTGATCAATGTCTATTGCTGTTATCTGTTCACAAAATTTTTCAGCAGACCAAGGTTAATTCTTCATTTAAAAGGGAGGGAGAAAAAAAAAAGCCAGGTTTATGCAGAACTGTAGATAGGAACTCCAAAATGAATTAGTCCCATACCAAAAAAAGGCGAAAAAAAGTAAGAAGAGTATATAAATTACTCGGCCGTCATGAGGCAAGGCAAGAGCAGTTGAAAGAAGAGAATAGCCAGTAAAAACACCAATCTCTATTGTCCTTTTCGCGTTCATCATCTTCACAAGCATTGATAGGAACTGCCCTTCATCAGCTGGTACTGACATTAAGCTCCTACAATTCAAATTTTTTCAAACATTTGTAAACTTTTCTAATATTTATTGATCATATATATAGTAATTACTTACAGGTTTCCATATTTGTTCTCTGTAGCTTTTCGTAAATTCTTGAGTTCCTCGTGCTCTCTTGGATATACACTTTTTTCATAGATATACTGTAACAAAATTTCATAACTTTCAAAAAACATTCAATGGACATAATTCGAGTGCTTAATGTCTTTTTCTCTAGATATACAAGTAACTAATGCAATTTAAAATGCTTAATTGCTGCGGTGAAGATAAATAATTAATTGCTTCGCAATTATTAATTGAGCAGAGATAAAAAGGAAGAAAATAAATCAGAGATCAACCGACGAAACAAACTTTCTTATATATATATATATATATAAACCTTCAAGAGAGCTTCGCTCTGGAGGATTCCTTTACGAGGTAAACTATACGCCATGCCTGACGACTTCTTCTTCTTCCTCTTCTTCTTCTTCTTCTTCTTTTAACTTTGATTTTAAATCTAGTTTTGTATCTCTTTTGCATTAACACCGCGTGTCGTCTGCATGCGCAAATAAAGGAAAATGAAATCCGCCACATGTGAAAGAATGCAGCTCACGCCAAACGCCAAAATTGGTAAAGTGTACAACACAGAAAACCTGAATTCGGTTGGAGTGGGGCCTCCAAATTTCAATTCGCGTCAAGGCGGAAATACCCATCACCTCCTCTTCTCTATTCATGGAGAGTGTTAAGCCGGATTATGTTTTTTTAAAATTTGTAACGGATAATTTTATACAGTAAATTATATCAAATATAGACATAAATATGAATAATATAAAAAAATTCAATTTTTTTATTATCTGATATATCTTCTTTAAAATGAGTTTTTAAAAATTTCATATAATTTTTTTATTCCAAAACAAACTAAAAGAATGAAAAAAATGAAATAAGTTATATGATAATATAAAGTAACAAGAATAGTTTAGATAGCTCACTATAATAAATTATTAAAAAATCATTGATTCAAAAATTTGACTGGTAAAAAATATAATTTGAAAGGCTGAAATAGTAAAATAGATAAAATTTAGACAGTAAATTCATAATTATCCATTTGTGTCCAATTGATCTTGGACTGCCACAAATTTTGTATGGTTAAAATAAATTATAATTTTCATTTTAATCGGACCTAGCAATTGGCAATATTATTCTTTTATTTACAAATAAATCAAATCAAGTTGGTATAATTATACTCCGCTTGATCCTCAATTTGATGGATCTACCGTATTCAGATTATAGTTATTAAAATCCGAATTTAGATCATATAATTTTGTAGTTTTACTATGAAATTTAATTAATTAATTTAATGTTAGAAAGAATTTTTTCTCTATTAGAATTATAAAATCTTCACAAACCAGAGAATAATAACAACTTGAGCTCAAGATCATTAGGATCGTATAAAATCTTATAAGATTGCCGTTGAATTAGGATTGTACGTAATTAAAGTTGACCACTTTTCCAAAATGGTATTTAAAAATTATTTGCATCAATGGTGTTGTTCTGAATTGTTACACTGTGGCAATTTATGTATCTTAACAAATGAATTGTTACACTGGCAATTTTTTAAGACTGTCTGACTCTCTTTAAATAGTGGTTCCGTTTTTTTTTTTTTTTTTTTGGCAACTTTATGTATCTTTAACAACATGAATTGTTTACACTGGCAATTTTTTAAGAACTGTCTGACTCTCTTTAAAATTAAGTGGTTCCTTTCTTTTTTTTTTTTTTTTTTCCCTGCTATTAGCAGCAAGCAGGGTTAAAATAGAAAAATAAAATTGAACAAAACCAATCTAATTTAATTTTTCATTTCGGCTATTGAAGTTGATGGATTTGATTTATCTTAAGGTTTTAGATAATTTTAATTTTTAATTTTTAATTCGGTTATAAAAAATAAGTTCAATTCGCTAAAAAATATTTGTACATTCATATACCGGATCATAATATATATCATCTTTATTTTACAATCAACGAATTCTATTTCCATTGCAAGTATTTATTGCTGAAAATCAACGAAATCCAATGCTATTTATAATTTTATTTTATGGATAATAATAACAAAACACCATCTATCATGTCAAATGTAATAAACAAACTTTAAATAGCAATGCAAAATGATATTAAATTCTCAATAGAGACGCCTACAGAGAGTAACACCGTCGCCAATAGAAACTTGCGAGATCTCTACACGTTGATCCCGAGACAGGTAGTCATTGAGTTCCTGTATAGCTTTTGTCCAGTCCCTGAAAGGCTCTGGAACTTCATTTTCTTCTTGAGCTACAAACCCATGCCATAAGGTGTTATCATAAGCAATTATCCCTCCAACCTTAACTAATTTCAACAACTGCTCATGGTAATTTTTGTAATTGTGCTTATCTGCATCTACAAATGCTATGTCAAATTCTTCTCTCTCATCTCATGGTAATTTTTGTAATTGTGCTTATCTGCATCTACAAATGCTATGTCAAATTCTTCTCTCTCATTTTCCTGTTGTGTAAGACCAAAAACAAAATAAATAAATTCCTAATATAGATGTAATTAGGCTAAAATTTTCTGGAGTATGCTTACGTACATTGTTTAGCATTTTGGTTAATACGGAAATAGCATCAGATTGAATGAAATTTATTTTGTGCTCGACGCCTGCCTTGCGGATGAATGGTGCTCCAACTTCATAAGCTTCTTTATCAATGTCTATAGCTGTTATCTGTTCACAAAATTTCTCAGCAGATCAAGGTTTTTTCACTAAAAGTAGAAAAAGAAAAGATAAAAGTAATAAGAGTATATAAATTACCCGGCCATCATGAGGCAAGGCAAGTGCAGTTGAAAGAAGAGAATAGCCAGTAAAAACACCGATCTCTATCGTCCTTTTGGCGTTCATAATCTTAACAAGCATTGATAGGAATTGCCCTTCATCAGCTGGTACTGACATTATGCTCCTGCAATCGGAATTTTCAAAAAAATTAGAAACTGTTCTAATATTTATGGAATATATGGAAATTAATTACTTACCTGTTTCCATATTTGTTCTCAGTAGCTTTTCGTAAATTCTTGAGTTCCTCGTGCTCTCTTGGATATGCACTTGTTTCATAGATATACTGTAACAAAATTTCTAAACTTTTAAAACATTAAAAAAACATAATTCGAGTTCTTAATATCTTTTTCTCTGTGGTGAGTATTAGTAATTAATTCCTTCGCAGAGATAAAAAAGAAGAAAAAGAAAAAAGAGAACCAATGGAAACACATATATAGTTCTCAAGGAGAGAAATTGCAGGGTTGAGAAATATATTATATACGAATGACCTTCTTCAGAGCTTCGCTCTGCAGGATTCCTTCAGGAGGTAAAACATTCGCCATGCCTCACTTTCTTCTTCTTCTCACTTTAACAAAAATGCAGGCAATTAATATATATTGGAATGTTCCTAATGATTTACTGAGTGGTGTGAAGCTTATGTGATATATTTATTGATAGTAGAGTGTTTTCCTAAAAGTCAGGTTTAAATCTCAACAAACATTTTCTTATTTTTTTTTCATTGGAATTTCATTTTTTTTTTCTGAAATATTATGATTATAATTTATTTAAACAGATAAAGTACTTATCTAATTTTTTTTATCGATAAATTTATATTTTTTTTATCTTTTCATAAATTTAAATTCAAATATAAAATTTCCGAAAACAAATTCAAATATAATTTAATTTTTTTTTTTTTTTTGAAAAGGCACTAACAATATTATTAATGAATCATCTCAGCAATTTAGAGAGAGATACAAATCTGAGTAGAGTTATAAGAATAAACTGTTATTTGTGGTTTTAAGGTTTAATCAAATAAATCATTTAAATTTTTAATAGGAAGTAAAAGTGACTAATTTTGTGTCTGTTGAGATACAACGAGATTTATGACATCATATATATATATTTTTTGATATTGTTCTTATTCTTTTTTTTTTTTTTTTTTTTTTTTTTTTTTTTTTTGAAATGGTTGTTATTCAAATTTAAGCAATTAATAGAGGCAAAATTTACGTTTTTTTCAAAAAAATTAAAATTAAAATTTTAAATTTTAAATTTTAAATTGAGAAATTATTTTCTTTTTTTTAAAAAAAAAACAGTTTAGAACAAATCATTCTCACATTGTAAAATCTGCCAAGGAATCAAGAAGAAGAAAAAGAGTCAGTAAATGACAACGGCTAACTGAGAAAACTGAGAGATTGTTTCATTGTTTGCGAGAATACTTAGATTTTGAGAAAATTAAAATTCTACCAATATATATATACTATATTATATATATATAGGCGAATTTCTACTAATCATATGAATAAACATTTAAATTTTAAAACTTTTACTTATATATATATATATATATAGGAAATTTCTACTAATATATGAATAAACATTTTAAATTTTAAACTTTTACTTACTCTTGAGCCAAAATCACATTAATTTAAAAAATTATTAAATAACTGCTTTTTAAATATTAAGAAAAAATAATAAGTAATCTAAAAGAAGAATAAATAATTTTTAAATAGCTGTAACGGCTTTGCTTAAAAATTTGAACTATTTTTTTTTTCTAAAAGAAAATTCACATAATATCTTTTTGCAGTTTCCTACTGATCCATGCACAAATACAAGTAGATAAAAAGCGTGCAGGATTCCTTGCAAATTGAACCTTTTCTTGAGAAATATTATTGTGAATCCTAGTGAAACAAATTGCTCTTATATTCATTGGTTAAGACGAAATAAAGCAGTTCTTTCAGCTGAAATTGTAGATGCTTTGAAATGCTTTGCCTATCGTTGAAATTATTAAATTTAAGAATAGAAATTTGCATACCAATTTTTCAGATTGGGCTTCGTTTCCCCTTATTGTTTATGACAGTTTGCATGGTCCAAATGGGAATTTGCATCCTGATCATGATTTGATTGGTTGCGTTACACCTTTGCCTGGTTTTTTCAAATTTAATGGAGATGGTTCAGCACTTGGTGAACTGGGTCCAAGTATGAATGGGTGTTTTGAAAAATTCATTAGGTGAAGTTTGTCTGCATTCTATAAAAAAGTTGAAATTTTGGATTCTAATGAAGTTGAGATTCTTGCCACTTTTGAAGCTATTCAAAATTTTGCTTCTTCTGTACTGGATGTTACATGAAAATAAGCGACTCTGGACATGGTAAAAAAGTTTTAATAAAATGGAAGCTCTCGATTATTTATAGTTATTTTTATTTCGTGTTTACTTAATTGTAAGTGAGTTTTTTAAAGTTATTTTACATCTCTTTTTCTTCTCCATGGAAAAGGAGAGGTTTCCAAGATCAAGTTGTATTGTTTTTGTCAGGTTTTTATTTAATATTTCCAGGCTAGTTATGGGTATATTAAGGAAGCCTATTGGCTTGGAATAATTTTTTCTGATTTTTTAAATTCTAATAAAATTTTGTTGCTGAAAAGAAAAAATGATAAAAAAGATAACCTCACGAGGACACGGAGACGGGATGGGTTCCCCAAATTTCAATTCAGCTTCTTCCAACTTCCATAAAAGCATGGGAGGTGTCGGTGGCTCCCCATTATTTGTGTTAGTATAATTATAAACTCACTCCCCTGAAAAGATAAATTTATCTCATATTGAAAATATATAAGATCACAAAACCTATATCATTTTATATAGGTAACCCTAATTCATATAAACTCAAATTATTGAATGAATTATTAATTGAATTTGATAAATTACCCTTAGGGCGCAAATTTAACAATTTATGTATATTTTAGCAAATTTTTTTGTCGAAATATTAAAATGAATAATTTTAATTCATACATAAGTTGCAGTCCACTAATAAATCCATAGAGCCAACACATGAATAATTGAAATCATCATAATATTTATATTTCAACCAAATTTTAGATTTGATATTACTACTATTAGAATATGTTTATAATTTGTGAAACCTATTTTAAATTAATTTTGCTGAATTTTTGAAGAATTTATTTAACTCATAGAGTCATTTTGAATCTGTATTCAATCTAATCGTTACATTCTCAATAAAACACCATCTATCATGTTTTACAGCTGCAACAGAGACAAAATCTATATATACGCCATGTAACTATGGTAGAAACATTCTCAATAGAGACGCCTACAGAGAGTAACACCGTCGCCAATAGAAACTTGCGAGATCTCTACACGTTGATCCCGACACAGGTACTCATTGAGTTCCTGTATAGCCTTTGTCCGGTGCCTGAAAGGCTCTGGAACTTCATTTGCTTCTTGAGCTACAAATCCATAACACAAGGTGTTATCGTAAGCAATTATTCCTCCAACCTTAACTAATTTCAACAATGGCTCATGGTAATTTTTGTAATTGTGCTTATCAGCATATTCCTCCAACATTCCTCCAACCTTAACTAATTTCAACAATGGCTCATGGTAATTTTTGTAATTGTGCTTATCTGCATCTACAAATGCTATGTCAAATTCTTCTCTCTCATTTTCCTGTTGTGTAAGACCAAAAACAAAATAAATAAATTCCTAATATAGATGTAATTAGGCTAAAATTTTCTGGAGTATGCTTACGTACATTGTTTAGCATTTTGGTTAATACGGAAATAGCATCAGATTGAATGAAATTTATTTTGTGCTCGACGCCTGCCTTGCGGATGAATGGTACTCCAACTTCATAAGCTTCTTTATCAATGTCTATAGCTGTTATCTGTTCACAAATTTTCTCAGCAGATCAAGGTTTTTTCACTAAAAGTAGAAAAAGAAAAGATAAAAGGAAGAAGAGTATATAAATTACCCGGCCATCATGAGGCAAGGCAAGTGCAGTTGAAAGAAGAGAATAGCCAGTAAAAACACCGATCTCTATCGTCCTTTTGGCGTTCATAATCTTAACAAGCATTGATAGGAATTGCCCTTCATCAGCTGGTATTGAAATTTTGCTTCCTGCAATTCATATTTTTCAAAAAAAAATTTAGAAAGTTTTCTAATATTTATGGGATATAGAATTAATTACTTACCTCTTTCCATATTTGTCTCAGTAGCTTTTTCGTAAATCTTGAGTTCCTCGTGCTCTCTTGGATATGCACTTGTTTCATAGATATACTGTAACAAAATTTTCTAAATTTTAATAACATTAAATGGACATAATTCGAGTTTCTAATAACATTTTTCTCTGTGCGTCAATATTAATAATTCCATTCCTTCGTTGAGATAAAAAAGAGAAAAAGAAAAACAGAAATTGCAGTGTGAAGGATATATATTAAATAAAAATAACCTTCTTTGTAACAAATAACCTTCTGTAGAGCTTGGCTCTGGAGGATTCCTTTCGGAGGTAAAGCATTCGCCATGCCTGACTTGCTTCTTCTTCTCACTTTAACAAAAGTGCAGCAATATATATTTGAATGTTCATAATGATTTTTTGTGTGATGTGAAACATATGTTGGTTGCTCGTGAGATATTTATTGACAGTTGAGTTATACCAAGCAGCTTTACGCCAAACGCCAAAATTAGTGAGTTATACAAACAGAGCCTCATGGGGACATGGGTTTGACGGAGTGGGTTCTCCAAATGTCAATTCAGCCTTTTTCCAACTACCAAACAAGCATTGCCAGCGGCCGCAGAGCTAAAAATATCTACCGGTCAGATCATTTTATTTAATTTGATTTTTTAGTGGTTAATTAGATTAAAAATTTTAAAAGTTTTTCACTTAATATATATACACTTAATATATATATATAAATATATAAAATTTTTTTTATTTTAAAAGTTTTTCACTTAATATATATATATATATATATAAAATTTTTTTTATCAATTTAATCACGTTTTATAAATATTTTTTAAAAAATTGAGTGAGATCAACTAACCCTACTTCACATAGCGGGGTGCTGTCCTGATGGGGAGGTGTTGGCTGGCTTCTCATCATTTGTTAGGCTGCATTCGACAAAAACTTTTTAAAACTCCATTCGGTAATAACATTTGAGGGAGAGTTTAGAATTTTGAATGTGTCAAAACACTATTTTTATAAATTATATCATTCAGTTGTTAGTGAATAATATATCTTTATTGAAATATTAATACATGTAAGAGTTTCCATTTTTTTATTAAATTTTTTTGACAATTATGTCCTTAATTAACTCATATTATCCTTATCCTTAATTAACTTATATTATCCTTATATTAACATTAGTTTAAAGTGTTTTGCTATATAACACTACAAATCTGCAATTAAGTTAAAAAATTACATTATTTTACACAAAAATTTAAACAAAATAATTTAATAATGAATTAACAGAGAAATACGTGAGGGAATTGTATTATCATTTTAAAGTGATAATGATTTCAATTTATCTAATTGGACTATACATAAATTGACATTTTTTTTTTATAATGAGTCAACTACTGTATTCATAAGTTAAAATTCAAACTTAATATTTAAATGTCTCTTTTTATCATTTTAAATTCAATATCTAATTAAATAACTATTTTTACCGAATACTTTTACTCTAAACAGTTATATAAACAACTAATATCCAACAGCTAACAGTTTTTAAAACAGTTAACAGCTCGTAAGACCGCTAACAACTATTAAAGTATTGTCGAACAAGCTCTAAGTAGCTTATTAAAATATTAAACCCTATTTTTTATAGTTTTTGGTAACATACGTTTAAATTAGCTTTTAAAGATTAAAACAACGTTTTATACAAAAATTAACTCATATAATATGTTATGAAAAGTTGCTCAAACAGTTAATATGTAAACACTACTAAAATGGCTAAAGAGCTATCAAAACAACTAAACAGTTACCAAAACAATTAATTAACTCATAAATTTTTAGAATTTATTTTTTTTATTTATATTGTTTATGATTTATTTAATTAACTCATAGATTCACGTTGAAACTGTATTCAATCTAACGCTTACGTATTCAACCAAAGCAAATATTCGACCCAAATGCAACCCTCTAATGATTTTATTTTATGGATGATAGTAATAAAACACCAGTATCTATCATTCTCAATAGAGACGCCTGCATAGAGTAACACCATCACCAATAGAAACTTGTGAGATCTCTACACGTTGATCCTGAGACAGGTAGTCGTTCACTTCTAGTATAGCGTTTCTTGCGTCCCTGAAAGGCTCTGGAACTGTATTTTCTTCTTCAACTACAAGTCCGAACAATAAGGTGTTATCATAAGCAATTATTCCTCCAACCTTAACTAATTTCAACAATTGCTCATGGTAATTTTTGTAATTTTCTTTGTCAGCATCTACAAATGCAATGTCATATTCTTCTTTCTCGTTCTGCTGTTGTATTCAAAAAAAAAAAAAAAAAAAAAAAAAAAAAAAAAAAAAAAAAAAAAAAAAACATCAAATCAAATAAACCTAATATAAATAAAAAAAAAAAAAAAAAAAAAAAAAAAAAAAACATCAAATCAAATAAAACCTAATATAAATATATATAGTTAAGCTGAAATTTTAATACTTATGTTATTTACCATTTTGGTTAATGCTGAAATAGCATTAGATTGAATGAATTTGATTTTGTGCTCGACGCCTGCCTTGCGAATGAATGGTAATCCAAATTCATAAGCTTCTTGATTAATGTCTATTGCTGTTATCTGTTCACAAAATTTCTCAGCAGACCAAGATTACTTTTTCATTAGAGAGAGAGAGAGAGAGAGAGAGAGAGAGAGAGCATGCTTAAATTCTTGAATTCTTTAGAAAAAAAAAGTTGCATCCCGAAAAATACTTACCGGAGAGGCAGCTACCAACCCTAAAACAAAATTATTCTCGTTCTAAAAAATAATGCGGAGAAATTGAAGGGGTCGAAAGAGTATATATTATAATTACCTGGCCATCATGAGGCAAGGCAAGGGCAGTGGAAAGAAGAGAATAACCAGAAAAAACACCAATCTCTAGTGTCCTTTTAGCGTTCATTATCTTCACAAGCATTGATAAGAATTGACCTTCATCAGCTGGTACTGCCATCATGCTCCTGCAATTCAAATTTCAAACATTTATAAAATTTTCTAATATTTATTGTGTATATATACATATTAATTACTCACAGGTTTCCATATTTGTTTTCTGTAGCTTCTCGCAAATTCTTGAGTTGCTCATGCTCTCTGGGATATACACTAGTTTCATAGATATACTGTAACAAAAATTTTTAAATTTTGAATACATTATACAGATAGATATAACACAATCTTCTCCAAAAAACAATATTTAAAAAACCTTCATTAGAGCTTCACTCTGTAGGATTTCTTTAGGAGGTAAAATGGGCACCATGCTAACTACTACAGTAGTACTACTACTTTTTAACTTCAACAAAAATGCAGTAATATATTGGAAAGCTCCTACAAATTTATGGGTGTGAAAGCATATTTTCGATTGATGGGGACAAGACTTGCTTAAAAGGTAGGTTAGTTTAAACCTCAAAAATCATTTTTCTTTAAAAGAGTTGAGTTTCAAAAGAATTAAACATTCTATTAATAATATTTTCAAAAAAAAAATTCTAATAATAATAATAATATATGAAAAGAGTATATCTTCATTTTTTTAATAATTAATACATTTAAATCACATTAATATAAAAATAATTGAATAATTTATTTTTTAAAATTTTAAAGATTTTTTTTAAGTATTGGAGAAGAGATTCAAACCTGGATCTATTGTCAGATCGTAAATATATTTATCACTAAACTACGTCTTAATGTGCAAAAAAAAATTTTTGTTTTGTAAGAACCTAGAATAGTTAATCACCTCTGACGTTACACGTAAAGCTTTTGAGCTCTCTTGCAAGTAACAATAAAATAAAGGTATCATGAAACTTCCTCGTAAAAAATCTCAATAAAAAAATTAACGTACTAATTAAATATTATATCTATAAAATTATTTTATTGAGAATTTGATAATTATAAAAGTAGATTGCTTTAACACTAAATGAAAATTTAAAAAAATATAAAAATTATTATTTCAAAATTATATTAACCACGCATCAAATTAATATTCTATTTGAAAAGACCGTTGTTAATTGAAAAGTTGTATAATATTATAAAATCCCTAATTTTATAAGCATAATAATTTCCCTTGAAATTTTAGGTGCCATAAATTTTTTTTCAAACAATAGAGGGAGAAATTTATATTACATGTTGTCAAAATTCAAAGGCAATGATGTATGTATATGGTTAATCATCACTTTATCATAAAATGGAGAATAAAAGAATCATATATATAACATATTACACAGTAATACTTTTATTAAAAAATTAAAAAAATAGTAAAATAAAAATAAAAATGAGGAGAACAACATATTATTTTTAAGTAAAAGTATCATCCCATTATTCTGCAACAAGTAACATTTAAAATTTTGACCAGAATTAAAATATTATTTTTATTAATTACAAGTAACATTTAAAATTTTTGACCAGAAAAATTTAAAAATTAATTTTTATTAATTATAATATTAAGTAATTATAATATTTATAATAAATAAAATTAGACGTATATTAAGCAATTAATTGAACTTTTTTTAAATTATTTTATATTTTAATCAGTTGTAATTTAAATAATTATTTTATTAAATATTCTTATTTTAAACTATTTTGTATAAAATAAATTTAAACTACAAAATAACTAATATTTAAATATAAATTAAGCTAAAAAAAAAAACAAATTAAGTGATAACTAATTAAGTGATAACTAATTGAATAGCCAACAACAATAACTAATATCAATTAACACGTCATGGTTTTATACGGTAATTATGGAAAAGTAAAGTTTATCACTTTTCATAATACTAATTATTTATAATAAGTAAGGTGGTCTGTCTCTATCGCTACAAGAAAAAAAGATAAGGCTCCATCAACAAAATAACAAAAGAACGTCAAATGAGAGGAAAGAAAAATGCCAAACGAAAGGTTGTTGGAAAGCTACTCTTTTATTGATTTTTTTTATATTTCATCAGAAGTTTTTAGATTACAATAACGAAGTTATTGGTCTAACTATGAATGATTAATGCACGAAAATATCAATTTCGTTAACGATAGGTGGTTGGATAAGAAAAGGTGGATAACATGTCTGTAAGCTTCGTCTATGACATTAAGGCCTTGTTGACAATAATTTTTTAATTAGCTTTCAATATTTTTATCGGTTAAAACGCTAAAAATAGTGTTCAATAACATAATATTTAAATTAATTTTTAGAAGTTAAGATAATGTTTTATTAAAAATTAACCCATATAATATTTAGCAAAAATTAACCCATATAATATTTAGCTTTTTTCATTTTATAAAAACTATTTAAATGACTAACAACTGAACACTGTTATAACAACTATCAAAACAACAAATTTTACCGAATAGATCCTAAGTTTTAAAATGGATCAAATGTAAAAGCTACTAATTGAGAATCAGAAAAACTTAAACCAATAGAATTGGTTTAAATGAAAATCACTCAAGTCATTTAAGTAAGAAGTCTAAGGCTGTATTTGACAAAAAGTTTTTTAGGTAACTTTTAGCGTTTTGTCTGGTTAAAATGTTACTATTTAAAAAATTTTTCAGTAACATAATGTTTGGATTAGACTTTAGAAGTTATGGTAGCGTTTTGTGAAAATTTAACTCATGGCGTTTCATTAAAAAAAATACAAAAACAGCTAACAGCTAAACGCTACTAAAACAGCTAACAGCTAAACGCTACTAAAACAGACAGCTAAACGCTACTAAAACAGCTAATAAATAACAAAACAGCTAAACGCTACTAAAACAGTTGATAGATAACAAAATAGTTAATTTTGTCGAACAAACTCTAAGTGCTCCTTCATGAAGAAAATTTTCATTGTGACAAAGTAATTTAATTAACAATAAAGGTTGAATTTTCTACACCTAAAATTTTCTACACCTAACTATGTATATTGCTTCTATGTTTTTGTACGCCTTAATGAAGGAAAACCTTCTCTTTTTTATAGGAGAAGGGGACGCGGTGGACGCGCGTTAATCACGCGTCTACTTCTCTTTTTTTTTTTTCTTTTCAAATGTGTGTGGGTCTTATATGTTGGAGGGACCCTACAACAACATTAAGGAAGTCTATTGGCTCGAGATAATTTTTCCTGATTTTTGTAATTCTAAATAAAATTTTGTTGCTGAAAAGAAAAAATGATAAAAAAGATAACCTCACAAAGATATGGAGACGGGCGTGGGTTCCCCAAATTTCAACTCAGCTTCTTCCAACTTCCATAAAAGCATGGGAGGTCTCGGTGGCTCCCTATTATTTGTGTTAGTACAATTATATACTCCCTCCCCTAAAAAGATAAATTTATCTCATATTGAAAATATATAAGATCACAAAACCTATATCATTTTATATAGGTAAGCCTAATTCATATAAACTCAAATTATCGAATGAATTATTAATTGAATTTGATAAATTACCCTTAGGGCGCAAATTTAACAATTTATGTATATTTTAGCAAATTTTTTTGTCGAAATATTAAAATGAATAATTTTAATTCATACATAAGTTGCGGTCCACTAATAAATTCATAGAGCCAACACATGAATAATTGAAATCATTATAATATTTATATTTCAACCAAATTTTAGCTTTGATATTACTACTATTAGAATATGTTTATAATTTGTGAAACCTATTTTAAATTAATTTTGCTGAATTTTTGAAGAATTTATTTAACTCATTGAGTCATTTTGAATCTGTATTCAATCTAATCGTTACATTCTCAATAAAACACCATCTATCATGTTCTACAGCTGCAACAGAGACAAACTCTATATATACGCCATGTAACTATGGTAGAAACATTCTCAATAGAGACGCCTACAGAGAGTAACACCGTCGCCAATAGAAACTTGCGAGATCTCTACACGTTGATCCCGAGATCCCGAGACAGGTACTCATTGAGTTCCTGTGTAGCCTTTGTCAGGGGCCTGAAAGGCTCTGGAACTTCATTTTCTTCTTGAGCTACGAATCCAAACCACAAGGTGTTATCGTAAGCAATTATTCCTCCAACCTTAACTAATTTCAACAATGGCTCATGGTAATTTTTGTAATTGTGCTTATCAGCATCGACAAATGCAATGTCAAATTCTTCTCTCTCCTTTTCCTGTTGTGTTAAAAAAAAAAGAAAGAACAAAATAAATAAAATCTTAATATATATACAATTAGGCTAAAATTTTCTGGAATTATGCTTACATTACTTAACATTTCGGTTATATTGAAATAAGCATCAGACTGAATGGAAATTTATTATTGATGCTCGACGCCTGCCTTGCGGTAGATGGTTACACAACTTCATAGCTTCTTTATGCAATGTTAATAGCTGTTATCTGTTCACATATTTATTTTCAGCAGATCAGGTTTTTCACTAGTGAAAAAAGAAAAGATAAAGGAGAGGTGATTAACGGGCCATCAATGAGGCAAGGGCAAGTGCAGTTGAAAAGAAGAAGAATAGCCAGTAAAAACACAGGATCTCATTCGTCCTTTTGGCGTTCATAATCTTAACAACGCATTGATAGGATATGCCCTTCATCAGCTGGTATTGTTTGGTATCCTGCAATTCATATTTTCAAAAAACATTAGGTTTATCTTAATATTTCACTAAAAGTAGAAAAAGAAAAGATAAAAGGAAGAAGAGTATATAAATTACCCGGCCATCATGAGGCAAGGCAAGTGCAGTTGAAAGAAGAGAATAGCCAGTAAAAACACCGATCTCCATCGTCCTTTTGGCGTTCATAATCTTAACAAGCATTGATAGGAATTGCCCTTCATCAGCTGGTATTGAAATTTTGCTCCTGCAATTCATATTTTCAAAAAAATTAGAAAGTTTTCTAATATTTATGGAATATATGGAAATTAATTACTTACCTCTTTCCATATTTGTTCTCAGTAGCTTTTCGTAAATTCTTGAGTTCCTCGTGCTCTCTTGGATATGCACTTGTTTCATAGATATACTGTAACAAAATTTCTAAATTTTTAATACATTAAAAGGACATAATTCGAGTTCTTAATACATTTTTTCTCTGTGGTCAATATTAATAATCAATTCCTTCGTTGAGATAAAAAAAAAGAAAAAGAAAAAACAGAAATTGCAGTGTTGAGATATATATTAAACACAAATAACCTTCTGTAGAGCTTGGCTCTGGAGGATTCCTTTCGGAGGTAAAGCATTCGCCATGCCTGACTTGCTTCTTCTTCTCACTTTAACAAAAGTGCAGCAATATATATTTGAATGTTCATAATGATTTTTGGTGTGATGTGAAACATATGTTGGTTGCTCGTGAGATATTTATTGACAGTTGAGTTATACCAAGCAGCTTTACGCCAAACGCCAAAATTAGTGAGTTATACAAACAGAGCCTCATGGGGACATGGGTTTGACGGAGTGGGTTCCTTTTTCCAACTACCAAAAAAGCATTGCCAGCGGCCGCAGAGCTAAAAATATCTACCGGTCAGATCATTTTATTTAATTTGATTTTTTAGCGGTTAATTAGATTAAAAATTTTAAAAGTTTTTCACTTAATATATATAATTTTTTTTATCAATTTAATCACGTTTTATAAACATTTTTTAAAAAATTGAGTGAGATCAACTAACCATACTTCACATAGGGGGGTTCGACAAAAAATTTTTAAAGCTCTGTTTGGTAATAACATTTGAGGGAGTGTTTTATAAGCATAATAATTTCATTTGGGTAATAACATTTATTATAGAATCCCTAATTTTATAAGCATAATAATTTCGCTTGAAATTTTAGATGCCATAAAATTTTTTCCAAACAATAGAGGGAGAAATTTATATATTTAGCTCTCCTCTATCCCTTCTCACCATTGCATTATATTTATATTACATGTTGTCAAAATTCAAAGGCAATGATGTATGTATATGGTTCATCATCACTTTATCATAAAATGGAGAATAAAAGAATCATATATATAACATATTACACAGTAATACTTTTATTAAAAAATTAAAAAAATAGTAAAATAAAAATAAAAATGAGGAGAACAACATATTATTTTTAAGTAAAAGTATCATCCCATTATTCTGCAACAAGTAACATTTAAAATTTTGACCAGAATTAAAATATTATTTTTATTAATTATAATATTCAGTAATATAATATTTATAATAACAAATTAGATGTATATAGCAATTAATTGAACTTTTTTAAATTATTTTATATTTAATAGCTAATTAAAAAATTATTTTTATTAAATATTCTTATTTTAAACTATTTTGTATAAATAATTAACTACAAATAACTAATATTTAATATAATTAACAGCTAAAAAAAACAATTTAAGTGATAACTAATTGAATAGCCAACAACAATAACTAATATCAATTAACACGTCATGGTTTTATACGGTAATTATGGAAAAGTAAAGTTTATTACTTTTCATAATACTAATTATTTATAATAAGTAAGGTGGTCTGTCTCTATCGCTACAAGAAAAAAAGATAAGGCTCCATCAACAAAATAACAAAAGAACGTCAAATGAGAGGAAAGAAAAATGCCAAACGAAAGGTTGTTGAAAAGCTACTCTTTTATTGATTTTTTTTCTATTTCATCAGAAGTTTTTAGACTACATTAACGAAGTTATTGGTCTAACTATGAATGATTCATGCAGGAAAATATCAATTTCGTTAACGATAGGTGGTTGGATAAGAAAAGGTGGATAACATCTTCACGTAAGCTTCATCTATGACATTAACACTGTTTTTAATTAGCTTTTAATATTTTTACCCGTTAAAATATTAAAGACGGTGTTCAATAATATAATATTTCAACTAGTTTTTAGAAGTTAAAGATAATGTTTTATTAAAAGTTAACCTATATAACATTTAACTTTTAGCATTTTATGAAAACTATCTAAACAGCTAACAACTGAACACTGTTATAACAACTATCAAAACAACTAATTTTGCCGAACAAACTCTAAAGTTTTAAAATGGAGCAAATGTAAAAGCTACTAATTGCGAATCAGAAAAACTTAAACCAATAGGAATTGGTTTGAATGAAAATCACTCTAAGTCATTTATTTTGAAGTCTAAGGCCGTGTTCGACAATAATTTTTTAAGTAGTTTTTAGCGTTTTATCCGGTTAAAATGTTACTATTTAAAAAATTTTTCAGTAACATAATGTTTGGACTAGACTTTAGAAGTTATGGTAGCATTTTGTGAAAATTTAACTCGTGGCGTTTCATGAAAAAAATATTAAAACAGCTAACAGCTAAACGCTACTAAAACAGCTGATAAATAACAAAATAGCTAAACGCTACTAAAACAGCTGATAGATAACAAATAGTTAATTTTGCCGAACAGACTCTAAGTGCTCCTTCATGAAGAAAATTTTCATTGTGACAAAGTAATTTAATTAACAATAAAGGTTGAATTTTCAAACCAGCATTCAAAAGGTAATATATTTTTTTTGAATACTAAGGTATGAAGATGCAATTTTTGATTCATTTCAAAAAAGAATTTAATTTATTATGTAAATGAGTCTAAAATTACCTTTAAGTCCCTTACCACTCAATTTTAAAAAAAAAAAATTACAAAATTAAATGTGCAAGTACATCTGGATGTTCTTATAATATTTCATAGGCCAAAGCCCATCTCATCTAATCCTATAATTCTTGGGGCTGACCTTTTAACTTTCTGCGCATGGCTTTTCGTAGAGTTCCTGCTGCTATCTACAGTATTGGGCCAATACACTTTTCAGCCCATCTTCAATTATAAACACCAATCCTGTTGTTTTTTTTTTTTTATTTTGGAGACATGCTCGGATTTTCCAATAATAATTACATAATTCTTTCCATTAATATTTTTCTTAGAAATATAAATTCATAAATGATTATAAATTTATTTATTTTATTTTTTATATGAAGGGAAGTCACGTATTACTCTCTTTTTAATATATTTTTTGACCACGAAAATTATTAAAAAAAAGGAAAAGTTAATGATCAATATCACCACATGATCCTAAACTAAAAGGAAAAAAATGTAATTCACCCTAAAAAAACAGTATCGTCTTAAATATCTCACCGAACGAATCGCAAAAAACCTAACCGCAGAGTCTCAAAATATCTTTGCTTCCACATTCCAAATTTGTCTACGCGGTTCAAAACCGAAAGCCAATGGACGCTGTCGTCCGTACAATTCCTCAAATTCCTCTTATACCCTTCTTTTTAATTTTTCTCCGGCTCCTGCATTTCTTGCGAAGTCTACGGAGACTTAACAAACTGTTCTAAAACACCGTTTTTGGTTCCATTCTGGTTCAGAAAATCGTTTTGTTTGTGGGTTTTGTGACGATTGTTAATCAATGGTGAAATCTGGAGATGATGGGTCTCCATCAGTCGCGCCTTTCCTTAAAAAATGCTATGAAATGGTAGATGATGAGTCGACAAATTCGATAATTTCATGGAGCCAAAATAGCGACACTTCTTTCGTTATATGGGATATGACTGAGTTTTCAGTTCAATTGCTGCCTAAATACTTCAAGCACAGTAATTCTTCTAGCTTTATCAGGCAGCTTAACATCTATGTGAGTTTTCTTTTTTTCTTTTTCTTTTTTTCATTAATATCCTCCTGTTTGCTTTAATGGGTAGACTTTGTTTTGTTTGATTCTAAGTTTGTTTGGTGTTTTCTAGCTTGTGGTCTTTTGTTGATTGTTGGGGGTTTCAATTGATTGCTATTTGTGTGTTCTAAATTTCGTTAGTTAAGCCCTTGTCTGTCAAAATTGTACTGTGATGTAGAAAATTGGCATCATCTTGATACGTGTTTGTATGCACTCTCTGTTTCTAACATGGAAACATCTATTATCCAAGGCATTGAATGAATCAAATTTATACTCTAACTAGAGTATTATTATGAAATGTGTTAATAATCCAGCAATTTGGTGTTGAGTAGTATTATTTTATCCTTGAAATGCTAAATGCAGAGTAAAGACCGAATTCCCATACCCAAGGAATGGTATCTAGCTTGACTAGCTTCTCTTCTATGTTGCATTTTAATAATGTGGAAGATGTACTTGTATCCATTAAGAATTTATGCATGGGTTGCAATTCCCGATTGTATTGTTTGTAAGTAGACATTGTATTTTAATTGTTATTTAGAGCTGGCGCGGTTCATGAATTTTGTTAACAGCAACTACTTCAGCAATTGGGATAATCTTTATAGCTCATTTCCCTTCAATATTGTTGAGAGGAACCACTTGGGATGTACTTTTCTAACTAATCAAACACCCATGTCCCAAGGAATGAATATTTTGGGATTTCTTTTTTGTGGCTTCTTTCAAGAAAGGTTATTGCCTTAAGAATTTTATATATTATGCTTATTGTTTGATACATTGCTTGTGGTGTGAGCCAACTGATTTTAATTGGTTTTGTCTCCTTTTTCCTTTTATTTATTTCTGTTTCTAGTCCTAAGAAAAACCAGAGGCAAACATGTGTATAGCTAATTCATCTTTGGCTAGAATTGTGATGCAGTTATGTTGTCTATCATATCTTGCAGATCCATCTATTTTGGTGGCTCTTTACTAGTACTAAGACTGATGTTGTTTCATTTGTCATTTATATATTTCTCTTTTTCTTAGTTCATTAAGCATTTGGTGGCAAAATATATATGCATGCGTAGAACGAGAATATCCTTATTGAACCTCTCAGATTTCATTCTCTTTTTTAATTTCACCTATAAATGTATTGTCTCCTATTCAACCACCCTTTTTCCTTACGTCTTTTCTTTTTCATTCTTCTTGCTACTCTGGTCCATCTAATTTTACTAGGTTGCAGGGTTTAATGGTTTCATTGTTTATTTACTCAGTTTTAGGGACTACCTTGAGTGGTAGGAGGGTGAGATGTAATTGGGAGGTTCTTGATTCTTGGTCCATGTATAGGATACTTAAGAATTCTTCTACAGATGTATAACATTAAAAATATTTCAGGGCTTCAGAAAAATTGATGCAGATCGTTGGGAATTTGCTAATGATGGATTTGTCAGAGGTCAAAAACATTTGTTAAAGAATATCTGCAGAAGAAAAAATTCTCAAAGCACAAACAATATAAAATTGTTACAGCAGCAGGACAACTCGATTGAGCCTTGTGACAAAATTGAAAATGATGGGCTGTGGAAGGAAATTGAGAAATTGAAGACTGACAGAAATTCATTAATGCAGGAATTAGTTAAACTTAGGCAGCACCAGGAAAATGCAAGCAATAAGCTACTCCTCTTGAGAGATCGTGTTCAAGGAATGGAAAAAAATCAGCAGCAGATGCTGTCATTTTTAGTTATGGTCATGCAAAGTCCAGGATTTTTGGTTCAGCTGCTACACCCAAAAGAAAATAACTGGCGGATGGCTGAACCAGGAACTATAATAGAGCAAGGTGCAGATGAAGGACAATTAGCTGCTTCTGATGGTATGATAATACGATACCAGCCGCCACAAGTGGAGGAGATGCCTACACCAATGGTTTCAGAAATACCACAAGCATCTAACCCTTTACCCGATATGAGAAAAGATTCTTTCTTGAGCCCAGATTTTGTGAAATTGCTTATGGAAGAAAATTTATCTTTTGAAAATCATGCTCCACTTGCTCTACCAGAATTGCCAGACGATAGTGCATGGGAACAGTTTCTTTTAGCCACTCCTTTCTTACGGAATATTGATGATACCAAACATGATGGTGAAGGGCTTATTGATGCTGAAGATGAAACTGAGGCAGAACCATGTCGAACTCAGGTTGACCAGTTGGATGGGAATCGTTTAGAGAAGTCTGAGAACATGGAAATCAATAACTGAGCAAATGGCTCTTTTGGCGGCAGAAACCAACCTAAAAAATGGATTACAGTAGAAAAGCTCCTAAAAATTGTTATGAAGATACTTTTGGCTGTGTCCCTGGGGCGTATGAATTTTTTTCAAAGCGATGTAAGTTGTTTCTTTTTTATTCTTCTCTATCTCTCAGCCTGTCAAAGAACATTGAAAATTCCTTTGATAGTTTATCTATCTACATCATTTTGTTGATTCTGATAAAGTTAAATTTACATATGCTGATTATTGTTTTTATGCATTTGTCTCATTGGCAGATGTTTGGTTTACTGACACGGTCTTTCTCAACACTTGCTGGGAAGAATCGCAGGAAAACATTCTGTTTCATGAAAATGAAAATTTTGTTCCTGTTGACATGTATAGGAATCTGTAGTTGATAGTGCTATGTGGAAAAAGATTTATGTGCCACGAACATCAACTCTCTCTCTCTCTATTATGCAATACTTAATATTCTCTCCGATCATGTTTGCCATTGTTGAGCTTTCCAAGAGATGAGAATGTGGCAGATTATAAGTAGTTTTTAGTTAGTTTAAGATAATACGCTCCGATGATTTAGATGCGCCTCTAGCAAAAGGTCTGAATCCATCAAACATTTCAATTCTTTGTATTAATCATAGTTTTTTGGCTTTTATAGTATTATCTTCTTTTTTTTTTTTTTTTTTTTTTAGATAATAACGCCTCCGATGATTTAGATTGCGCCTCTAAGCAAAAGGTCTGAAATCCATCAAACATTTCAATTCTTGTATTAATCATAGTTTTTTTTGGCTTTTATAGTATTATCTTCTTTTTTTTTTTTTTTTTTTTTTGGGGGGGGGGGCGGGGGGGTGTAAGAACCACTTGGTTATGCTAAATTAGTTCAGATGGCACGGCTTAAATATTTTTCTTTTTGGGTTTTTTTTTTTATCATTTCCTTTCTATAATGGCCAAAAACAATTAATTTAACATCCAACCATTACAAAAAAAAAAAAAAAAAAAAAAAAAAAAAATCAATAAAAACAGAAAAAAATATAAAATTGGAAAATCAAATGGTACCAACCGGGAAATTATCAAAATAAAATAATCATTTTTACAGATAATGCTTAATTAAAAATATTAGAAACAAAAAAAAAAAAAAAAAAAAAAAAAAAAAAAAAAATCAATAAAAAAAGAAAAAAATATAAAATTGGAATCAAATGGTACAACCGGGAATTATCAAATAAAATAATCATTTTACAGATATGCTTAATTAAATATTAGAAACATATTGAAAAGGTAGGGTGGGGAAAAGGGTAAAAGAAAACTAAAGGAAAAATGTCTTAAAAATGAACAGGTGTACGCTAGAATGTAAGCAGAAATCCATTAAGTTGCACAAATATTATCAAAGCTGATATTACAACGGTATGCAAGTTGAAATCCCTAAAATGCTTATATTGGCAATGGCAGGCAGGATCATATGATTACTGGACAGCCTTAGCCATGCCAAATGCAGCAGCAGATGCAATGGCGCCAATAAGGGCAGTTTGTAAGGCACTCCTGAAGGGTTTACTACCCGTAAAATACCCTTTGCCATAGCCAAATATTAACAATGCCACTAAGGTTATGACGACTGATGCAATTACAGCATCTTGAGCTCTTGAAATGAAAATGTAAGGAGCCAGAGGAACTAATCCACCCAAAATGTAAGCAACGGCAATAGTCAGGGCACTTTGTAGGGCCCTTCTTGGATCGGGCTTCTCCAATCCCAGTTCAAACCTGCACCCATATAGGACAACTTCGTTTCATTGCTAGTTTCTTGTATTTCAACTTTCTAGTACTACTTGTCATAAGTTCTATTGAACTATCCTCCTAAAGAAATCTTAAAAACAATTAAAGATTTTGCAAAAGAACAATTAGATGTTAAGCACAATCTTTGTTTTTCACCCTTCAGAACCATGATGAACCACCACAAACACAGTCGCAGTATCTTGACCTATGTGGCCACAACATGGACAGTCATCTATATTTTTAATTCTGATTGAAAAGGAAAGTGTAATTTGCAATGATAACACGATAAATACGCAGAAAAGGCACACAAGCATCCAAGAAAAAAGAAATCTACAGCTTTAAACCACAAAATTTTATGTACCATCATGTGATACTGAAAATGAAACAAATCTAATAGTTCCAACTGCAATTTGCAGGTGCTCTGGAATATGGGACCACTTGGGTTTGTCCTCAAAAATACTGCTTCTGTAACTTTTCAGAGTGTATCAGTGCTCCTCCTGGTGGTGGCGGAGGTACTGTTCTAGGTGGTGGGTTACAAATTTAATTATACTCGTCGTTTAAGTACATAAACTTTAGTCCTATTTGTTAGATTTTTTTATCCAGCGTCCCAAAACTAAAGATCCTAACCTTAATCAAGAGTATGTTCAGTAACTGCATTTTCATTACAGTTCCCAAACATATTCTGAAAAAGAAAGTCAGAAACTGTGGATCAATCACTCTAATATTTCAATTTTTCTATTAACAATAAAAGATGACATTTAGAAGATGTTAATTAAATTGAACTTACTTCATCATGAAATCAAGCCAAGCTTCAGGCTTTTTCATAAGAGCATTAACCACAGGCTCATACTCATGAGGCTCTATTCCATACTGTGCTAGTATCTCTGCTACCTCAGCCGCCTCTGCATTTCAATGACGATCATCATCAAAATACACGTAAGTGTTTTTAAAAAATCAGTTGAAAAAAAAAATAGAGGGAAACCTGTGTCAGGAACACTTAGTATCTCTTCTCGTTCTCTATTTAGCTCCCTTGCATAGTGATCTGCCTCGCTCTTAGCCGCTAAATACCTGCATAGATCCAAATAATCCATTAAGAGTCCTAACTAGTTAAGTGATCATATCTGATACGTAATATAAAAAGGTGCAATATTACCCTCCAAGTCCCATGGAGATAGCACCGGCGGCGACTTCGGCGATTCCGGCAGTGAGTACAATGGAAGATGTAGCATTGGCGCCAGATAAACCGGCGGCGAGGGCGAATGGTACAGTGAGACCGTCCGATACTCCGATGATAATGTCGCGGACGATTTCGCCGGCGGTGAAGTGGCGCTCCTTATGCTGGCTGAGTAGCGTCTGCTTCTCAGGGTCTAGGTTTCCTTCGGTTACAGCGGCCATTTTGGGCTTTTGGATAGTATGTTTTAGGCGGTGCCCCGCCGCGATTGACTGTTGGATGTGTGATAAAAGAGTCCTTCGAGTCTGTATGTAAATGAAGGCGGTGTGGATTTGATACTGTGGTCTTTTGTTTTGTTATTGTGGCGTGGGCGTGGCGACTCGCATTCCACCTGAGGTAACAGTATAGTATATACTTACTACGCACGTGGCGTTTGGCCACAGATAAACTCCTTCCACAAACAGGGGTTGGGATTCTATTAAACACGTAATCTGTGTCTCATGTAATTTGTGTCCTTATTTGATTTAAACAAATTAAAAAATTTTAATTAATATAGTTAAGTTATAATTTTTACTTTTTTTTAATATATCTTTATTAGTATCCATAAAAATCAAATAATTTATATTAAATTGTGATTAAATTAATCAAATATTTAATTAAAGAATTTTATTAGTAGATTAAAGATTAAGTTACGTTAAATTTATTTATATCAAAATTTAATTAATGATGTAGTTTCATTGTTATATTTATTGACAAAGAAAGTAACAAAATTCAAACATTATTTACTTATAAAATAAAAAACATGACAATAATTTAAGATAGATTAAAAATTATGAAAGGGAGACAGTAATTTTATTTATTTTTTTAGTTTATCCGTAATTCCCTATATTGACTTGTGTTTGTTGTCATTTCAATGGGCTTGGGCCATATAATGGAGATGGCCTATCTATATCCGCGTCTTACACTAGTATATCTTGATTTAAACATGTGCATTCCCTCCTTTTCAATAAAAATATTCAATGGATAAAAATAAGAAAATAAATCAAACTTTTTATTATTCTAGTTATATAAAAATCAATTGTTAAAACTAGATAATTAGCTGTACAAATTATTATCAGTATATTGAACCGACATTTTTTTTTTAATTCACACACGTGTCTCTGTGCTCAGATTTTAATGAAATCGCATTTAAGTCTTGCCTATTATATATAAATAAACATATTAGACTATAATTCTAATGGTAATTAAAAAGAAAAAAGAAAAAAAAAACATTTCACTGACATGAATCTAAGCCATTCCTCAATACTCAGCATGATAATGACATTAATATCAATTAAAGCACAGGAGTTTTGGACTAGTTAAGACTTAAGAAGGCACAACTTTCACATAGCTGCAACAAATATAGATACAAGAAGGTTGGAATCAGATAATTAAGATGTCCCAAATACATTGAAGTATTAGAGCATACAAACCCAAAGTCCATATTGAGGAGGAGAAGAAGAAGTTAGAAAATGGAGAAATGAATCAAACTCGGAAAACCTTAGCTAGGGAATAAGCAGCAGCAGAAGCAATAGCTCCAATGAAGGCAGTTTGAAGGGCACTCCTAAAGGGTCTATCACCAGTAAAGTAACCCTTAACAAACCCAAATACTAGTAATGCCAAAATGGTAACCATAATAGATGCAACAACAGCTTCTTCAGCAACTGGAAATACTATGTATGGTGAAAGGGGTACAAACCCACCCAGTACGTAAGAAATAGCTATTGTTATGGCACTTTGAAATGCTCTCATTGGGTCTGGCTTCTCCAATCCAAGTTCAAACCTGCATCATCAACACTACATTTTACTAATCTTTCTGCTTTTGGGGATTAAAAATGATATATGTAAAGATAATTATTAATTACTTCATCATGAAATTAAGCCAATGCTGGTGGTTTCTCCTTAAAGCATTCACCACTGGCTCATATTCATGTGGCTCAACTCCATACTCTGCTAATATGTCTCCACATTCAGCAGCCTCTACAGAGATTAGAGATTATGGTAATTAACTATCTAACTCATAATAATTAAGCTTCTGCTTCAAAGAGAGAGAGAGAGAGAGAGAGTGAAAGAATGTGAAAACCTATGTCAGGGACGCTGATGATTTCTTCTTGTTCTCGTTTTAGTTCTCTCATGTAATGATCAGCTTCGCTTTTTGCTGCAAGGTACCTGTTTATATTGCATCAATTAAGTAAGAACTGTTTAATTAAGTAATTGTGAATAATTGATTAAGTTAATTACCCGCCAAGCCCCATGGAGATGGCGCCGGCGGCAACTTCAGCAATGCCGGCGATGAGAATGATGCGGGAAGTGACATTGGCGCCGGACAAACCAGCAGCAAGGGCGAAAGGGACAGTGAGACCATCGGAGACACCAATGATGATGTCACGGACAATCTCACTTGACATGAAGTGTTTCTCTTCATGTTCTTGTAAAAGCAATTTCTGCTTCTCTAGCTCTGCGTAACCGTTTTCTGCCATTTTCCGTTTCCTAATTAAGATCTGAATATACTGGAGAAACTGTTTCTACTGATCCTATCTCTCTCTTCCTGTGTTTTGCTTGGAATGAAGCTAGCGAGGAAGTCTGAGGCATATATATAAGAACTGACTCGTTTACATGCAAAGCCAAGTAATTGCTCAACCCACTAAAAGGTAAAACTACCAGAATACAGTTTTTCGAATTTTGAAAAAACAAAAAATAACTGCTAGAGAGATAAAAAGAAATTTCAGAATTTATATAACTTTATAGATATATTAATACAGATTATTTCTCTAATATGAATAGATAATTATCTCAGTCATGTGCTTGTATTTTTAAAATGAAATAAATTTTTGTGTTTTCTATAATGTTTTAAGTGATAGTTTGGATTGATGGAAAATGAAATATTTATATTATGAAATTTCATATTGTATTGCTTGGTTGGAAAATAAACTTGACAGGTTTTTGAAGGGTATTTTTAAAATAAAGTCCCATGATTTAAGGGTATTTTTATGATTTAAATTTCTTCATTAATAGAAAATTAGATGATAGAATTAGAGAAATTGAAGTTGTAATTTTGAAATACAATTCTCTATATTTGAAAAGGATGAAATTGAAAGTATTACGGAATTTATCGATAGTATTTTTTAAACCAAATAAAGAAACATAATAAAATTTTTAAATTTTTAATGATATCGAATTCATTTGGAAAATTATAAAATTAAGACCATATTCAGCAATAGTTTTTCATATAGTTTTTAGTATTTTGATAAACTCAAACTGCTGCTTTTTATTATTTAGAATATTTAGTAATATAACGTTTATATCAGTATTTAGAATTTGGAAAAGCACAGTGTCACGACCCGATTCCATGGGCCGGACCGGCACTAGGGCCCAGGTAAGCTTAAGGCCCCCGAGGCCCGTAGTAAGCCTGAAACATTAGAGTCTATTATCTCGGAAAATTAAGACCAATATTAGCAATAGTTTTTTCATGATAGTTTTTAGTATTTTGATAAACTCAAACTGGCTGCTTTTTATTATTTAGAATATTTAGTAAAATATAGACGTTTATTATCAGTAATTTAGAATTGGAAAACAGCACAGTGTCACGACCCGATTCCCACTGGGCGCGGAACCGGCACAGGGCCCAGGTTAAGCTTAATAAGCCTGAAACACTAAAAATTTACTATCTCAATATAATTTTAAACATTCAGCCTATACTTCTAGGAAAATAAACCTCAAAATTTTATTAAATCTTGGCCCAAATTTTTCATCTACAACATTCCACAGTTCGGGCCCAATTAACAACACATCACATTTTTTAATATGGGCTCATAGAATTGGGCTAACAGAATTACTTCATCTATATTACTACACGACTAGACGTATGTAAATTCTACAACTGCGGAGTCACTAACTGTTTGTTATACATAGCTTCTTGTACATATAATTACATAGCAAAACAATTATGGAACTGGGAAAACTTCTTAATAATCCTGCGACGAAGATAACATAGTTTAACCCGAATTAAAGAGAAACTACTTCCTGAAAAATTTAAGCAATACATGTGAGTTTTCTAAGGAGTAATAATTATTACACAACACACGCAGTCACACAATGTGTACACATATTAATCTAGTCATCCGACTAGTTATATCATCCCGACTAAGTTTATAATGCTCACAGCAGCCAGTCACAACAACAAAATGGCTATAATCATCAGCCACTCAGCAATCAATAAACAATAATAATGAAAAAATAAATAAATTAATTAGAAGGCACTTTAGTTATTATGCTATCAAATTATAGAATTTGTCTAAATAAGCTTTTTATTATGTTATTAATTAAAACTGATAAAACTGATCTAGGTTCTATCGAAATTTCGACAGCATCTCCCCTAAAAATAGGATTATCTACCTGTTTAAATGTCACAATAACATTATATATATTTATCCATCAATACGCACAGCCCATCCGTCGGGCAATCAATCAATTTAAAACCCCATCCTCCTTCCAAAACAACAATGTCAACACTCAACCATTAATTTATAATAATCATGTTCGAATGATAATGACGATCATTATTTACTTATAATTATAACTAGCTTCTATAGCTAATTACCAAACAAATAAAAGCTTTAATATATATATAATCGAATAAAACTTATATCACTAAGTTAATTTCAATTACTTTCACTTGATAGTTTCGTAGTGTCTAACTATTATAGTACTCTTTATCAAGCTTTCATTTCTTCATTCTTGCTTAAAGTTGCTTAAAGATAATAACCAACATATTTTTATACCTTTGTTAAATTTTATTATTAGCCAAAATATGAACAAAATGCCTCTTTTAAATTTAAAAGATCTAAAGAATACATCTACTAAAGAGAATTCTAACTTACAATCTTAAAAATATACGATTAACTATTCCTAAGCAAGAATTAAACTTACTGTTCAATTTATTTCAATTTATCTATCCTTTTCGGCCGTTTGGATTCATAAACAAATCATTCTAAATGTTTCGCATTCATAAGTTCAAAATTAAATTATATTTTACCCATCAAAGGTTCTCTAAACAAGAAAACCATCAATAATTTTAAACTAGGCCTATTTCGGTCACTTTCTTATTTTCAACAATAAAATTAAAAAACTCCTCATTATCTCAATCAATGTTCAATTTTCCATGCTTAGAAAACATTAAAAAATCCATTATAAAGCTATTAAAATATCACACAAGACAAATTATCCCACAATTAAATTCAGACCCCAAAATCAAATTGACTTAAGCCATTTTTTCTTTCCTAATATTGACTTAAGCCATTTTCTAATAGAATTATGCATTACTTTTGTATAACTAATTCATTCGTAGGTATTATTCATGTAATTATTTAGCTAATATCCTCGATTAACTAATGTTAAGGCATAATATCCTTAATTTACCAATTTTCTGTAGTCTTATACTTTCTAGTGCCTAATTATAAATTCAAGTCAAACAATAGTTTGAATATTAATCAATGTCAGATGGCAAATCTAATAATATAGTCATACTCTACGGGTTGAGTGCAAAATTCTGCCTATTTAGCACTTTCCGGTCACCGGAAACATCCACCATCGCCACAGGCCACACAGGCCACGGTGGCCGGACGGCCAAGAGGCCTGAGAAACTCAACACAACAGTAAATACTGAACAAATACAAGTAATGCTTCCTGATAAAGTTTTCGATTTTGAGAAATCAACTAGCTCAAAATATGGAATTTAATTACTAAAACCCCAAATTTTATCAAAATTAACAAAACCCAAATCTTTCAATCATTCTCAAAATGGCTGCCATTTCACAATTCAGTTGGTCCATTAATTATTTGTCTAAAGATAACAAAGAAAAGCATTTGGACTCACCTTAACTAACCGGAGGGCTTGCCGAAAAACGATGAAGTCGCCGGAAATCGAGCAGGAGACGCGATCTGGCGGTGGAGCAGAACTGGCGAGCTTCTGCCATCGCTGCGCTCGCTAGAGAGGGAGGAGGAAGGCTTGAGCATCTGCGGCGGTGCGCGACGGCGAGGAGATGAGCCCGATCAGCTCTGGTGGCCGGGAAACGGGGAGAGAAGGAGGAGGAGGTCGCTTTGCTCACGCTAAAACGGAGGAAAGAAGAAGAAGAGAGGAAGAAGAAAGAAATTAAGTCGGTTTCTAGATCTTCTCCGGTTGATTCGAACCGGTTTTGGTCTGATTTCAACGATTTTGCTTCGATTTTTTGCTCGGTTTTGCTAAGGGTTTTCATTTGGTTCTCGATTAATTCTTGTGTTGGATTTTTAGGCTTGGCCCAATTTGAAATTGGGCTCGAATTTCGAATTGAGCCTGTTTTACATTTGCAGCCCGCACGGCCAAAATTTGCGATTTTTGACTTAAAAAAAATTCGAAGGTTTTGAAAATAAAAATTCGGGGTATTACAATCTCCCCCCCTTTAGACAATTCGTCCTCGAATTGAAATCTAACAGGGGATAATAAGAACAGATGAATAGGTGATTTTAAAGTCATAAGAGATACTAAAAAGTCGGCTCAAAAGCGAATAAAATAGATCGAGCAAAGGGAATAGTTAGGGCGTTCTAACTGTACTTCTACCGTCAATCATCCTACTTAGTGCCACCTAGCTGAAACTTACAAGAACTTCGGTTTATTACCTAAATCTCCAATTACTATCTTCATACAGCTACTGAAATCTTTAGAAAATCTTTCTTTAAACTAAGTCTTACAATAAAACCGGGTTTATCAAGAAGATACATAATATATATTTCTCAAGATTATATAATTTCATTTGAAAATTTAAACTTTCCCTAGGCATTTCTTCATGAAAAACTTAACACATAGTTTACAAACACAAAACACATAGTTTACAATTGAAATTTAATTCATTTATAATAATAATAAGAATTAACTTGTCTAATTTGCATATATTATTACTAAAACTTTTCTTAATCAAAAGTTCAAAAACTACTACTTTAATCCAAAATTTTAAAAAACTTTTCTTAATCAAAAGTTCAAAAACTACTACTTTAATCCAAAATTTTAAGAAAAATCATCTTGTAACTTTCGTTGTCTATTAGTATCACAGGGCGACTTGAGCTCACTCTCATGATTCTTACTAATATAAGTCCTATTTACCCTATAATATTCTTATTATAGAGTGGTGCAACTATTAGATAGTTCCTGAACTAATGACCTCACTATACCACCAGTTATCATGCCTCTACAAAGAATTTTAATGTTTTCGACTCAACTAGTAATTTCTCTTTAACTCAATCTCTCAAGTAACCCTAAAACTTATCATCTAATGGACTTTCATAATAACACCTTTCATCTCTCTTAGCTCTTATATTTTTAATAACTTTTCATTCCACCAATGTTGCTATTAGTTCATCCTAAAACTTTTCATTCCAACCAAAATGATTTTTAATAACTTTTCATTCCACCAATGTTGCTATTAGTTCATCCTAAGGAGATCAAATACTCTTATTAATTATTTTGTCCACTTGGTTTCTTTCACACTACTAATCATCATCACTAATGACTTACCTAATCACTAACATTTTAACCTAACATTTATTACTTGCCCTAGATATTCACCTTTTACCTAATATTCATCAATACTAATAAAATTCCTTATACCCTTAAACTATTCAAGTTCATTCTTAATGTTATTTCTTCCATTTATTACATTAAACAACCCTATACTCCAAATCTAAGTGCCACTTAACTTCTATACCAAAATCGGCTACCCGATATTTCCAACGTTCATGTTCTCAACTTGACTACTAACTGTATACTTATTTATTATTATCACCACCATTTGTCTTATTCTTCTTTTTCAAAACTTCTTTCAAATTTTACTATCCTTATAATCATTTCATTTTATGATCTAATCCAATTGGCCCCGTGATATAAATAGACAACTTTCAAAAATAATTTTCTTTCTCTGTATTCTGTTTTTCTTTCATGGTTTTTTGGCGTTGTTCTTAATGATTATGCTTTTTTTTTTTTTTTTGTTTTGTTCGTAAAATTGTTACATGTCTCTTTTGCTTTGGGGGGTGTGCGGCTTCAATATTTTTTACTATCGCTTATATCATTTCATTTTAATGATCTAAGTGCCGAGGTTGGGTGGCGGGGTTGGCTCGGCGGTGGATCTAGTTATAGTAATAGGGGAGGGTGTCAGTGTATTGCGTGTTGTGTTGTTCAAAAAATAATTTTCTAGTAGTGCATTAGAGGGTGGTGAATTGGTTGGTACATAATTTTTCAAATTGGAGTGTGTGTTAGTGGCATTACAGTCTTTAGTGTCGCTATTAGGTTTGAAATTCAAAAAATGTGTGGACTTTTGGGGCGTTGGTGGTGGGGGGGTTTTAAAGTCGTGTTTTAATGGTTTATTGCTTGGATTAAATTGGATTCGTTTTTATTGGCCCCGTGATATAAATAGACAACTTTCAAAAATAATTTTCTATATAAATAATCAATTTCAAATTATTTATCATAACACAATTTGAATTCAAAATTGAAATGGGGTTTTAAGTTTAAATATCAAATATCAAGTAAATAAAACAATAAAAAGAAATTCTAAAGAAATTTAGTAGCCGAACTGAATACTAAAATACCGATTCCTAATCACCCAAAATTCATCAATCCACCATACAATTGGAAAACCTATTTATTCTCTACACTATCCTGTTCACTAATAGGAATAGAGTTCACATGAAAAGTAGTGTACTGGGTGATCAGGCCAATCCACTACTATCAGGTATTACTCTATTCCCTAACCTAAGGGTATAGGGATGGGTTCATCCTACTACCCACTACTTTCACTCTATTCCTCAATTAATTCTTCTATAGTTTATTGATTTATATACAATAGGTGTGGGTTTTCCCACCTCATAGAGTCTAGTGCGTCCACCATCCCCAGAGAGGGAAATCACAAAGTTTCCTTCCTTATGTTGGTTACGGCCGATCCCAACATAAAGAAATGGTCCTATACTCCGCAGTTATGTCCTAAAACCCTAACCTAAGCTCTGATATCTGATACAAGACTTGTCCACGAACCCGCGATTCCATGGCCGGACCGGCACTAGGGCCCAGGTAAGCTTAAGGCCCCGAGGCCCGTAGTAAGCCTGAAACATTAAGAGTCTATTATCTCGGATACTAATTAATAAAAAAAATATAACTTCATATTTTGATTATTTCTCGGCCCAAAGTTTATCTTTCTCATTTCACAGTTCGGCCCCATTTACAATAATAACAACATTTTTAATATGTGGGCTAACAGAATTACTTCATCTATATTACTACACGACTAGACGTATGTAAATTCTACAACTGCGGAGTCACTAACTGTTTGTTATACATAGCTTCTTGTACATATAATTACATAGCAAAACAATTATGGAACTGGGAAAACTTCTTAATAATCCTGCGACGAAGATAACATAGTTTAACCCGAATTAAAGAGAAACTACTTCCTGAAAAATTTAAGCAATACATGTGAGTTTTCTAAGGAGTAATAATTATTACACAACACACGCAGTCACACAATGTGTACACATATTAATCTAGTCATCCGACTAGTTATATATAATTAATCTAGTCATCCGACTAGTTAATATGCTCACCGCAGCGCAGTGCACACCCAAATGGCATATCTATCAGCACTCACAAATCATAAACATAATAATGAAAATAAATAAATAATTAGAGCAACTTTAAGTTATTATGTATCCAAAATTATAGAATTTGTCTAAATAAGCATTATTATATTTATGTTATTAAATTAAAACTGATCTAGAAAACTGATCTAGGTTCTATCGAAATTTCGACAGCATCTCCCCTAAAAATAGGATTATCTACCTGTTTAAATGTCACAATAACATTATATATATTTATCCATCAATACGCACAGCCCATCCGTCGGGCAATCAATCAATTTAAAACCCCATCCTCCTTCCAAAACAACAATGTCAACACTCAACCATTAATTTATAATAATCATGTTCGAATGATAATGACGATCATTATTTACTTATAATTATAACTAGCTTCTATAGCTAATTACCAAACAAATAAAAGCTTTAATATATATATAATCGAATAAAACTTATATCACTAAGTTAATTTCAATTACTTTCACTTGATAGTTTCGTAGTGTCTAACTATTATAGTACTCTTTATCAAGCTTTCATTTCTTCATTCTTGCTTAAAGTTAAAGATAAGTAACCACATATTTTAAGTACCTTTGTTAAATTTTAAATATTAGCCAATATGAACAAATGCCTCTTTTAAATTAAAAATCTAAAGAATACATCTACTAAAGAGATCTAAACTTACAACTTAAAATAATACCGATTAACTATTCCTAGCAAGAATTAAACTTACTGTTCAATTATTTCAATTTATTCTTTCGCGTTTGGATTCAATAACAATCATTTAAAAATGTTTCGCATTCATAAGTTCAAAAATTAAATATATTTACCCATCAAGGTTCTCTAACAAGAAACCATAAATAATTTTAACTAGGCCTATTCGGTCCACTTCCTATTTTCAAGCATAAAATTAAAACTCCTCTATCGTCAATTCAATGTCATTTCCGATGCTTAGAAAAAACATTAAAAATCCAATATAAAGCTATAAAAATTCAACACAAAGACAATATATCACAAAAATTAAATTTTCAGAACCCAAATCAATTGATTGACTTAAGCCATTTTCTAATAGAATTATGCATTACTTTTGTATAACTAATTCATTCGTAGGTATTATTCATGTAATTATTTAGCTAATATCCTCGATTAACTAATGTTAAGGCATAATATCCTTAATTTACCAATTTTCTGTAGTCTTATACTTTCTAGTGCCTAATTATAAATTCAAGTCAAACAATAGTTTGAATATTAATCAATGTCAGATGGCAAATCTAATAATATAGTCATACTCTACGGGTTGAGTGCAAAATTCTGCCTATTTAGCACTTTCCGGTCACCGGAAACATCCACCATCGCCACAGGCCAATCCACGCATCGCCACAGGGCGCACGGTGGGCCGGAACGGCGCAGCAGGCCCTGAGATCAAACCACATGTATACGAAAATAAAGAATGCTTCCTGTAAAGTTCGATTTTGGAGATGCAAGTATCTACAAATATGGCAAATTAATTACTAAAACCCAAATTTTATCAAATTAAACAAAAAACCGCAAATCTCTTCATCCATCTCAAATGGCTCATTCAAATTCAAGTTTTGGTCCATTATTATTTGTCTAAAGAATAACAAGAACGCATTTTGGCTCACCTTACTAACGAGGGCTTGACGAAAAAGCAGATGAAGTCGCCGGAATCGAGCAAGTGGACCGCGATCTGGCGGTGGAGCAGAACTGCGACTTCTGCCATCGCTGCGCTCGCTAGAGAGGAGGAAGGAAGGCTTGAGCATCTGCGGCGGTGACGCGACGGGCGAGGAGGAATGAAGGGCCGATCAAGCTCTGGTGCCGGAAAACGGGAGAAGAAGGAGGAGGAGGTCGCTGCTCACCGCAAACGGAGGAAAAGAAGAAGAAGAGAGGAAAGAAGAAGAAATTTAAGTCGGTTTCTAGATGCATTCCGGTTCGGATTCGAACCGGTTTGGTCTGATTTAACGATTGGCCTCCGATTTTTGCTCGTTTGCAGGGTTTTTCAATTTGGTTCTGGATTTATTCTTGTGGTTTTGGATTTTTTAGGCTTTGGCCCAATTTTGAAAATTTTTGGGGCTCGAATTGAAGGCCTGTTTTACTTTGGGCAGCGCCGCAACGGCCAAAATTTGCGATTTTTGATTAAAAATCGAATTGAGCCTGTTTTACATTTGCAGCCCGCACGGCCAAAATTTGCGATTTTTGACTTAAAAAAAATTCGAAGGTTTTGAAAATAAAAATTCGGGGTATTACACACAGACTATGAAATGTTATGTTTGATAAAACACAATTTAAACAAACAACTTTTTTTAAAAAAAAAAAGAGTTAAACAAACAACTGTTAAAATAATAAATTTTACGGAGTAGATCACATGCTAAGAGATGGTGTGTCTATCGTTATTTTCAAGATAGGAAAAGAAAAGACTTATCTACCTCTACTTGTATGAGTTTTTTATACACTAAACCAATAATTAATTGTCATTTAAAAATATTCATTTTTTACTAATTTGTCATTTTTTTTTATTATACATCCATATTTTTATTTGTAACAAACACCTTAAATAAATCCATTTAGTGTGTAAGTGAGAATATGTAAGTATTTCCTATTAAAACTTGACAGATTTCTTAAGAGTCGTTGATTTTAGACCTCCAATTTATTTGGTTAGACAATAATTTGAAATAAACAAATTTTATTATATATTTATTAAAGTTGAACTAATAAGGTATTTATCTATAATTAATAGCAACAATAAAGTATTTATCTGAATATACAATTAAATTTTGCTTGAATTAAAAAAATTTTTTTTTTAGGAATTGATTCAACAAATTATATAATTTATTGGACAAAAAAAATAAAATCATCCTCTATAATTATATAAACCCATACCATATACCAATAGTGATTGATATTGGAGTTGGTCCACTTCCATTTCTTAATTTGATATTCCGGTCGGATTCAATTTTCAACTGTTACTTTTTATTTATTGGTAAAAAGTAATTATGGTTCGATTTGTTTAGACAAATAGTTACTAGTCAAGAAGAGTATTTCCAGAAAAAAATAATTAAGAAGACAGGTTAAAAGGAAAGAGGTCAGGTCACGTTCACGAGATTCTATTGGGCGTGTGTGTGGCACAGGTCCATTTAATAAAGAAACAAATTACTAAAAGAAAGAAAAGTGTATATTCTGGTGGGATTTGGTACAGTGTAGAAGCGTGGGTGGCACAAGCCCTGCTTTTTAGCCGACACTGCTATTTTCCAACCTTTTTCTTCGCTTTTATATTTTGTTTGCTCACTCCCTTAGAGGAATTTTTTTCTATTTTTCTTTTTCAAGGCAATATTCCATTTTGATTGTACTTCATTTTTTCCTAAATTTCATTAAATTCGATTATTATTTTGAATAGTTGTTGAAAATTTTTTATCAACAGGGAATTCAGTTCCATTTATATCGGTTTGATTGAAAGCTCATTTCTTATTATTTTGTCTTCTCCCTTTAATTTTTCATTTTGAAAATTAAAATTTTAGATCAAAATGCTTGAATTAATTTGAGATGAAAACCTTAACTTTATGATTTGGAACATTTTTAATTTATATTATCAAAGCCAATCAAGTGCGGTATAGTTGATATTCTCACGTCTGCAGAAGATGTGCGAACATAATATCTTAAGTTCGAATTTTTTCATCACAAAAAGTTATCATTAATTCGAATTTCTTATAGTCAACACAATATTATTTCAATTCATTAAGTTTTCTGTGAATAAAAAAATAAATAAATTTTTTTTTTAGCTTCACCCATGTTCATGATCTAATTTCTTACCAAGAATTACATGTTTTAAAATTAACAATACCCCGGAAAACTTATAGCTACTCTCTCTCTCTCTCTCTCTCTCTCTATTCTATAATATAATATATATTTTATATTATATATATATATAAACAATATATAAAACAATTCTCATCTCTTTTTCTAAATAAAATAGTATGCACACCAAGCCATAGTTTAATAATAAATATATATGTAATCTGATAATAGATCTTTTAATATAAAAAAAAAAGATTAATTGGTAAATAAAAATGAGAAATAATAATAATGGCCTGTCGATGAGCATTATGACTAATGTCCGTTCTGTTAGACATTATCATTGCTATAGAACTTGGGATAGAAAATGAGCATGTGCCTTTATCTAGTCTTCGATGATGATGACATGCTCTTCTTCTTTTTTTTTTTTTTTTTTTTTTTTTTTTTTTTTTGGCCTTTGCGCTCTTTATCCCCATATGAAGTCGGTCACGTGTAATTCTCCACTTCTCGTGTTTTTTTTTTTTTTTTTTTTTTTTTTGGCCTTTGCGCTCTTTATCCCATAGAAGTCGTCACGTGTATTCTCCACTTCTCGTGTAAACAAATCGCGTGGCCTTTTGAATAGTTCGCGAGATTAGGCTTTAGCTTTAGTATTACTCCATCCATATGATTAAAAATATAATTAAATCACCTAATTATAATAATTTACTTTTTAATTTATTCAGTTATTCTTTGTCCCGATCTGAATAATCTCTTATCTTTTTGAAAAGTGTATTAATTATTATTAAGATCAGAAAGAAATATATCATGTATAAGAGATGGATAGATGAAATATAATGATAAGAGAAAAAAAAATGTACGATGAGATAGAAAAAAAATATGATTTTTAATCCTCTCGAAGGATAGCTTTTTTTGGAGTATTGAAAAGAGGATTTAGACATTAATCTTTTATCAGATCTTACGGATATTTACATAAGATTATGTTTGGTGTGTTCTCGAAAAATAATATTAAATAAAAAGATTTCTTTAAAAATTAAAATTTCTCTAAAAATAGACAGGAAATATATTATAAATTTAATTAATTAAATTTATTTCATGGATTTAAGTCAACATTGAAGACCGTAAAATTTGGATCACGAAGATTTTTGAAATTCAAAGTGCTGAAGATCGAAATTTTTAATTTTTTAATTGGGTTAGTCAAATCTCACGTGTTAAATGTGAGATTTTAAATGAAGATTTTGGGAGTAATTTTGATAAACGATAAATTTCTTAAAATTTACGAAATTGATTTTTTAATCTATTAGCAAATCAATAAAAGTGGTCAAGTTTATAGATTATATTAATTTTTGTCTCCTTGTCGCAGTCAAATTAATACCCTCCGTTGCATTTTATTTGCATGATTCAACAAAATACGCATATTAAAAATTTAGTCAAGAAAAGTTATTTTGCTCTTTTTTATCCTTAATTCATTAGGATATTAATAAAAATTCTTCATTTAATTAACAATCATAAATGTTATTATAGAAAAAATAATTGTTTATGTATCTAAATTTCGAAACCTTATAAATATTTCGAAACATTTAAAAAAGAATAATAAATAAATAAAATAGAACGGAAAGAGTATTAATTTTTTAAAACAGTTAAAAAGATATTTGCAAGCAGGGTGTCAACCACTAGGCATAAGCATCTAAATTAAATTCTAATAATGGACATTATCTAAATTATATTGGGGGGCCAAACTTGAATCATGAATTATCATAGTGATATATATTATGAGTTACATTACTTCTTTATTCCCAACCTTTTGGCTCTTGTGAGGTGAACTAATAGCAGCTGAGTGATCTTTTTTTAAGTGATTGACAGCACCTTTAATAAATACTCTTGCCGTTTTGTATTATCTCTTTTTATTTTTATTTTTGTGTTGCTTTCACCATAATTAGTTAGAATTTGTTTGGCAAAATTAGTAGTTTTGATTGCTATTAGCTATTTCATTAACATCTAGCTGATAAATATTTGAATAGTTTTTTATAAAACGCTAAAAGTTAAATATTACAAGAGTTAACATTTTATAAAACGCTACTTTAACTTCTAAAAGCTAATTACTAAACGCTATTTTTACTGATCTAATCGCCTGTTGGTTCTTTTATTATTATTAATTTTTTGTTGGAAATAAAAGAGAGCAAAGTTCTCAGAAGACACAACTTAGGATTATATTAATTGTGTAATAACTAACAACCAAGAGGTGATCTTTGCTGGTGGATGAAACAAAATATGTTCTCTCATTGCAGCTTTCTTTCGAGAGAAAAACCGCATAAAAGTTGGTTTTCTTGTAAACATGTTTTTTTTTTTAATGAAAATCTTAACTTCTTTTGTGGGTTGTCTCTTAAATTTACACGAGGTTAGATAAGGATATTGGAATTCTAACATTAGAAGAAAAAAAATATGTGTATGTGAATATGATTCCTTCAAAAATCTAAGCAAATGCTTGCTAAAATACAATTAAATATAATAAAATAACCAACTAAAAAATTGATCCCAAATAAAAAAAAAAAAAAAAATGTAATGTGAAATCAATTTACATGTCTCCACTTGGATTGGACCTGTAGTAAAGTTTTGTTCTTCTAGCTTTTTAGAAATTGAATCTGTGAGATTGCCTGTGACAAGCACATGCCTTAACAAACAAAGTGATTCAGATTTCAAAGGCGACAATTTTGCGGACCTCACCAAACCATATTCATATTGCATATGCTTCTACTCTCCCACTGAGCCACACGCCCTCACTTTTTTGGGTAGGAGAGGATAAGAATTAGTAACCACTCTTTGCTTTTCCCTTATTCTCTTTTCAGCAAGGCATCTTTGTCTATGCCAAACTTTTCTGATAACGAGAGATAGTTTTTTTTTTAGTTCACTGAATTAACGATAATTTTTATGGTCTAGGAAACTTAAACTCATTAATTTTTATTCATTACATATATAAAAAGACCAATTAAATTACGCTTGATAGCTGAATTTAACAATATGTTTTTCCCTTAAACCAAACGCATTATCATATTCAAACCAACCTTTTCCTGGCACTTTTATAAAGTGGAATCTAATATGGGTTGTGGGGGAAGAATAGCTGTGGGCAATTATTGCGGAGCCTGTAATTTAATAATTTGAGGTTGTGGGAAACAATGGTTGGGTTGGTGGGCAGAGCTTACAAAGTTTTTTAGTCTCTTTTTTGTCTTTAGCTCATATCATAAATATAGAGAAGGTGTGTGCGTGGAGAACGCGTGCTTGTTAATTTTTATGTTTTTCCAATTTTCAACCCCCTTTTCACATGCTTCTTTTCTGCAATGAGCCAAAACTTGCTTCTTCTTAGGCAAAAACTTTCAATTGTTTTGTACTATCGAGAACCCACTTGTATCTTCTTCTCTTTACTTTTCAATGACCTACTGTGTAAAATATCTGAATGGATTGAGTGGGTAAGTGACATTGATTTTATTTTTTAAATTATAATATAAATAAACATTTTTTTTATTTATGAGTACATGAATAGTCCATCTTTGATTAGGCTATAAGTACGATACACAATAATAAAAAAATTCCAAGAATGTCAATCTCTATTTATAAGGAATTCTGAAAACAAAATTATAGAAACCCTTCAATAACCACATTTTATTCTTGCAACATTATGCTTTATCATATAAATTTATAATAGAAATTAATTTTAATTGGTACATTTGCTATGTCATATTTGAAAGGAAATTGAATATTAGGTTTTTTTTTTTTTTTTTAATTCAAAAATATGTCAATTTGAAAGGAAATTGAATATTAGGTTTTTTCTTTTTTTTTTTTTGAGGCAGAAAACAAAATTTAATTTTATTAATAGACCGACTTTAAATCTGTTAAATGCAATCCTTATTTTTTAACGGTTTTTTTTTTTTTTTTTGAGGCAAAAACAAAATTAATTTATTAAATAGACGACTTTAAATCTGTTAATGCATCCTTAATTTTTTACATTATAAATAAATATATATTTTTAAAGATAAATAAGATTTTAAAATATATATTTCACTATATATATATATTCTACCATTTAGAAAAAATAAAATCTAAAAATAATTTCATTTACCGGATCTGCTATCCTTTTGAATGGTACAACATTCTTAATCATTTGGTCGTTTCCGTTCTTTCATTGCGTTTTCTCTTGTCGAACGACCTTCCGTTGCTACAGCAGAATCTTGTTTAAACTACGTCACGTTTTTGTCATCGGGTACTACCAGCCAGTGGAATATTCACAATACCAGCAATCGGGGCCAGACATTGAAGTGTCGGTTTGGGTTGGGCTATTGTTGGGCTGACCCACATTGAAGGGCATAAAACAATCCTCATTTCTATCATCAATCCCTAACCATAAGCAATTAACAATTAACAAAAACTAAAAATTATAAATTATAAATGCCTTTCTACAACCATATTGTGTAATTGAAATCATTTTTTACTTATACATTGGTTATAATACTTTTTTTTTTTTTGCCAGTGTAATGGTGCATGGAGATGGGCTAAAGCAAAAAGCAAAAGCTAAATTTTCTCTTCCTTTCATTTTTAACGCAATCATGGAACAGAAGGATTTGAAACCTGATGCAGTGAAGCAAATATAAATAGGTATTCTGTAAATTGACGGGTTCTAAATAACTAGCCTTTTTCTCTTCTATGGATTGGAAAAAGTAATCAATATAGGATCATGTGTACTAGGAAAAAGTTGAAACAGAAAATAGAAATATAAAAAAAAAAAAATGAAAATAACAACAATATATAATTGCAACTTCTCAACTTCACAAGGTTAACAACTAAACGTTAATTGTACTAAGATAGCTACATAGCCTAAACATACATCGCAACTCAATTCGTTTTGACTGTCAATATTAACCTTCTGATTTTGGGGGGTCTCAAAGGCTGCTAAACCAAGTTTAAAAGACACAATAATAGCACCCAATTACACATTTCAGTACATTAATAGCCACTCAAAAGAGTATCCATCAACTTGAAAAGCAGCTTTCACTCACTTAGGGTTCCTAAGAACAATAATTACAGAATCCCCGCGGAGGAACATCTTACTAATGAATCTATCCTTGTTGACTGGCATGGCCTTTTTCTTGCCTTTCCCTGTCTTTGGTACCTAATCAAAAGAATTCTCGCATTTTAACAGTACCAATGTGGATAGAATGATAAGTAGAAATGAGTTTTTATATAAAACCAACCTCAGTCCACATCTCTCTGACATTTTCAAGAACCATGTTGCAGTGTCGATCAAAGGCTCTAACACGACCCAGAAGTTTTTTGTTGTTCCGACAATTTATGAGTACCTATTGAGTTTGACAGTTATTAGAATAATTCAAATTAATTAAACTGCATACTTGATTCAGCAATTGTGGACTACAGAACTTGATATTACCTGTGTGTTATTTTTTACACTCATCATGAGTACCGAAAGGGGTCCAGTGTTGAACTCCTCCTCCTCATTCTTTCCACCCTGCTTCAATAAACACACAAATAAGCATGTAAACAGACAATCATGATAAGCAATAACTTGAAGCTATTGGGACTGAAGTTCAAGAACAAGAAGCAATTTCTCATGGAATGTTATAATTTTATAGAGAATTTTTGATTACCATGCAAAGAAAAATACTAACTGCATAATATCACAACATAACAATTGTTCATAACTATTGCAGACAGAAATTTCCAAAAATAAATTTCTTGGAGCATCTAAACAAGTGATAAAGAAAATCTAGCCATTACAGTCACACTAAAGGAGATGCATAGAGTGTAAAAAAAAATTAAAATAAATAATAGTAGAGAGAAGCTCCAGGAATGGAATATATCTTACCTCTTCTTCCATTGGCCGACTGAAAGAGCCAAAAAATAGGAACAGCAGAAAATGCAGAAAAACAATAGTTAGAAATCAGGAAAATAAACAGCTCAATAGGAAGATCCTTGAACAAAAACAAAAGAAAGATCAACCAGTACCTCATCTTGAAATTAATTAGAACTTCTCAAGATAGCCTTCACAAATACCACTGAACACAAAACCAACAATAAACAACTAATTAGAAATAAAACAAAACTATAATGAAAAAGATAAAAGGTTGATATAAACGCAGTGTTTGGTTTATACTTTCCATTCTAGCTTCTAAACTACAAAACAGGTTGCCATATTTCCTCTAACTTCACAAGATGTAAACTAGTAGAAAATGAATGAAATTCCCAAAAGTCAGATCAGACATTGAAGATCTTCTTTCAAACTCTTCAGCTCAGGTCTCCAAATATTTTCAGCATTAATAAGCTCAGGAGAACGAAAGTTTTTAAAAACACATCATTAGAGAGGAATACAGAAAGATCTCCAATGTCTACAAGCCAGAACTAAAATACTTAAATGGTATAGACAACAAAAAGCTAAAAGCTGATTTAGAATTCATTTTCATGATACATAAAAAAGAGATTAAGTTCACCAATACAGAATGTCAACGTAGGGATCAGAATCAAGCCTCTTCAGTTCAGGTCTCCAAAAAATTTTCCGCATGAAAAATCTCGGAAAGTTCAATACTCATCATCCTCAGAGGCTATAGAAATGCAACAACAACAACTAAGTCCTAATCCCAAATTAAACTAGTTGGATACGCTACATGGATCCTTTATTTCCATTCAGCTCGGTTCATCCTTAAAGCTAAGGAAAAATATAGAAAAAATATTTTAATACTGATATTAAGCATTTTATGGGATGACAATCAGACCCATCGTAGCCCTAAAAAAGTACAGGAAAGAAAAAGATGTCTCTTCAGTTCAGGTCTCCATAAGAATTCCTCATAGGTAATTTCTCGGAAGAACGAAAGTTTTAATCATAAAATCATCATTAGAGACATCTAACACCGATACAAATAACCGTATAACAAAAAATTCAAGACCATAATTTCATATTCATATCAGTAGAACGAGAACACTAATCAAAACAAAGAAGCAAGCAATAAATGTAAAGAACAAAAGTTATAAGAGCAAGCAAAAACAAAATTACCTGGATTTTAGCTTGGGGCTTAGTAGCTCAGATCCGACGAGAGGAGTAGACGGCTGTTTTATAGTGCGAGCTGTTAGAGAGATCACTGCTAAACCCTAGCCTCCGCCCCATTTTATTCTGTGGTGGGTTTTTATTACTGAATGAAGCCTTGACGTATGGGTTTGGGCCCTGTTTCAAGTAAGCCCATTTAATTGTCATATTCATATATTCCGGAAAAAATTATTTGTAAACGATAATAATAATTTCAAATTTTTACAACTAATTTTTTTAAGAAAGAAATTAAAATTGTATTGTTTTTTTTACCTCCAACTTCAATCACATTTAAACAAAGATTATCGACCAAAATGCTAGTAAATGATCAAAGGTAATTTTATTTTTTTAAAAAAATAACGGATAAATGTGAATTTTGCTTATGTAATCAAGAGCAAAAAATGAGATTTTATCATCATTTGGGATTTCCTACTTAAATATTTGGTTAGACACCTAATTCATTAATTCAATGGATTAAAGAAAAATTCAAAAAAAAAAAAAAAAAGATGCAAAAAATGAAGATTTTAATCATATTTGGGATTTCCTACTTTATATTATTGGTAGATCACCTAATTCATGATTAATTAAATGGATAAAGAAAATTCAAAAAAAAAAAAAAAAAGATGCCATCTACGAAAATTTTTATACAAAGAGAAGTAAAAAAAAATTAAAAAAAAAAAAAAAAAAGATCCATCTAGAAAATTTTATAAAAATGAGAAAGTATTAGTCAATATTCATTGCCTGCAAGAGTATGGACTTTCTATTTTGATCTCATTGTTACAGATTATAAATATCAAAATGGCATCTCTTACAACAGAAGATCATTTGCTGCACACACATGTATGACTATTTTAAACGTAGAGGGACATTGTTCCCCTTCTATGGATTATTTGCTTACAGATACAAACATATGAGATAGGTACGGTTTTCCTAATCCAGAGAGAAAGTGCCACCACAATACCTGCATATAAATCATCAAAAATAAATAAATAAAAGCAGAGTGAATAACAATAATGTAGCTTTCAAGACAATGTTGATGATCATGAAAGAAACAATGTAATTGCATAATATCAATAGATCATTGAAGAAAATAAATTACCTTGTGCTGAACTTCTCTGCAGCATCAGAGGCATAAAGAAGTGTTTCGTCTGCTTTTTCTAGCACCATATAAAGCTCTTTCCCTCTTGTAGTTTGAGCAATCACCCAGGCATTGTTTTTCGCTCTAATGTAAATTTCCAAATCTTTCTCGTGGTCTGTGCTATCCCATTGTTCTCTTCTCTTTTCCAAATCTAATTCTTCTATAAGCTTGCTCATGGCAAGTAAAGATTCCTGAATTAAACATAGGAAGAAGTCTTAACATCACCAACAACAGAGCCCTTTCACCTACTAGTGTCAATTTCCGGATATTATCACCTGGTTGGAGCATTGATTTTGCATTCGGTTCACTCATTTGCAAAGCTTAAGTTTGTCACTTTGACTTAAAGCAATTTAAATTAACCTATATAAAATCCTAGAAAATAGTAGATCCCTTACTTGTGCTGTATAAAATGTAAATTCACTTTTAACGTATGATTACAAATGCAGCTGTAAGATGACATTAAAGATCTATTTTTCATAATTTGCTACTGCCATTATTATTTAGGTAGTTCAGAATAATTATATATTTGAACCACATCCAAAAGAAGAAACGCAATTATTGACAGTAGACTAAGCTGCCATGTCCAGCCATGTTAAACCAGGCAAGTTACTGTTAACTGGGCAGAACTGAAGGGTGATTTACCTTTCTGAGGGTTGAAACCTTTACAGGTGGAGAAGCCCTGGAAATATTCCTTTCATCATCAACCAGTAAGTAACGATAACCCTTGACATGATAAGCATTCTTACCACCCCATCCTTTTGATAATCTCTCTTCAACTTTCAAGATATTAAGCGATGCCTAACACATCCAGCAAGAAAGAAAATGAAGGTGCAGTTACTAAATGGATATCATTGAAATCCAAAAATGTAAACTTTCAAGGAGACAGATGGAATAAAGAACACTAAGCAAAATTTCAACCGCTACCTGATACACCATTTCATAGAATGCTAGAGCAAAAGGAGCATTTGATGATGCATCAAGAAGGATGCCTCAGATTTATATGCAATATCCATTTGAATTTATACAACCTCATCAAGTGACTGATGAGGAAGTAAACTTTTACACGACATATTTCAACTGTCACACCTGCTTAGTGCCTTTTGGTCAATTTCTCTCTCTCTCTCTCTCTCTCTCTCTCTCTCTCTCTCTCTCTCACATATGTATAATGTTCACCAAAAAAATTAAAAGAAAATAACGGAGGAGGACCAGATATACAGTAGAGAATACCTTTTTATAAAAATAAAATTCACTGATAACAGAATAAGCACAATTGGGAGAAACAAGGCACCCTGATTTATATCATGAAATCAAAGGGAAATAAATAGGACCAACAGTAATGACCGGAATAAATATTTAGGACAGCTCCAAAGCTGACCAAGTTAAAAATTTAGAGAAAAGAAGGCACTTACATTTTCAAGAACTTGCCGCTTTATCAGGGAAATACCTTGCTCCCTATTATAAATGGAGGAAACAGGTATCAGAAGGATTAAGGTAAGCTCTCTATATTGATAGGCACAAAGATACATTTTTTCTTGTGTTTGGTGCAGCCAAATTGTAGGGGTGGCAGAAGTCGAGCTATCCCTGTCTCCATTCCAAATATCAGTGACAAGAAAACCATCTGCTCCTTTAGACCATTGGTTCTTCTGTAAGGGCCTTTTAACATCATACCCATCAACTTGGCTAGGAGAATTATCATGCAACTGATAATTATGTTCTGAAGCAGCTCCATGGTGAGCCAAGGTAGTTGCTGTATCAACATGGGACACAGTTTTTCCTCTGAGTAAATAAGACCAGGAACTTCCTCCAGGGGATAGAGCATGAGGGGTCAACCTTAGAATAGCATATGCAAATAAATTTATCGTCTCATCCTGGCAATGGGGGCATTGTAATGAATGTTAGAAATTTGACACGATAAAAATCCCCAGCAACACCATTGTCAAATTATGACAGAAACCAGTGTGATTTAATTCTTGAGAATAAATTGCACTTTAAGAGAAAGAGAACCGAGTGTAGTGTCATTCAGAAAGCTGTGAATAGAAAATGGTTTTGGAGATTGGAACATACCGGAGAGACTGTTGTGGATACAAGCAGGTCCTTGAACAAAATCAATGAGTAGCAAGGCGTGGTCCCAGCACTAGATTCTAGTATCCTGACAAGCAACTGCCAAAACAGGCGAAATCAACAAAATTAATATTAATTTCCTATAAGCTAAAACATTATTTCCATGTTCTCTTTAATACATAAAATTGAATTTCCATCAAGTATTTTTCAAAAAGGAAAAAGAAAATCTTTAGAAATGATAAATTTGAAGTCTGCAGTTTATAAATATGCGGGTTCCATGTGTATAAACATGTTAGACCTAAAGTCTCAGAGATGCACATACAAAGGATAACAAGAAGAGGAAGAAATTTTTAATAGTTGGTGTAGTATGTGCGTAAGTAATAGTTAATGATCAATAAGCTTAGGCATTTGACATGCATATGACTACTGAAAACACTTCCTAGAGGGCAACCTGAACTTCAATTGCAGCCTCTCTCCCAACAGTCAACATCTGCACAGTTCTGCGCTTCATTAAACAGTCACGAAATGAAGGTAAGTGGAGTTTCTTCCCAACAAGAAAATCTGGCTCAAAAAAAAAGTTACAAGTAAGGTGCAGCAACTTCAACAATAATCTGGAGGCTCATCAAATCAATATATGCTATTTGATACAGAAACTTCAGCATTCCCCAGCAGCAGAAGTGCAATAGAGTCCACTTATGACATGCTGACAATTAGAAACTTTTCTATGAAATTTGGAACAAAAACAACTAAATTACCAAAATCTTAGTTGACATACAACCACATAATGTCTTACCACTTAGATAATCCACAATGAAAGGGTACAAATGAGCACGAATTAGTCCTCCACTTGGTTCTCTATCAAGGATTGCTCTTATAGATCCATGGAACATCATAAATAGAGAGTGAACTTCCTTAAGAACCTCTCTCAATGCCTCAATCCGCCAGGTGGCTTCTGACTCCACACTTTTTTCTACTACCTGTGTCAGGGTTAAACATGGAAAAAACCTTAGTAACTATATCATTTAATAGATAGATAGTTCACAGATGGACAAAGACATATATTACTTACTGTACTAAAGAAACACCTGTAAATGCATAACATTAACACAGCTCCAGGATAAAATAATAATATTCTACCACAGAAAGCATATTACACCCACAAAAAAACCAAGAACTGAAGACAATTGTCAGAATACAATGGCAAAGGAAACTTGTAGGTTCATAGTGGGTGAGAAGATTGAATAACAGCTTATTATGTGCAGTCTAGATTCTAAAATTTGTATGCATGAAGTTTACAAAATGGAATGAAGAATATAATAATAGATTGACATCTTTTTATTTATTCATTTATTTTGTATTGTCACTAAATAGATTTTGTAGAGGAATGAACAGACACCAGATTTAAAGTATAAATTAAATAAAGAAACAATAAATAAAGGTGTAGGCAAAGCAACATGACAAGGATTGAAGGAAGCAATTAACATTTTAGTATCATCAACACAAGAAAAGAGAACAAGTATTGCACCATCGTCATCCAGATATCTGGCTCTGCCTCAAAAAAAACATGAGAATGCCTCTCTGCTAATATGACATCACATGCTGCTTCTGGAGAGAAAATTCTGCAAATTATTAATGTTACAGCTTAAACCAACTAACAAACAGATATATACAAACAAATTGATAGGCTCAATAAAATTTTGAAGAAAAAATATAAATAATTTAGTGACCCTATCCAAAAAAATAGAAAAGAAAAGAAAAGGAAAGGAAAAAGAATCCTCATAGTAAATTACAACATATGACAAGCAAATACTGGGATAGCAAGAGAGTAAAAGAAGATTCAGTAAAAGATAAACTTAAGAGAGACAGTCCTCTGGAATCATGGTAATAGAATTGAAGAGAAAGTGGGGAAATTACTCATAAAAAAATGCATTTGTTCAATGCTAAACCATTCAACTATCACATAAATCATTAGAAGTTAAGAACTCTGTACATCAAGCTTTAAAGTTGATCTATACCTTGTAAATGTGATGAGTCCCTCACCAAGCCCTATGACAGAAAGTTGTTTTGACAGGGGCGAATCAGCTGGAAAGAAGAATAAAATCTTATCTAGCTCCAGCCCTTCTTGTTGTCCCCTCCTCAAATCAAATATGCAAAATTGCATGCCTTCACTTTCTATGTTAACAGATGCCAAACCCATGTCTGTTCCAACGCAAAAAGAATCCTTCAAAAATCACAATATGATGCAAGAAAAGTTCCACAGATTCTTATAATTGCATCACATAATGAAATCACTCTCCAAAGACCAAACTGAGGTGAAACTCCAAGAAAGACAACTGTTTCAAGTTTTACAGCAGAATATAGCAAAAGCTACATCAAACAAATATATAAAAGGGACATCTAATTTCAACCACCTCATCAAGAAACACACAGCATTATCTTATTGAAGTAAATCACACAACTGCAATGAGTTCCAAAGGCCTAAAGGTCACTCTTAATATCACAAGAAAAAAGATAGGATCATAATTTTGGCCTAGCAAAGAAATTTTGGTCAAGAAGTATCCAGAATTAATCGAATTCTATTCAGAAATTAACGTAAATAATAACAACTATATTGAGCTCTTATAACCAATGAATAAAATATCCCCATCTCCCTCAGTCCCACACACCCAATTCACAGAGAGAAAAGAAAGCAATGTTGGGCCGGTGGTCTAACATGTGAATGTACAGTTCTCAGACTGAAAGAAAACCTTGTCCTCATGATAGGTATATAAAATTCCAAAATTCTCATCAAAACTCAGCAATGGGAAACTGTAAAAACAAAATAAAAATTACAAACTCAATCGTCATTTCATTTCAATCAAATTCAGAGCAAATTTTCAATATGCAAGTCAATAAGCAAGAGGTCAAACAAAACCCAAGAACTGACTTACTTGAAAAACAAAGAGACCTACGTGGACTAATAGAGTACAGATGAAATCGACTGGTTAAATGCTTGAGACTGAAAATGGGGGAAAGATCGACGCAGGCAGTTAAGGAGAAAATGGAACTTCGTCAACTATTATGCATTCGCGTTGTAGTTTTACTTGAAAAAAAATGAGGAGGAGGAGATCGGTTGATATTTAAACATTTGTGCCTTTGGGTTAATTTTGAACGGTAGGTAAGTCTTGGTAAAAGGGCTTGGCAGGGGAAATATTATAAACCCCATTAATTTTTTTTTTTTTCGTTCGTGGAAGGTGATGTATGGAAATAATATTATAGGCTATTTTTAAAAAGAAATAATATTTAAAAATAATATATAGGTTACATAAATTTGTAATAATTGTCATGGTGAATAGAAGAATCTAACACAATTCCTACGTGACATGGAAATTGAAAACTTCATAAATAATTTCTTATTAAAAAAAATCTTATTTATGCTAAAAATGATGAAAATTGGGCTAGATGACAACTTTGTTAAACTTCAAAAAACAAAAAAATCTAAGTGCCCATATACTTGAGAGTGATTTTCTTCCTTTGATGTTTTTAATGAGATTTTTTAGCTTGACTAATGTTATGTTGCTATTTCTTATTAATTAATTATATTTTTATCAATAAGTTAAATGAAATGGAAATTGAAATTCATGAGGACTACAATTTATTATGTAATTCAAAAAAGATATAGTAGAAACTATTACTTGTATATTGTTTTAGAAAAATAAATTCTAAAAATATTAATGGAAGATACTCCTATTTAGATACATTTTCTAACATTAAGACTAATGAAAAATAAAGAATAACAGACAGAGATAAAATGAATCTATAAACTTTTTACATTAAAGCAATTAGTGATTAGATGGAAGTTTATAAACTTTATGTGAATTGCTAAAATCTCGTAATTATCAAATTGAATATATATTTATTCTCATGGACAGATATGAAAAAATTTTCTTAAAATGAGAGGTATGAGAGTTTTTTTTTTTTTTAGGTATTCATCCATCATAAAATATAAGTCATTTTATATTTGTTTGAAAATATAAATCTTTTGAGTATTTTAAGGAGTAGGAAATAATATTTTTTCAATATTTTTCTTATTGATATTAAATATAATAATTATTTTTACAAATTAATTTTGATTTTGAGATAAATAATAATAATTTAGTAAATTATTTTTCATTTTAATATAATTTGTAAAAATTAGTTGCTTCTTTAATTTTTATATAGATATTTTAAAAGATTTATAATTTAAGATAGTGGGAATATATAGATATTTTAAAAGATTTATAATTTAAGATAGAGGGAATATAAAGGAGGGGAAGAAAATAAAAAAACAACACTGAATATAATGTGGAACTTTTGGGCAAGCTACACTTCGGCTATGATAATATATGAATATTTTCTATTCTCACTTTATTAAAATCTAAAAATAAAATTCGATAAAAAATTTATAATTTCACAGGCAGCGTTTCAGTCCATCTGAACTGTCAATTCACACGGAGCCCCACCTCCCACGGTTAATCGAATGGTCCTAGATTTTCTCCACATCCATTAAGCTGGAGGGAAGCTGATGTAAGCATTTTTCATTCTACCCCACTAACAAGGAGATGGCGAGCTGATGGCCGCAGACTACAAAAGTCGTGTATGAGAAACTCACTCTCACGTGGTCCACACACAGCGTATAAAAACCATCCCCATCATCCCCACGCACTTCACTGCCAACGTCCATAACCGCTTTCACTCAACTCTGCTCAGCATTACCATTACCACCTCCACATCTCTCCCTCTTATTTTCTCCTAATAACTCAAACAGAGAAACAAAACAAAACAAAACTTCTTTTCGTGCACTTTGAATTTGAAATTCAAACAAAATGAAGCTTAGTTCGAGTAAACTCAAGCCAAAGATTGAACCAGAGCCATACATCACGAAGAAGCAACGAACAAAATGTCGTCGTAAACTTCGATCTCAGATCTCTCCGATTCTTATATCGCCTTTGAACCCTGCTTGTCCTCGAAAGAGCAGCGGTTTCTCTGCTTCGACGGCGGATTCTTGTCGTTGCGTTGGCGATGAAGTGTCCTGCGATTCAAGCAGAGTTACAGTTGAATCCAGAGCAAGCAAGAGAAAATTGCGTGAACCAGGAGTTGGGGGGATTGAAGAAGATCCGTTTAGAAGGATCACGAGATCTTATGCTAAGCAGAAAGAAAGCGAGAGGAAAGGAAATGAAGTAGAAGTGAGTGAATTGTCTTGTGTGGAATCCAATTCTGGAGCTGAATGTGTTGTTTCTGAGAAGAGAAGAAGTTCAAAGTTGAAGAAGAGAACTGAAAAATCAAAGGAAATTCAAATTGACGAAGCCTCTGTATCGGTTACCAAATCGGAGATTTCCTCTGTCCAGCGAAATTTGGAGATCGTACAGTTCGAGAGTAAGGAGAATGACGCCGTGTCTATTGCTTCCGGTGTGGAATCGTGCTTGTCAAATAAAACAACTGAAGTAGGCAATATTAGAGCACGTGAAACAGAGCTCTCTGAGATTTCAAAAAATGACGCAGTCTCCATTAGCGGCTCAGTGGTGGAGCAAAAGCCAGAGAGCTCGGTACTTGAAGCTGATCTATCTTGTGCAGAGCACTTCTCATACGACGGTGCTGTTGCTGAATACTCTTCTAGTCACGAGGTGGCGATCTCGGAGCTGCATTCAGAGTTATTCCTGGAGAGTTCGTCGGACCTGGATTTCTCAGACTACACGCCGTCGATTTTCTTGGATTCTGGAAGCGAATTCTCCGAAAAATCTGATGATTTTCCACCTTCGCGTACTTACTTACTGTTGCTCGAGTTTAGACAGCAATTTTCGCGATCAAGTGTTCCTTTAGACATGAGAATGACCTCGTTCAGTGAAGCAGAGTACCTAAGAAAATCTAGCGTAAGTTTCTCCAGTTTTTTACTGTCATCCAACCAAAGCTGTCATGCATAGCTGTCTATTCAATTCTCTAGTTTGATTTAGCTAATTTTAATCATAACTTCTCTAGGGAATTTCAGTTATAATTTGTCATTTTTATATCAAATTCTCATTCGTTATTGGTTACTATTTTGCATTTTTTTGTAAAGATTTTTTGGTTGGAATTTTATGCAAACATATAGTTCTTGCGTTTCCTTTTCTAAGCTGCCAAACACGTGTAATATGTTTTCGAATAATTTTCAAATCCGTTTGTTCATTTGTTTCCAGTTTGTGAGGTTCCAAGATGAAAAAGATGAGGAGAGCTATCAAAGGTTCCGGGAAAGAGAGAGAAGGCAACTATTTTTGTACGACTACGTCGAATTTTACCGTTCCACGACGGAATACGGCGACCTCATCTTTCAGCAACGATACCGGATGGTCCATTGGATCGTTGAGGTGAGTTTCTTCTCCAGCCGTCTAGCTTTTGTTGACTTATTCATCGCGCTCATCGCCGTATAATTGAACACTTAATTAATCGGATGCGGCGTTTCGTGACATTTTTATTGTTTCTATTTACGTTTGGGAAGGCATGTAATATGACAGCTAGCAAGTTCTTTCTGTTACAGAGGGCAAATATGCACTGCATTCACGTTTACCATAGGATATCCAATCTACTTATGACACGTCACAATGTCATAATGTTGTATAGGGCTTTCAAGCTGATGATTATATACCTTCTTTCTAGCAGACAATGTTGTTAGATCCAGGAGCCGAGTTTCCCCATTGGCTGCAAAATATATAACTCGATTTTCTCCTTTTCTATTGGCTATGCTTGTAAAGTTGCAGTGGTAGAAATCTTTCCTGAGGGTGTTCTTGCCGTTTTTCCACTGTAACTGTTTCATGACTGAACTAGTAGTTGCAAAAACGCTTACACGTTGCAAGTGTGTTGCTAAACTAATCCCAAAGTATGAATTTCCGTACCTTCATAGTTTACATTTTTTTCCTTTAACTGCATGGAATATGTATCGAGCAGCCGCAGGCAACGGCGTTGCTTTTGGAGCATCTGCAAACTGCAACATCAACAGTTCAAAACAAAGAAAAATCTTCTTTACACTATTAGGCGTTTTCTGTATACAATAATTATCTTTTACACAGTTATTTTTATCTTTTGAATCACCCATAAACTTCTTTATAGTCTTTATAGCCGGAATTTGTCATTTGCATTACCGATCACATACATATACACTCGTTAATGGTTCATGTTGCTTTGAATAAGCAGCAATCAACTGCAAAGGAGTTTCAGCTTGAGACAATGTTCCTTGGAGTTAGTCTTCTGGATAGATTCCTAACTAAAGGATTTTTCAAGAATAAAAGGAGCCTTCAGATTGTCGGAATAGCCTGCCTTACATTGGCTGCCAGAATTGAGGAAAATCAGCCCTACAACACGTAATTATCTTCACCTCATTTTTCCATGATCACTAACTACTCGGAAAGATACCGGTCTTATATTCACAATTATGGGCATATTATTTTCTTGATCTGTCATTGTTTATGAGATCACAGTTCAAATCTGAATCCATTCCTTCAGATTTTTTGCACTTATTTGATGGCCAAATCACCCCACTAGCAGAAATATCTATTGCTAGCTGCAAGGTTCCATTATTTTTATTTTTTATTTATACTTTTGCATTTCAGTGTGAGGCAAAAGAATTTCCGCATAGAGAGCAATGTGTACAGCAGATTTGAAGTAGTAGCCATGGAGTGGTTGGTGCAGGAGGTTCTCAACTTCCAATGCTTCTTGCCGACTATACAAAACTTCATGTGGTAATTTCTTTTCCGTTGACACAATGTATTAGGAATTAGTAAGATTTGCATCTTTGTCATAAACATACTTCATTTCCTCTTTAACCAGGTTATTCTAGTCTACTGAGTTTGATGTTATTTTATTTTTATTAATGGATCTTAGGTTCTATCAAAAAGCTGCTAGAGCTGATGCAGAGGTGGAGAAAAGGGCTAGATACCTTGCAAAACTAGCACTATCAGATCCCGAGCATCTTCGTTACTGGCCCTCAACAGTTGCAGCCGGGCTTGTCATTCTGGCCAGTCTAGAAAGCGATCAAATTGAATCTTATCAACGGATCATTGAGGTAAGAAACTTAAAAGAACAACACTGCAGAAACTTCTAAATATATGCGGGTCCATAGCTTCAAAGTGAGTTGACTTACTGCCATTATTAAGCTGAGGAAGCATTACATACGAGACATCATTGTTTATAATCGATTTTAGCATTACTGTTCCATTCTTATATTGTCAAGAATAAGCTTCCAGATTCTAATGAATCTAGCAATTTGTGCAGGTCCATGTCAGAACAATAGAAAATGACTTGCACGAATGCATTAAGGTAAAACCATCACTCCTTGTCATTAAAATTAATTTTCATTTTTAAAAGACATTATTGTAAATTGGATTTTACTTTGTCATTTTAGTTCTTTTTATTCTATTACTCATATGCTAATATTAACAGACGCTGGAGTGGCTGCTACAGTATGTAAGCTAGCAGCAAAGCTCAGGAGAAGAGAATTCTAATCTAACTTTTTGCGCACTGACATTCCCTTCTTATACATGACAAAGCCAATTCTGGCCTTCTCATTCCTAATAAATGAAAGCAAAGGTTATAGATATCTGATTCTTTTTCAATTTGGCATAAATGCCCTGTTGTTATCTGTCCATAAAAAGGCAGGATACGAAGTCTGTATAGCTTGTGGTGCTGGAGACATAATTCTTTCTCTGGCATTGACTATTGCAAACATTGTTTTTTTTTTTTTTTTTTGGATTCTATTACTCATATGCTAAGGATTAACAGACGCTCGGAGTGGCTGCTACAGTATGTAAAGCTAGCAGCATAAGCTCAGGAGAAGAGAATTTCTAATCTAATCTTTTCTGCGCACTGACATGTCCCTCTTATACAATGACAAACCAATTCGCCTTACGCATTCCTAAAAGATGAAAGCAAAGTTATAGATATCTGATTTTCCTTTTTCATTTGGGCATATAATGCCCTGTCTGTTTATCTGATCCATAAAAAGCAGGACACGAAGTCTGTATTAGCTTTGTGTGCTGGAGAACATAATTTCTTTCTCTGCGCATTGACTATTACAAACTTTTTTTTTTTTTTTTTTTTGGGTTTTATATATGTATATAATATATAAGAGATCTCTCTCTGTGCAAGCACAGACAGATTATGCAATTAAAGGATTTTTAGTTTCCTTTTTCCTGACGTAGAAATATCAAATATGCAAACGCCGCGTAGTTTTGAAGTAAACGACATTTCTCTAGACGCCACCTACTTGCACTGGCTATTGTTGTGGCATTGATTGCACGTTGTGACGAATGAACATGGGATTTAGTACTTTGTGGCAGAAATGTGATTTTCAAAAGGCATATTCATACTGATATTGAAGCAAACTTAACAACAATATGACTCATCTCCAAAAAAATTGCTCTAAAAGAAGTATTCTATAAACTTCAGTTATCATAAGATATCATAAAGAAGGTTCAAGTTGTCAGGCATAAATTAGTGAAATAAATGTTACATTCCTACACTAAAATGAAAAAGTACCGCACTGAGGATGAAATGAAAAATCCAAAAAGCTGTAAAAGAAAAGGTTGAAGATTAATACTTAATAGAGAAGCTCAAATATATCAACGAGGCAATCATTTGTCCTGTTGGGTTCCAACAATACACATCTTATTTCCTCGTGGCATGCATAACTAAATTGATATAAAAGACATGCATGTTTTTTTTTGCTTAATATCAGTCCATCCAGTGGCAATGAAATATCATTTGTGATAAAAACACTAGATTTCTTAACATTGCTCTTTTTGGATAGGAATATCAAGCAAGTATTTTCTGTTCTTAATTAATAGATGCTAGTTTTATAACTTTTCTAGATTTTTTTTATTTCAATGAAAAAGAGAAGGTAGACTAGCAATCCAAAATAAGACACCTAATCAAATTACAACATTGACCAAACATTTTTAGTTATTTTTCCCTAACCAAACACATAAAATAAGTAGCTCATCAGTGAACTGTGTCGTTTATAATCGTAATTTTCTGTAAATATTTTTTTATGTAAGATTGAAAACATAAATATACTTCATTGATCAGACTAGTTTTGAGTATATTAGGAAGTTTATTGGCTTGGATTAGTTAAGTTTTTTTCTGATATATTAGTAAAATAAATTAAATTTGCTGATAAAAAAAATTAAACTAAGATCATTAATACATTCAGATTTTGCAAAACTATATAAAGAACAAGAATGAAAGAAAGGGGAAATGCTACATAATAAAATTGAACTGTATTTTCAGATGACCTATAGTATGGTCCACAAGAATCTTCAAATAGTATGACGGCAGCAAAACCGCAAAAAGCAAACAAAAATGAAGTTAGTTACTACTCTATAATATGAAATTACGAAAAAACCACCGCTAAATCCATTGAATTCTCCCGCCTAAAGAGGGCTAATGTCGTAAAATCGTCCTTTAAAACCTCATATGCTCTCCTTTCTCCGAGCCCATGGCTTACCCCCCTCTATCTCTCTGCAACTTTGTTTCAGTTTTCTCCCAAATCAAATGGCGATAACCGTATTTGAAGCTTGCAAGAAAAGAAAAAGAAGCCCAAATATCTTCACCACTTCTCACTTTTCCTCTACGGAATCATCGATGATGGAATTTCGCGCTTCATTTAGAGAGAACATCAAACAATTTCTTAAACGATGCGCAGAGAGTGAAGATTATAGTATTGGTGGAAATTCAGTTTGGTGTGCTTTGCTTGTTAGTGAATCCAGCGGCGTCGTTTTTCCTCTCTACATCGTTGAGGAGAACATGAAGGATTCTTCATCGTCGCAGTCTCTTTGTGACCTTTGCAGATTCGTTGGTACGTGTGTGTCTATATTTTGGTTTCTTGATCAATCTTTTTGTCGATTGAATTTGGATTCGTTTTGATTTTCTTGGTTTATTTAATTGTTAGAAGTTTTATTTAACTTGCATTTGTGCAGTTTTTGTGTTTGAAAGTTTGGTTCTATGAATTCTTGGATTTGCTAAACTTACTGTTTTATTGGTCTTCTTCTACACGAACATTTTTGAATTCTTGGGGTTCTTGGTCTCAATATTTCCATTTCAAATTCTTTTTGTTGGTTCTGTAATAATACTATGGAGTTAGGTTGCGAAATTTGTAATATCTCACTTTCTGGTATGAGATTCAGCTTGACGATTGGTTTCTTAGATAGGCTTCAGTTTTTTGGTGGATTTAGTTCCAACTCATTGTCGCTTACATTACTATGTTTCAATGCTCTATTCTTATTTGGGGTTTTGTTTTTTGAAGATATTCTCTGCTTTTATGAATTGAATTTTGGCCTTTGGTGGATTTCTTTAGGCTGGAGTCACCATTTTGTGTCCAAAAGAAACTATCACCTCATAATTCCAGAGGATTGTAAATGGAGTAGGCCTTTAAAGAAAGAGTCCCTTAAACTACAAACCCATCTCTTACACGGTGTCATTCACTGCAATGGCTTTGGCCATTTACTTTGCATCAAAACTAAAGCAAATTTAAGCTATCTTCAAGGAGAAGAACTCATGAGTCTTTGGGATAATATGTGCGACATTCTTCAAACTCGGTATGAAATAACTGATAAAATCTTCTACCAATAAATAGCTTGATTTCAATTAACTTCAATTTTGATTTCTTGTTTTCTCTTTTCCCATTTTTGCTTTGTGTTCAGGGATATTTCAGTTCATGATATGTCAAAGGAGGGATCCATGGACCTTAGATTACTTAATGGAGTTGCATATGGGCGTTCTTGGTTTGGTAAATGGGGTTACAAGTTATACCGTGGAAGCTTTGGTGTCACAAAGCAGCAATACAATAGAGCTATTGAAATCCTTAGCTCATTAGAGCTTAGTAAGATTATTCATGAGTCCAGCACAAAAAGACAAGGAAAATTGATTGAGGAAATTATTCAAACTTATATAAAAGTTAGTGAGACCCCATTGGTTACTATTAGTGATTTATTCCACTTCATGCTTTCTTTTGAGTCCAAATCCGCTATCCAAAGAAAAACAGCAGTAGCATTGGCTTCAATTTTGTCAAAATCCTCAACAGACATAAAACCTCAAGCCAAAACGCCTAAGCTGCAAAGCCATCCAAATGACCATAAGTCGCTTGCTTCTTTTGTTGCTAAATTGGATACTAGATGGCCTGCGAGAAGATTGGAGTATGCAGTGAAAGTAATTTTTCAAAGTCTGGAAACAAATGGAGCTAGAATGCTTCGCCAAGACTTGAGAGATTCAGTTAGAGGTCAAATTGGTGATACTGGTTTGATCGATTGTGTTTTAAAACATATTGATAAGGTTATTGTAGGCGATAAAATTATTCTACGTGCAACTAATACTAGCAGGTTGTTAGAATTTTCACTTGCAAATATTTCTGATGCAGTTACAGATGAAAGGAAAGTAGAGCCACGGACTAATAATACATTGGCTCCACAACCAGGATTAGATGTTTACAAGGATTTGCTTTACTTGTACAAGAATGTTTTAATGGGGTACCCTGAATATCATGCAGTTAGTATAGCAGCAAAAGTAATCTTGGACAGCAAACATTTTGTTAAGGAGAGGCAATTTAAGAGCAGTAACGAGGACATGTTACTAAGACTAATTTGCCAAGTTAGACCGAGTTATGATGAGTTAGTGAATGACCTAACTCGGCCATTGCCTCCAGGTGAAATAGTCACGGCTCAAGAACGTACAACAGTTTGTGAGCTGAAAATGATAGTGCAATATGCATTGAGAGATACTTATTGTATAATGGAAAATTTTGTAGTGAAAGATATACAGATTGGTGAATTGGTGACAAAGGAGGACCAGGATTTGGTCAAGTGTGGTGTGGAGCAGGGTATGCAGGTTTGGGTGAGAGGGCATGGACTGGACTTGGGTACAAAGATGAGGTATCAAGGTGGGGATAATGATTGGACAGTGGATTGTAGATGTGGGGCAAAGGATGATGATGGAGAAAGAATGGTGGCATGTGATGTTTGCCATGTTTGGCAGCATACTAGGTGCAACAACATTAAGGATGGGGATGCTCCTCCTTCTCTCTTTCAATGTCGTTTGTGCAGTTCCAGGATGAAGAAGAAACAGGCTGCAAGTTGTAACTCAACCAAGAAAAAAGGCTTGCTGGTATAGCTAATAGCTCCATGTGAATTGTGAAAAGTTCTGTCGGCATGCAAACTATTGTACAAAGGAAGAATTCACTCAATGACTTGGCCTTATTTCATTATTCAACCTGTTGAATTCTTTTTTGAAAAAAAAAAGTTATTTGCAGGAAAATTTTATGAAAATTGAATTAAACTTGGAATTTATTTTGTATATTGATTAAGTGAAAAGTTTTATCGCATTTGAAATTGTTATAAGAAGGGCTTGTACCCTCTAGCTAGAGTTTACACAGGTTTTGCTTTCAGCCTTCCCATTTATAAGGGCATATTGGACAAAATGTTTACAAAGCAGTGTTTTCTTAGTCAAAAATGGTTTTCATAATAGGTAGGCGGAGGCACACAGCATATTTCGGTTACAAACGTCATTTTCTCTATTCTTTAAAAATAAAGGAAAACCTAGAAAAATTTTTATTGGTTACAATAATAATTTTCTCTAAAAAGATTATCATTCTCTTAACAGAACTAATCATTCTTTATCATTTTTTTTTTTTTATTTTAAAAAATTTTGAATGAAAGGATCTTTATCTATAATTGTTATCATGAAACCTAAAAGCAAAGTCCAAAAGAATACAATACAAAAACAAAAAGACACACCCAAGCCTAGGAATGGCAACAACTAGTAAATTACTAATCTCATTGGCCTACCGAAGCTCATAACGTGAAATTACAAAAAAAAAAAAAAAAAAAAAAAAAAAAAAAAAAAAAAATAAAATTTTTTTTTTCTTCCATTTTCATTTACTCTGTTGCACAAAATGTCAATACCTTTCTGGCACATAAAATCTCACCAGGAAAGTATGTGGAGAATGGTATGGTTGGTTTAATTTTTCCAAGTCTTCAAAAAAAAAAAAAAAAAAAAAAAAAAAAAAAAAATTCCATTTTCATTTACTCTGTGCACAAAATGTCAATACCTTTCTGCACATAAAATCTCACAGGAGTATGGGAGAATGGTATGGTTGGTTAATTTCCAAGTCTTCTTTCCATGTCCAAAATTCTCTGGATTTAAACTATTCAATACAATGTTTACTCACAGGATTCTTTCCTATAATACCAACCCATTTTTCTTTGGCTTCTCTTTTTGTCTGCCACATTGATATAACATAACATTGTTCCCATAACGCAAGGAGATGAGGGTCCCAATTACTCAACTACCATAGAAAAAAAAAAACATAAGTGTGACACCACCACCGCCACCACCTCCTTCACCACCACGGTCCCGACATAGATTGCGACAAAACTTGCCATCTATGACGGCCAAAGAAAATCAACCAATTAAGAACATTCCCATCAAGAATGGAAATTTAGATTAATTAGTATATAGAAGAAGGGGAATATTCAATTCAATACAAATTTAACACCAACCATCAAGATGGATACATACAAAAAGTTTCTGTTTTCAACTAGCATACCTCATGACTCATTCTGTACAAATCTCAAAACCAATTTAAAGATCTATATTCTTATTAATTGAATTGAATGCATACTTTTATGTGACAAAATTGCATATAGAGACAATGAAAATATGATTAGACAAAAGAGAAATTAAAGAAGATAGATTTTTTGACTGTTTTGAAATTAACAGAGAGGAGCCCTTCTAGGAATTCCTTTTCTTTTGTGCAATTGTTTTCTTGGCTTCAATGCTGAAATCAACCATTCTTGATTTTCCTCAGACATATCAGTTAAAGAAAGGGTTGATTCCATCTCACCACTTGATTCTCTTTCTTGATTGTAGTTTTCTTTCCAAGAAAGATTAGGAAATTCTTGGATTGAAAATGTGATCAATTTAGGCTTTTGGTCTTTAGGCTTTACTGAAACTGTTGAAACCTGAAAAAATTGCATACATCAATACATAATGAAAATAAAACAATTAAGCAGAAATAATTAAATTGTGTATTAATCTTTATTACCTTGCAGGCAATTGAGCAAAACCTATTAGGCAAGTCTTGTAAGTATCTCCCACAAGCTTCACAAGAAGCACCAAATTTTGCTTTTGTTGATGGTTTTGAATCTTTTGGTTGCGGCCGCGGATTTAAGTGCACAGCCTTTTCACCATTGATCTTGTATGTCTGCGCAGAAATTACATAGTAAGATCTTAATCAATCTGAGGAAAAGAAATAGTTGCAGAAGATTTAAAAGAACCTGAATTTTGGAGCAGTCAAGATGTTTCTGGATGTCTTGGAGACGAACAACATCATGATAGACATATTTGCAGATCTGAAGTTGCCTATGGAGACTGTGAGCTTTCAAGCAATGCCTACAAAGTCCAATATTACAATCTATACAGAATACATTTTTTTCATTTTTTCTAAATTCTCGATGATGAACACAAGAACCAAAGAATTTGCTCTTCAACAGTGTACTCAGCCAATCTGATTTGTTCTCTATATAAAATTTGCATCCTACCTGATCAATATAAACAAATCTCAATCAATTCAATATATTAACTAAAAACAAAAATTAGGCAAACTGTCTTCAATAACAACTAAATTAGTTAAGTATTAATTTCAATTAGGTATCTGAAAACAAAACAGAAAATCATTTTTATGCCTTCAAAATAATAAATCAATCAATTTCAAGTATCAAATGCTCTGTTTTCCCCCAATTTGATAACTTTTTGCTCTTTGAGTTGAAGAACCAAAACAAGAAATTAATAAAGAAAAGCAATAGTAAGAAATGAAAATACCCAAAAGAAAAGAATTCATACCATTTGGCTTGATTTTGAGATCGAGTTGATGTTAGTACAGTTAAAAATTGCTCAGTTTGTGAACAGAGTTGTGGGTTGAATAGGAAACAGAGCAGGAGCAGAGCAGAAAAAGAAAAGAGAAAAGAAGAAAAAGGATGCTAAGATTGTGAAAAGAATGATATAAGGAATGTTTGAATGAGAGAAAAATAAAACTAAATAAATCTTAAAAAAAAAAAAAAAGAATAAGGAAAGAGAAATCTTTGTGAAAGCAGTGTTTCAGTACTCGCATAAAGAAGTGGCCTACCAGCGGCGGGAAGGTGAATGTATATCTTTCTCTCTCTCTCGTTATAGAAGAAAAAAAAAAAACATATATATTACCAAAATTAAATATTGTTTTTCTTAATATTTAAAAATAATATAAAATAGCTTATATGGTAAATCTCGTTCAGCTATTCAAGTTGCAAGCTCTATTTTTCTTATTTGCATTGAGCCACTTTGAGTAAGCCAGTGAGGTTGTGAAAAAAATAGAAACAAAGCTCCAATTTAAGGCTTTCTTTGATTTATTTTCCAAACAAAAACATTTCCTTGAAAGATATTTTTCCAATAATTCATTTTCCATAGTTTGATTTTAATATTTAAAATTAGTTAAAATATTAGACTATTTAACTTATAAGCCTTAAAAATACTTATAATCATAGAAATTTATTTGTTAAGTATAAAAAAAAGCATAAAAAATGACAAATTATGATAGTTGTCCCGGAAATAAACCTCATATGACAATTTCTTGCAGTTAATATAATTAATAATCTAAAGGCTAGAAATGGAAATGTCCTTCAGATCACAGAACCTGTACCAGATTTATAATTGATTATTTAAGAAAAAAAGAATTAACTCAGAGAAAAATTAGTAAAGTGTAAAAAAGAAAATAATCTTTCTTTTTTTTTTTTTGTAAGTTTGACAAATAAGATTCTGTTTTTTAATAGACCTCAATTTTCTCCAATATATCAGCAATCTTAAAATCGCATATCTTAATTTACCCTTCGATCATGGGCGGTAAATGTCAGCAATATCCTTTTAAATTGAATGATGTCAAAAAAGGAAGAAATAACTACAGGGACAGTTTTGACTTTATGGGGACATAATGAAAGGTCTTCATTTGTAAAGCTATAGATTTAAAAAAAAAAAAGAGTGCGGCATATAAAGGAATTCCTATATTTACTCCGAAAAATGATCACTCTGAGCAGAATACGTGAGTGATAATAAGAGGAATAAAAGCAGAACTCTAATTCATTTTTTTAAATTTAGATTAACATATTTTTGGGTAAAATTAATTAAAATTAATGAAATCAATCAAATTATAAAATTTATTCAATAATCAAAATAATAGGCTAATATATAAATAAAAAAAATTAAAAGTTTGATATTTTAATTTTGTTTATATATAGATTTGATTCATAATAATGCAGTAGTTTGACTAACATATTTAGAGAGAAATAAACATATTAAATAAGAATAAAATAATAAACTTAAAATATTATTCACTTCTAAAAAAGGAACAAAACAATAATTTGGGACAAATAAAAAAAAAAAGTATGACAAAAATTATGAAATGAAAAAACTAATTTCTTAATTTTTTAAATTGATAGATAAAGTGGATTAAAATAATTGAAATTTTATTACTTTAATGAAGGTACTCCAGGTTTTGTCAAGGAAGGAGGCAGTGTTGACATTTTTTTACAACTTACTAGCATAATATAAACTTTTTACTCGGTCAAATTAGTAAATGTGAAGGACTCCATTGATCTTTTCTAGAAAAAAACTCCATTTAGTCTCATTTAATATTTTTGTATAGTGATTAAGAAAACATCAATTCCCATGTATTATAACAAAATATTCATTTATTTAACTAAATTAGTTCAACCAAGTACCGGATTCATACAGATTCTTTTATCTCACATCATTAATTTGATTTTAAAAAATTATAAAAATAGCCATTGTATTTAATATAGATAAAGATAAAATTGAAGAAGAATATTTAATTACTCCTAACATTCTAAAGTGATGATATCTGTAAATAGAAGAACACTCTAAACCACACATATTTTCAAACAAATAATAAATAGATAACAAAAAATAAGTATAGCTTACTAATAACTTTTGATTAATTATAAGTAGATTATTGTACTTTTTTAATTTATAAGCCAACTAAACACTATTTTAGTAGAGGAATAAAAGTCAATTTAGATCCCAAATTTATTTAGCAAGATTAAAAAAGGGCAGATTTGATCTTTTCAGCTAATTAAAAAAATCAAGTTTAATATCTACAAATAGTCAATGTTTTTTAATTCAAATTGATAAGTTGATTTGTTTGTTATTTTTCTCTAGTTCAAAGAATCCGAGTCTAATCAGAAGAATTTCTCTTTCTTGAATAAAAAAATATATATATTAGTAAGATTAAATTTTTTTATGAAAACGACCTATAAGCCGCTCTAAAAAATGATAGTAAAGGAAAAAGAAAAGCATGGATTTTAAGGTAGTGGTTAGACCGATCAGAGAATTCAACGAATTTCCGGCTTTCCGCGTTTATCAACTGGCAATCTAGTTGGACAACGGTGTGCATGTCCATCCCACCTAAGACTATAATGATTAATCATAGGCTTTCCCCAATGATTTTGTTAACAGTATCTTTTTCCTTTTTTTTTTTTTTTTTTTTTTTTTTTAAGTGATAGTAAAAGGAAAAAGAAAAAAGCATGGATTTTTAAGGTAGTGGTTAGACCGATCAGAAGAATTCAACGAATTTCCGTCTTCCGCGTTTTATCAAACTGGCAATCTATGTTGGACTAAACGGTGGTGCATGTCCATTCCCGATAACCTTAAGACTATATACTGTTATCATAGGCTTTCCCGCATATGATTTTGTTAACAAGTATCTTTTTTCCTTTTTTGTTTTTTTTTTTTTTTTTTTTTTTTTTGGGCAAATAGAAACATAACCATCGTTTGATATTATTACTACTTAAATATCATTAGCAATAAAATCCAATGAATTTTTCTGTTTTATAATGAAACATTTTTGTAATTATATCTGTGCATAATAAAAATTTTGTTGACCATGTAATTTTTCTCCTCTTAAAGCTACAAAACAAAAGGCAAAGAAATAGGCCAGGCCGCTTTCTACTGTTAAACAATTTGGAAAGAGTACTTTTTTTTTTTTTTTTTTTTTTTTTTTTTTGGGCAAATAGAAACACCAATCGTTTGATATTATTACTACTATAATTAACAATAAAATCCAAGAATTTTCTGTTTATATGAAACATTTTTGTAATTAATCTTGTGCATATAAAATTTGTGACCATGTAATTTTTCTCTCTTAAGCTACAAAACAAAAGGCAAAGAAATAGGCAGGCGCTTTCTACTGTAAAAATTTGGAAGAGTACTATACATCACAGAATGATATTTCGTTTTGTAAGTTGTAACAAAATTGAAGGGAATAGAAATATTACCCCTGTGAAACTCAAATGGATTGGCTGGTTTAGCTTACGCTGTCTAGTGATGACCATGAGAAATGCTCGTGAAGTGGTTCTCTATAGTTATTTTAGTATTTTAATCATTGTGAAGATGGCGTTTTCTCTTTCTGCACCTATTCACGTACCAGGTGGCATGCTTCTGTAGGCCCATGCCAATCATTACCTTTAGACTTGTAAGCATTACGTAGGTTACAGCGAATAAGAGGATCATCCAGAAGAACCTCCATAGCAGAGGACAGCATGGAAGGCGAGCAGAATATACTGGAGTCAGTACTCGGATTACCTGAAAAAATATTATGGACACTCGGGTTAATATGCGTAAAGGTATTAAATTTTAGAATTTAATTGGGAAAACGATTCAGCAAAGAAGACGCGTTGCTTAAAATTCCAGATACAGTATCTGGTGAAAATCATTAGTTTTCCCTCCTGTTTAGCATGTTTGCTTTGAAGAACTGGAAACTTTCGTTTGGATGGATCATAAAAAATAAACTGTGTTCTACTTATCAAAGTAACATCAAGAATACCAGTGCTTTGAATCACAGTTAGCCCTTTATCTAAGGGTCGCAAATGCCTACATCGATAGCCAGTAAATATAAATGGTTTTGACGAGCATTACCACACATGCTGGCGCTAGAGGAGCAAAAGTAAGATTTCTTTTCCTGTTCTCCGTTTGAATATTCAAAGTCTGTACAAAAAAATGTAACCCAACAGAAAAAGGTAAGACAAAATTTACAGTAAGGATTATTTTCTGAAGGGTTAGAGCAACAATATAATACCTGGTTGCAGAGCTCTTCAAGAAATTCGGAGTATGCAATGGGCTTTATGTCATTGAATTTGGCTAGAAATGAATGCTTTATGATGTCAATTAACATCTCACAGAAGAAAACCATCAAAGCATTCTACAAAATTCAGATCAGATATGGAAGTCAGCAAGGGAAATAAATTCAGATAAGGTATCTCATAATTTCTCCCATTTAAAGCATTAAGGGCATAAAATCTAACTTACAAAAAGAAAACTCTCAAACCAAGGACCTTCAGCCTCCCGAATATTTTGAGCCAAGACAAATAAGAGAAATGCAGAAATGTGGAATCTCTCTACCGAATCTGGTGAAAGAAATGGCAAAACAAAAAAAACATGAGACAGCATAAACTAAATAATTACACCACAAGAAAATGCATGAAATATAAAATGCAATAACTGCATTTCCATGACCTTTGGTACATAATAACAGCAATGTGGGAAAAATAAAAAAATATATTCACACAGGCAAAACTGAAATTTCCTTTTAGGTAGGATAATTTATTCATCAAAAGAAATAAGAATTAATACAATCAGGTTAATCCTTATATGAAGATGCAAAGAAAAGGTCAACATAGTAAAGCTGTCAAAACCATTTAGATGTCAGCCGAAAATGCCCCCTTCGATATCTAACAACTAGAAACACATTCAGAAGCAAAACTTGATACCTGCAAGGTAGAAAACTTACCAGAATACACCAAACTGTGAATGTTATCCTTGCTGAAGCGTTTAAAGACACTGCTTTTTATCTCAGCAAAGTTATTGGATACCAGCAAAGCCAGCAAGGCATTATTATGTGCAACAATACAAGTTGATAAAGTGATTGCCTGAGCTAATAAAATGAAAGAATGAAGAAGTAAGGATTGTCAAGGAAAAAATATAGAGAAAATAAATCAATGACAAAAAAAGACCAAAACAATTGAGATTAAGGATATTTGAAAAAGCAATAGCTAAAGCCTGATCACAGATAAATCTCCAAATCCAGAATTTTGAGTCTTCATCTGAACAACTAGCAAGCCCTTCAGCAGAGTTGAACAGAGTCTCCAACACATCTCCACCAAAACTTTGGCATAATTTGTCAAATATCTGCATAAAGATACAATTATGCATCTATAAATCAGCTGTCAAATCAAAACTATGACCAAAAATTATAATTTTGAAGGCAGTGTCAGAGTTACGCCCGGGATATACTAGTCCTTGAAACCATTAATTCAGGTGATGGAAGCATCTCCATAATAACAGATTAGAGGAAGATAGAAAAATGGTTCCAATTTTTAATAAAAAGGTATGAAGGCCATCTAAAGCCAAAAAATATCTGTTACTATACAACTAGTTCTACACTGGTAATATTTCATTAGTTTTATTTGGCAGTCTTAATGTTGATCTAAATCCTATTTTAACATGAAAGCTTTTGAATCTATCAAAATGCCAGATACAGCATAGGGGGTTTGTGCAATGACAACAATAACGTGCACCCCTGAAATGAAAAATATTTTAGCCAAGGTGATATGAATAGAACTTCATGAGTTGATAAATGCTGAGATGCACCGGCAATTCACAAAAGGACGTTTATAGAATTACAGATCTATGTGCTTTAAATTATATAATAAATTCTAGAAGTGGCCTGAGAAATTGGAATTCCTAACAAATCTCTAATAGTTGTGTTTATAACTCACCTCCAAAACATTGTAAACCACGTAGAGTTTGATTGTTCCTTGACCTCGAATCATGTGATATATTAAGCTGATGTCTAAGGTAACCATTAACAAGCAAACAAGATATTAGTATTCTGCATCCAATGCTCTAACTACAGCGGGATCTGATTCTGCCTTGAAAGTAATGGCCATAAAAGTTGGATACAGAAATGAGAGAATATTCCAAACTTGTACATTACAGTATATCCTTTGTATACCTGTGCGCTCCAAGAGAGCAACACCTGAAACCAACACGAGAAAGCAGCCAACATCAGAGAGCTCTGCTGCAGAAGGCTTCTTGAACTGCCTGCCACAAGCATGGTTAGGTTATTTTGTGATTATTTAAGTTACCACAAGTTTATAATAAAATCAAAAGGAGGAGCAGGAGTACCTCCAACCACAAGTTTATAATAAAAACAAGGCATTTATTTGTCGATAAGTTAAATATAGGTCCAAGCAATGAGAAAGAGGAAGACATTAACCAGATATGCCTCCAACCATCATCGCTTAACTTCTAGATCCAATCCAAAGCAAAGTTCATTGAAAAAGTTCAATTCACTAACCCCCCACCAGGAACAGGAAAGACCAGCTTCTAATTCAATAATCATAATATCCTGAAAATCTATTTCAATTAACATTATCAACCTAAGTAACAGAGAGAAGATTCTGAAGACATTAAACATATCAATCAAACCCAACCAAGTCCAAATTTACACCAAATTATAAATTTACTCTTAGTCCGCTTGTGAACAGAATTGCAAATATAAAGCTCTGATGATACCATAGATTCTTAGCGTCCAACGAGGATGGAACTCACAATCCACGGTGGAGTTTCAACTTTACCTCCATCATGTTTTTAACTCTACAACCACAAAGACGCTCTCTAACTCATAACCTCTATGTCGATAGTGCAGCACTAGTTTAGGATAATGTATATCAAACCAAAAGTTCAAATCTATTGACACATTATTGCCTATCAAACTATAACAGCCATTTTTTTTTTTTTAAACCACCAGTCTATCAAAAGCAGAATCAATTAGCAGAGAGGTGAACCTGCTTACTTAAAAAAGAGTAATAGTCTGAACCTTTGAGCCAATGTGCCACATATTTGTCTCTATATTTCCATAAATCCACATCCAACACCATAATGGAAAGTAAAAAGGCAATGACAAAGAAAATATAAGCAAGAACAAGTCAAAACATAAGTTGCATTTTAGCAATTTCAAGCAAGAAATCTTTAAAAAGCTCCACCACATATAAGTTAATATTAGTAATAATCTAAAAATGCATCACACTGAAAATATTTCTCTTGTAGAAACTTTAACATAAAATGGGCATCAGCAGCATCAATGTGGCAGCATTAATGGAAATCATTTTCATTTTACTGTGACGGTAGACATACTGACTAAGCTAGTATATATTGGTAGTGGTATAATACAAGCATTTACAGCTGAACCCCACCCCAATACCCAAAAAAAGAAACAGAAGAAGGTGAACGAGAAAGAAAGTCATCCTTCGACTAAACTATTAAGAAGCTACGAGGTTAATGAATTTGTAAATCTGCTAAAGAATTATGAGTTGCATAAGTACACATGCGCACAAATATAAATCTATGACTAACCTTGTATTTATTATTCTCCAAAGGGTAATCAGAATCCTTGTTGGCATTATAGTTAACAGTGATAGAAATGAATCCAAGCATACAAAGAAGCCGACATCTATGAGCTGCAAAATTACTGTTGCATTAATGAAGCATGACAATGCAAGGGAACTTATCTTAATTAAAACAAACAGAAAATTTGAAAGCAAGGATTGCCAAAGCATAACACCAGCTTTCTTGCAGTAAGAAAACGAAAGGTGAGATTACCAGTTCACATCTCCATGGCAAGCGAAAGATAGTATCATACACTCTCTCCCTTTCTTTTTCACTGCCAAGAGTTGTTGTGCTCCTTAATGAATTTCCTTTATACATTTCACCGGTAAAGTACTTCACTGGCGAAGTCTCAACTGAAAAGAGATCTAACATAAAATCAAGCACCAAAACCCTTAGAGCATGAAGATGCAAATGAACAAGGACATTTTGATAGCATGACAAACGAAGTATAGACGATCATACATATCAGGAAGAAAATACGGAACTAATAATTATCAGGAGAGAGAGCTAAATATGCATGAAGAAAACAGAGTAGCATATGTAATGCAGATGGCTTGGTTGATATTCAATTTCAAACATAGTGTAAACAAGTGAAATATGAATCCAATTGACATTGGTATATTAGTTCATTATCAACAAAAAAAATTTTAAGTTTCTCTATATTTAGTCACTTACACCACCATTTTCCCCTAAGCAGCCATAACAGTGACTCAGGAACAAGAAATTCAGCAAAAACAAAAGAAAATGAACTGGGCCCGAAATCCTTCAATATAAACCACAAGGTCAATGAGTGCCTGTGATCTGATCCCTGAATAGTGAGGATAAGCATGCATGCATTCATAGGATGAGCATTTATCATCTCATCCAAACGTTTCTCCACAGCTTATTAATTGCAAGCAGAACAGGACTAAGTTTCCGGAGTAAGAAATTAACCAAAAAAATGAGCCCATGCTTTTTCAAAGTCGGATTTCTAAAACACCTTACATGAACATAAACTCCTAGCATTTATAGCATTCTGAGATGTAAATCGGAGGGAGAGAGAGTAGCGCTCGATGATTGCCTTCACTTACAATTAGGATCCTCCGCCATGAGCCGGTTCCAATCCAATGATTCGGCAGGTTCCAACTTCGCAGTAGGAATAGCACTCCCATTAGGCTCACTCCTCCATTGCTTGTCCACGGAACTTACCTCCACTCCGTTTTCCTCCATCTCCTTCTCTTGAACCCGCGAATACGATAGCATCTCTTCTTCTTCTCCTCCTCCTACTCCTCCTCCGGCGCCATTACTCACATTCCTCTGCCTCAACTCTCCACCACAGTTGTTATACAGACTGTGACACTCCGCAACCTCTGTAACATCACTCACAGTACAGGACAAACTCCCTCCACCTCCATATGCAATAAAACTACTGCTTCCGTTTTCCAAAAACACGTTCCCGTTCTCCACGTTTCCATTTCGGGTAACATTTTGAACGGAATTAGAATCGGTGAAACTCGTTTCGGTGATCGGATCTTCACGAATTATGGAGTAAGATTCAAGAGGTGGCTTCTTTTTCTTGTGTTTCTTCTTTTTCCGACTCGTGGAGACTTTCTCGATCGGATCAGAATTTGATCGGTAAAACAAAAACTGGTCTTCTTCAATGGAGCTACTTCCATTTAGAATCTCGAAGGACAGCTTTCTACCAGAGGATCTCAACGCCATGGATATCTCGTGAAGGAAAAAGAGATCCAAAATTCAAAGAGGCCTTCCTGGATTCAAAAATAGGTATTTATATGGTGGTGAGGTTGCTGAATTTGGTAAAAAACGGTGGTGTGAGTGTATCTTCTTTACCCATTTCTCGTTTCTCGATGTTTATCTCTGTGTAAGTTGAGTTTTCTGTTTTAATTAGATGATATTTCTTAAGGCCGTTTGTGTTTAAAACTTTAATTTGATTTGATTTTATCAGAGATTTATTTGACTTTGCAAAAAACCTTTTAAATAACGTGAAAAAACAAGAAATCTACTAAACAATTTGATTTTTTTTTTTGTTTAATACTGTATTTCATAATTTCATTATGGAATCGTGATGGGCCGTGGTGATATGGTATTGCTTGCAAGTGCTGGTGAAGAAACGAAATGTAAACGAATAAAATGGTGACACGTTTCATTTTTAATTCCATTCTTATTATTTTTATTTCTGAATTAAGTGGGTGGCATTAATATAAAATATTTTCCTTAGTTTAATGGTTATGGTGTAGGTAAATGTTCAACAGGAATAAAATTAGAGTGCGCAAACATGCGGATTTAGTTAATTCGATTACTTCAATCTACAGTTGGGTATAATTTTTAATATTTATCTCCATTCATTTATTAAATAACATTCTATTAGAATTGAATAGAAGCAAATATTCATTAAATCGGAATAAATTTCATTTTTAAAAAACACACGCATAAGGAATAAATGATAACTAACAAATGCCAACTGAATCATTTACTTTTTTTTCTTTTCCATACAATAGTAACTTGGATCAACTATAAGACTATCCATCTTTTTATTTTCTCATATAAAGCAACAAAAATGTATAGTTAATTATTTTGTTTTATTTTTTCTGATGTGTGTTGCTCGTGATTGTACCCATTGGATATACTCTAATCTCAATATTTTTATATATAATTTTCTATTAAATTTTTGTCTGTGAAATAATAATATTATATATTGACTATATATTACTAAAAAAATTGTAATTTTTTATCATTTTAATATTAAGCTTGCTAAATTAAAATATTCATAATTGAGTTAAAATATTTTTTTTACAAAATATTAGGATATATTTATCTCTTTTTTTAATATTTATTCTTCGTTGTTATAAGAATAAATTATTAAGGATATTTTTGTTCATCATTTATTTTTAAGTACAATGATTATAATGAGAAAAATATAAAAATAAAAATAAATTTGATAATAAAATATTTTTAAATAGCCATTGCTATTTTACAAGGTTCGATAAAGACTAATATTTTAATACTTCATTATTTTAGTGATATATTATAGAAATATTTTCATATTCAACATTGTAGAAATATTTTTATAATTAAATTATAAAAAAATTTAAACAAGCATTATATTAAAAAATTCGATATCATAATGATAATAAATTTATAAACATATATACATTATATAGTAAGATGATCGCATGGGTTTATTTCAACCATAAATAGCACTCAAAAGACATATAGTAGGTTGAATGACATGTCCCGTCGAAAATTTTGATAAATAAATGAAAATAATTAACTATATGTAAAAGAAAAAAAAAAGTAAAAATCACAAATATTAAAATAAATAAAATGTATGCGAAAAATAGAACATCAAAAGAAACTAAAAAAAATAGAAGTAATTAAAATAATTCAATTATTCAATAATAAAGTGCCCAACATATTATTATTCAGTATAATGAAAAATAAATAAATAATGATTAAAATTGATGTCAAAATTAAAAAAAAGAAGGATTCAAATCTCACATTTTTTAGTAAGGAGATTAGCCACCTCTACATGCAACACCAGTTTAGATTATGCATTAAAAACCATATCCCGTGCAATTTTAGTTATGAAAAAAAGAAATAGAAAGTAAATTTAAATTAATATCTAAAATATAAAAAGAGTAACAAGAAAAAGTAAAAAACACAAAAATGCATTGTATATTACTTTTTTTTTTTAACAAAGAGATTCAATTTTTATATATTAGGTTATGTATCAAAAACTAAATCCCATAAAATTTTAGTTAAAATAACAAAAAGAGAAAGTAAATTTAAGCTAATATCTATAATATAAAAAGAAAAAAAATAAAATCATAAAACTCAACCATAAATGAAATATATATACTATATATAACATGAAAATAAATTTATAAAAAGAATAAGGGTAATTAAATCATTCAATTATTCAATAATAAAAGTGTTGGATGTGTTGCATGTCGAAAAAAGTGTCCAATGTGTCATTATTCAGAGTGATATAAACAACAATGACATAATTGAATCATTCAATTATAATTGAACATATATATAACTCATTCAATTATTCAATAATAAAAGTGCCAAAGTATCACTGATTAGTAAAACATAAACAACAATCAATAATAATTAAACTTTGATGTCCGAATTGAAGAAAAGGAAGAATTAAACCTCACATTTTTTAACAAAGAGATTTTTTTAGTCACCTGTATATGCAACATCAACTTAAATCATACATATATCTTATAAAACTTTAGTTTCTTTTTTTTAAGAATGAGAAAATAAGTTTAAATTAAATATATATAAGTGGAAACGGGTGGGCGGACAATGGAATTGAAAAAAACGCCCTTACTAAATTTATGGATTGGAAAAAATATTATTAAGAATTTTAATTTGATTAGTTAAAAAAAGATAATTTAATTTTAATTCGTCATGTTCATCTTGATTGATTATGTTAATTAATCTTCTATTTAAATCAAAAAAAAAATATATATATATATATACCGAATAATTATACGGTTAACGAAAGGAGCCGATTAAGATCTTAAAAAGATTAGTCTAAAACTATTGAAACATTTGTATAAATAGCAGAGTACACCGGTCCTCCAACTGAAATACAAAAAGGTCTCACCTTATAAATCTTATTAATCCCTTAATGACAATTAACTTTTAAGATATTGTCTGTATCTATCACGTGTGAAGGCATATGGTAGAAGAAGAACTAATGCTCTTAATAATGTAACATAGTATAAAACTTGAGAGGTCACGAGTGGGGAAGGAGAAATAGACGAGGGGGTTGGGCGGGTACCGGTGGTCAACTAAATACAAATTGGGAATTCCCGCGAAGTTAAAAATAAAATTTACCGCCCTTACTTCTCCAGGACATACTTCCGCTGTTTTTTTTCGACGTAGGCGATATGTTGAAGGGGAAAATTCAAAAATCTTTAATCGAAATTTAGAGGAAAACCATTGTTATCTTAGAATCTGTGTTAGGAAATTAATCAGGTTATACACACACAGACTAGATTTTTTAGATTTACAGCAAGCTCTCGTGGCACATTTCATAGCTGTTGCCGATATATAGGGATTCTCGTAACGTGGGGTTAATCTAAACGTCTACTGATTTTTTAATAGCGAAAAACAGAAAAACAAACATTAAACATTAGTCATATATCACTGTTGAGTATAGGATTGTAGATGTCACCATAAGCGTGTGTGCCGCCAGGGGATTCGCCATGAGGAAACGCCCTACTTAGAAATGTGAAAGATTACTTTATTATTCCCAAATTAATCTACGTCAACAAATCAAGCCACAGAAGGGGTTGAACTATAGGTTATTATCACAGAGACCAAATATCTTGGGAACTTAAAATACGTTGCGCGGCACGTGTTAGTTTCCTGTAACCCTTCGTCAGATTGGTATCAAATATTGTGCGGTAAACCTCATATTTGGGAATCTCTTTTAGGGTATAATCCATCAAAAAACTAAATTGGAGTGGTATATGAGGGGGGGTAGGGGGGGAGTGAGAGGTGGAGGGGGGGGTTGGGAGGAGGAGAAAGGTAGGGATAGAGCAAGTACAAATTATAACTTTAATTGAGATCGGGTATATAAACAAGATTAATAATATTATTATAAAAGTCAGTTAAATTAGACTTTTAAACATGCTACAGTCAAAAAAAAGTAATGTGGGTAAAAAGATTTACTTAATAATTTAATTATTACATTAGTATATAGTAATTTTTCAAGATGTATATTTTCATTGGAACATCCTAACTATAAAAATTACAGTATATACATTACTATCTTTTTTACAGGATACCGTAACTGAAAAGGTAAAAAACATGTAAAATGATTTTCTTCAATTTAATTTAATTTGAAAATAAAATTATGAGGGTTTAATAAAAAAAGTTATATACATCTAAATAAAATTTTGGGACTTTTGGATCTTCGGTGATATTAACTTCTGTTTTATAGTATTATTATATAGGAATGCATTTATTATAATAGTTATGGGGTAAAACTTAGTCTGTAAGACTTATATAAATGTATACTAGTTTTTTGAGAGTGAATCATTTAATTTAATCTTTTCTAAGTCTTTATTAATATAATATTTTTTTAAGTTTATTTTATTTATTTTTAAGTTACGCATTCCCTCTTATTGGTTACTCCAGGTAAATACAATGTCTTGACGATATAAGTATTAGCGCGTTGTATGTACGATATTCAACTTAATATAAGGAAATTAATTTTTAAATATGGGCTGCCAATAGACTAATAACCAGGTTATCATATGCCAAATTTTTACGTTTACTTAGAAACTTAGGTAGAGCATAAACCTTCGGATTTCATATTTTATCAAATGCAGGAACGGTATAGATTGCATCCTTAATTAAAGTTTCTTACAACTAGAGAGATTGTTGCGCGATATCCAGGAATACCATGTATTTGCAATTGAGTCACACCCATAAGTATTTTTTGTAGATAACTCTTTAGAATTTCGATCTGGTTTATAATTATTTCCTGCAGAAACTTATTTTACAAAATACTGTAATTTATTATTATTTATTAAGGAATTTAAGGAATATATTATAAAATTTATTTTTTGTATAAAATAGAACATAAAATCACTAAAATTATATATATAATATAATATAATATAATATAAAATTATGATATAACACGTTATATTAAAAAATCATAGAATACATTGAAATAATTTTTTCTCAAAAAAAGCACGTATAAAATTAATTATGCCCATAGAGTAAGTAAAATAAAAATATCAAAATTATAAATGAAGCTTTAAAATAATGCTTAATATATTAATTATGATAATAGTTGATACTGATTTATTATATTTTAATAACATAGATAGTTTACGATATTATATTATATATGAAAAAATTAAGTTAATCAAATTTAAGTTGTTATAAAAAAATTCAAACTAATTGATAAGTAATTTTGTTTTGATGTTGGTTGTCAAGTTATAATAATAATATTATTATTATAAATATATTATTTCCTTAACAAGTTATTTAATTATTGAATTGTTTTATTTTATTATTATTTCATAAAATGCTATTTTTTTATTTTATGAGTATTCTTAATTTAAAATATAAATTATTTTTAATATTAAATTTATAATAAATTATATTAATATTATAATTTATAATAAAAATTATAAAAAATTAAATTATATTTACATGTGTAAAAATTAATTAACGAGGACAAACAAGGTGAAATTTTCCGCCTTTTGAAGTTCTTGCTCCGAAGATTATTTTTAGGTGTTCCATCAATTGAAAATTATAAATTGTTAGGTTAATAATCCAACTGTAGAAGTGCTAATGTCACGGTTTATTTTCTTGGGAAATTTTCCATTTGGGAAACTAAAAAGATAAAAAAAAGCATTATTGAAAAAATATTTCATTGGGAAAAATAAACAAGGCATGAAAATTATAGTCAAGGCGTTGAATTGACGTAAAACTGTAGTCCAAGCACATTCGATGAAATTCCAAGTCTTCCATCAACGGTCCAACAGTGGAGTCCAATTCCACAATTATAATTTTATTGTACAAATTCCGATTTAATATTTTTAATTCTTTATTCTTCTGCGCGTCCACTTGAAGGCAACAAGGACAAAATACTTGTTTAACGGCTAGAGAAAGAAAGGGCGAATGTTACTGAATTTACAGCTTGATGTAATTTACAAGTCATAATTTTTATTTTGACAAATTAATTAAGTATTGTTATCTGATTAAATAGTTTTTATTTTAATAGTTAGCTATTTTTCAGTTAGTCAATAAAAGAATGTAAAAATTTCTTTGTTTCAATTTTATCCTTTCAAGAAAAAAACCAAAATTTATTTAAAAATTTAATCCAAATATATGAGATGAATTGAGATTCATTATGTTTAAAATGAAAAGAAATCTTGTTTAATTTGATGACATTATGTTAAAAAAATCAAAATTTTGTTAATATTTCATCATAATTTAATAGAAAAATCATCAATAAAAAGTTCATTTAATTAGTATTATTTTATTTTATGAGAGGTTCAATATACTGTTATATCTATATAAATATATAATTTTTAAAGTCAAAATGCTTATATGACGATATGTTAAAATATGAAAGTGATAACATGATATTTTTATTTTTTCATTATAATTAATATCTTTTATATTTAAATAAAAATTAAATGTCCTTTATTAAATAATGAAATTATAATTTAACTAATAAGATTTCATTATAATTAATCTATAATAAATATAAAAATTTTTATTAAATAGTTTTTATTCTAAAAAAAACTAATGGAGTTATAATAGAGTTATAGTTAATAAAAAAATAATTAAATAATGTAATAATGATTAAATTAATTAAATAAAATAAATAGAATTAAAATATTAATTTTAATGTACTAAAATTTATTTCATTAAAATTAAAAATTCTTATACTTCATTTAATTCGAATATATGAGAATTTCAAAGAAAAAAAATTATTAACTAAATACATCAATTGAATAATAATAATTTCCTATAATAATTAATCGTGCTAATTAATATTTTAGTTCAATGTTTGAGAATTTTAAAAAAATCTATTATTTTATCTTCCGACATAAGTAAATTATATAAATTAAAACAACACAAATAAAAATTAGAATAATTTTTTTGAAAATTACATTAAAATTTAATTAAAAAAATAAAAATTATACAATCTGGGCATCGCGCAGGTTCAGAATTAGTTATTATACAATTATAGGAACAAATAGACTATACCCCATCAGCCTATTTAATTAATATTTAGAAATAAAAATTCTTATTTACATATTTCAATGAACTGCAAAGGCTAACATTAAGAAACTTATAGCTTATACCTAAAACAAAAAATAACATTAAGTAAATACCGGTTTAAGAAAAAAAAAAAAGGAAAGAAAGAAAGAAAGAGCATTACAAGAGAATACAATATACACAATTCTAAAACAAAGATTAAATGCATCAAAAACAAAAACAACACTCGTATTAAAAAAAAAAAAAAAAAAAAAAAAAAATACAAAACAACACTAAGAAACTCATAGCTTAAGACCAATTATTTATGCATCTCCTACAGAAGAAAGATGGTAAAAAAAAAAAAAAAAAAAAAAATACAAAAACAACACTAAGAAACTCATAGCTTAGACCAATTATTTATGCATCTCCTAAGAAGAAGATGGTAGGCTTCTTTGGTTCAGTGATCTCCACCGTCCCTTCCAGCATCTTAGCAACCTTCCCCATTGATGGCCGCGCTTCCGGCCTATCTTGAAGGCACCACATTGCCGTCTTCACCATCCGATCCACCATATCAAAATGCAGCCTAGCATCATAGCAATGCTTAATCTTACGGTCCAAAATGTCATCAACCTTCAATTCCTTAAATACCTTATCAAATGCCCACCTAGGAAAATACCAATCCTCACTATCCATCAAAGAGCCTTGCATTTCAAAGTTCCTAGAACCAGTCACAATTTCTAACAACACCATTCCAAAACTGTAAACATCTGCTTTAGGAGTAATCGGATCGCTTTTGACCCATTCGGGTGCCATATATCCACGAGTACCCCGAATGCGAGACATACTTACCATATCTTCCTTCTTCCTCAACTTGGCTAATCCAAAATCTGATATTTTCGGGCAAAAATCATCACCCAAAAGAATATTTTCGGGTTTGATATCGCAATGCAATACCCACTCCAAACACTCTTCGTGTAAATATGCGATTGCTCTTGCCACACCTAGAGCAATCCGGTACCGGATTCCCCAGTCAAGAATCGGTTTTCGGCCATCAATCGCCATCGGACCCAACTCTACCTCAGACCCTGAAGATGTGATTTGACCCGCAGGGAAAAGATACTTGTCGAGAGAACCATTAGGCACATACTCATAAACTAAAATCCTCTGTCCTTTCTCAGCACAAAAACCCCATAATCTAACTAAATTGAGATGATGCATTCTGGCAATAATAGTAACCTCTGCCCAAAACTCACCATCACCACCAGTAACATGTTTCAAGCACTTGACTGCAACAATTCGCTTATCGGTCAGTTCCCCTCTATAAACATCACCAAATCCACCTCTCCCAATAGCATTAGCATTAGAGAAATCATTAGTTGCTGCTTTGAGCTCTGCATAAGTGAACCGTTTAGGCCCACCGGCGGGAAGGAATTCTAGGCCTAAAGTCCTAGCCATGTCTCTGTACTTGATATACTTTCTCAAAAATGCCCAAAAGAACAAAACCCCAGAAATCAATTCCGCGGCAAATAACGTACAAATTATAGCAATATTCCTTGTTGTAGTATTTGACTCTTCAGGCGGTAAAGGAAGGCTGATTTTAACAGGACATGTAGTTTCCAGCACACTAGTCATACCGGTGAAATTAGATTTATCTCTTTCAGAGCTGTCCACACGCAAGAACATGGCGGTTTCAGTTCCTGGAGACCAATACCCATATAGCAATCGATCAAGTTGAAGAACACAATAGCCTTGCCCATCATATTTGAACATAAAACCGAGACAATTGGGTTTGTTCGAGCAACTTGATTCACAAGAAGAAAAATTTCTAACGTTCAAATTGCTCTGATCTGACCCGCCAGTGAAATTGACATAATCAAGACGAAGATATCTGGGTTTTGTGGTCGGATTAATAGCAATTTTTCTTTCACAAGAATCTTTGTTAGTAGAGCTTTGCCTAAATCCTGGCGGGCAAACACAAGAAGTAGTATCTGATCCATCGTTCATGCATATTGCATTAGGCCCGCAAACTCCATGAACTTTACACAGTTCTTGAATTGCTTGCCAAACAACAACCCACTGAACCCGATATGGATCATAACTGTACAGTCTCAAAACGCCATCGTTGTCAAGAGTTAGTCTTCGCAACCGGGCTTCCGTACTGTTAGTAGAAAAATCAGCAGAAATGATTGAAGCTCCGCTTGCTTGACCAACGCTACCATCTGTCCTTAGCTGTATAAAGCCGCTAGACGCCGTGTAATATGTTTCAGTATTATTGAAAACCAGAGATATGGATTTCGAAAAGCTGAACTTACCATTATTGGAGACAAGATTAGTTCCGTTTATGATTTGATTCGGCAAGAACGTATCGGTTGGGTAATTGAAACTCTGCCAATCGCCATAAACAAGATTTCCTCCTTCAGTTAAGGAAAGTTTAGTAGAATTCGATTTTGGCGCACCAGGAAACGGATATGTCGACTGAGAATCGATGAGGCGGAGTTCGCCGGTGGGGGCAATGACCAGAGAGGCGTTTGCGGTGAGTGATACAGGAGAACCATTTGTATGAGCTGACCAAACAACGGTAGCCAACTTATTGTTATACCAAATTGAGAAGCTGAAACGATTTGGAGAATTGGGTAGTGGGCAGAAACCAGCTGCGAAGGTGGAGTTGGGAGAAAGAAGGGACTTATTCTGGTTTAGACGCCATGGAAAGTCTGAGGAGGAGAAAGAAGTTAGGTTTTGTTGTGAAGATGGTGAAGGGCTTGAAAAGAGAAGAAAAGCAAATAGAAGGAAGAAGAGAGACATGGATTGTTTAATGGTGTGAAATGGTAGAGAAGATATGGCTTCTCTATAGGTGTTGAACGCGTTTTAATGGCTGCTGCTGCTTTAGAAAGAGTGGTACTGCGTTGACGCATGACTTGTTGACTTTGATGAGATGGCTTTTGTGGATTTTTTTAAGATAGCACTCTGTATTTAATTGGTTAAATTAATTTCATTTTTCATTTTCTTATGTGCTATGAATCTTATTTAATTTAATTATTATGAAAAGAAGAAGTTTATTATTGGTCATAGTCAAGAAATTGTTAATTTGTTTGTCTTGGGTTCCTATTATTGGAATGAGGTTGGAAACTCAACTTTAGAACAATTTCGTTTTCATAGTGAATTAAAATATTATTAATCTAGTCACCAATTTGACTAGTCAAATAAAAATTACTCAAACTATATAATCCGTTGGTATTATTTTAGCGCATGCGGAATAAGCAGTTTCACCTCATGAAATTCAAAATAAAGAATAAGCTGTTTCACCTGATGAATTCAAAGTGAAAAATTGCACTTTCATTTAGATTTTATTTTAGCATTAAACTCTTTATTGACTTCACAGAAAATGCAGAATAATTATGTACAAGTCATGAAACAGAGTTTAAAGAAGGTTGGTTGCTGCCTTGAATCTTGATGGCCTGGCAATTGAGATGTGACTTGTGAGTTAGTGACTCAATCTTATTAATTTTAATTTATTAACTATGGATAACAACGATGGGCATCTTACCGTCGGTTACCCGTGATTAGCATAATTTATCATTTTTTTATATTTTCTTATATTTGATTATAAATTTTTAAAATATGAAATTTTTATAATTATAAATATTTTTATTGTCTTATAAATTAAAAAGTTTAATATTTTCTACTTAATTTTCAATATTACAATAGAAAACGAGTCATTTGAAAATATATTTTAAAAAAAATTTCTAAAATAAGTTATTTTTAGAAACAACTGTACCCTTATTATGAAAATTTTCATCATATACTAAAATTCAATTTCATCACCAAAATATATAGTGATGTTAGAAGAACAACTTTTAACTAATGTTTAATGTTTTGACTACTAAAATAAATTATAATCACCCTAATGTTTAGCTAGATAATTACTAGAATACTAAAATTTCTAAAATAATTAATAGTTATTAAAATAATTAATATCGTCTATGTAAAAATATTATTTTCAATATTTCTAAAATGAATATTAATAAAATCAGACCGTAATAAATAAATACATAATATATTGTTTCACTGTGAGCTGCTATGAATTGGTCAACTTAAAAATTAGAATAAACCTCCAATATACTAACTATTTCTCAATTTATGCCAATTAGTAATTACCCATCTACAAAGAGAAATCAAAGATTCAATATGGCAATAACGACATGAAATGACTAAAAATCAAATGATAATAATTATTTAACCACTTGAATTATTTTTTTAATTTAAAACTATTAGCTTAATATTGAAATACGTGTATTCTGGTGTAGGCATTTTTCTTTCTTTCTTTCATTTATTTGTTTTTTTAATGACTTTGGAGTCTTTGCTTTGATTATTTGAATATGGTATAAATATAATGACCAAAATAAAAACAAAAATTGTGGAAATTAAGAATTCATAAATGTGGTATAAATATTTTTATTTTATCATCACATCCTAAAATCTTTTTTAATTTTATCAACATTTCCACCTAATCGACTCCTCTTTAAATTGGTATATGTATCTAGTCAGTATTTACCGTTTTTCATATTATAATAAATTAATATTATATTTTGCAAATTTTATTTATTTATTTCATTTTATTAATTAATATCTATGTTTTTTTTTTCTTGATCAAATTTGTTCTTCTAATTTTGTCTTTTCACATTTATCATTTTCTTTTAACATTTCTTTATCAGGTTTGACAAGTGCAATCGATACTGAAAATCTTAAGCTCAGTTCATCTAATAGTTGCATATGTCAAGAACGTGTTGTAAGAAATTAAATTAATTATAATTACATGCAAGACACTAATTAATTAAGTTAAATTAAAAATTTTATTTTAATTCTAATTGCTGTGATGAACAATTTTCAAGTTCATACGGATTGCACACAATACTTTGTCCCAATATATAACAAATGTACAGCAGCAAGGTAAAGACAATTAGAGAAAAAAGAAAAAAAAAATCCTAATTAATTCATAATCTAATATTAGATCACCCTTATTATAATTGGATTATTTTGTTGTTTTTTTCCTACTTTCCAACATTTATTTAGTGAAGTACAGTAAGCTTTTTTTTTTTTTTTCGTTAAAAATAATAGAAAAAGTACAGCAGTATCTCATTGTAATTGTAATTAACTTTGACAATTCCAAAGATAATTTGGTACTAAACTATGTGATACATATAAAAAAAACAACGACAATTACCACAGATATTTATGAATTGGTCGCTAAAATATAATTGCGAATAAAATAACGACAATTACAACAGATATTTATGAATTGGTAGCTAAAACGTAATTGCGACCGATTTGAAGAAGCAAAAAAACGGTCACAATTTAAAATGGTTCACCATGTTTTAAATTTAGTAAAACGATTCCTGCAAAATCAATGATCTGTGAAAAAGTATTACTGCGCTTCATGAATTTTGAAATGAAAAAATTTATAAAAAATTTGAAAAAAAAGCTTTAAATTCAAAACTGATATTCATGAAAAAATTTCTCAAAAAAAAAAAAAAAAGAAGAAAAATACTCATGAAAAATTCAAACAATAATAAGAATTGAATTCATAACCCATTGAGGTTAACGTAGACAATGTTTTGATTTGGTAATACTTGATTACATGTTATTTACATTACTCCCTCCGTCTACGTAACTAAATATAGTTTACTTTCATATAGATTAAGAAAAATTAATTAATATAGTTGAATTATGTTTTTTGTTTAATTTTTTTCAAAATATTCCTTTATAGTATTAAATGATGGATATAAATTGAGAATATAAATATACATTAAATATGAATATATTAAAAAATTAGATAACAATGATCTTTTAAAAAATGAAATAGAATTATATTTTAAGACGGATGAAAAAGAAAAATGAGTCTATATAGATAGAACAGAATGAATAATATTTAAAATTTAAAAGAAACGCTGCTCCTTTGTATTATTGGATGATGAAAGGCTAATAAAATAACTCTTAAAACAATTACCGCTGCTGAAATATATTAGGTAACTCTAAATAATAATTAAAAAAAAAACTCAAATATGCATTCCATTGATTTTGTCAATCAATTGCAAATCAATTATGTTTAGATTCTTTAACATAATCATACAATATATCCGTCGTTTTCTAGGCATTTGATCCTTAAATAATGCCTCTCCCTCACCTCTTCTTCTTCCTCCTCTAATTGATCCCTGTGTCTCTGTCTCTGCTTGTAACCATGCACAGGCGAGTGAAGCAAGTCCTTTGTGCCCTAAAAGAGCATAGCTCTCTAAGCTATGCAAAAATAGTAACTTTTGGAGGATTTTGTGACATTGATTTAACCATTGTCAAAGCAACTTCTCCTGATGACTTACCAGTACCTGAAAAATACATACGCGAACTTTTGAAAATATTCTCCATTTCTCCCCCGTCGTTTCATTCTTTTTCCCTTAGTTTCACTCGACGTTTTGGAAGAACTCGCTCTTGGAAAGTTGCACTCAAGTGCCTTCTCCTTCTCCACCGCCTGCTCCGCTCCTTACCGGAGAACAGCCCGTTTCGAGCTGAATTATTATGGGCAAGATCTAATGGTTTTCTCTCTCTTTACCCTTGTCAGTTTCGCGACGACTCCTCGTCAAATCCTGAAGATTATACTCTCTTTATTAGATCTTACGCTCAATTGCTCGATGAAGCACTTCATTATTGCTTTTCTTTAGAGAAGAAGATAGATTCAGATGAGAAAGAGGAAGAAATAATAGCAAGTTTGCCAGCAAAGATTAAACAAGTAAATAGAAATCTTGAAATTTTGCAGCAACTTCAAAGCCTAATTGATCGAGTAATGGATTGTAGGCCAACAGATGTAGCTGCAAGAAGTTTTATTGTCCAATCAGCAATGAAACATATAATAAGAGAGAGTTTTGTTTGTTATACTACATTTAAAAAGGATGTCGTTTTAGTTTTAGATAGCTTGATGCAAATGCCGTATAGGAGTTGTCTATTGTCGTTCAGCATTTACAAGAAAGCAGCTCTGCAAGCAGAGCAACTTTGTGAGTTTTTTGATTGGTGCAAGGGAGAAGGGTTATGTGGGTCTTATGAATATCCTTTTATAGAAAGAATTCCAGAGATACAAATCAAAGCTCTAGAGAATTTTCTTAATGGGATGTGGCAATTAACTGAGCCTTCATCTTCTTCTGCTACATCTCCAGGTTCTTGGGTCGAGTCTCATAAATCAAGTTCAAGTGAAGAAGATGAAAGGGGAGATCATCATAACAATAAGCAAATTGTAGTGAGTACTAATCAGTGGGTGACATTTGATCAAGAAAATACTAATGGGTTTTTTCCAAGAAAGTTGGAGGAAAAATTAGAAGAGTTGATGGAACCATTGATTAAATTGGAAGAGGGTGAAAGTGATAATTGGGAGGCGTTACTTGATGCTTCAATTGATAATTGCTTGATAAACCCTAATGGAATTAGCAATAATGGCTATGAACATGGGAAAGAAATACGAGGAGAAGAGAAAGTTGACAATCAATGGCAAATGCAAGTTTATAATCCTTTTTGTCAGCCTTACAATAATTACTATAATACTTGTATGTCAAATTGCAATAGATGGCCTGCGAGTAATCCTGCATATCAATGGGGATAGTGATCTAATAGGGGGTGTTGAATGTTTCAGAAAATGTTTGTTGTTGTAGAATTTTACACCTGAGCTAAGGAAATGGATGGAGTGGCTGTAGTTTATGATGGTGGGTTGATTTGTTTTATTTAAGTTTGTTTGGCTATAGGATAATATAGGTTTGTTTATCCATGCTGCAAGAGAATCATTTCAGAGATGTGGGCATCGATCGTCTATGTCCTTGTTGAGTCAGTCCATTTTTATTTAATTACATACACATTTTTTTGTAACAATTGGAGATGCGTATTTAAATTGTTCTTAATTTCTGCCATATATTATCATGTCATGTCTGTTTATCTTCTATCTTCAGTTCTAAATTTCTTATCTTTTCTCGAACAAAAGAATTTTTCATTATTTCAACAATCTGATTACAAAGAAAGACCCTTTTATGAGCTGAACCTAAGCTCGAAAAATGTAAGACTCCCAAAAAGTCATTCTCTCCAACAAGGTAAACATCTACGATGAGCTTTGCATAACCACCACTAAGATTTATTTTATTAGAAAAATTGAGCTACAACCTTAGCTCTGTTGTTCTCCTGACATGCATTTGCCAAGCTTCTTTTCATTCGGTGATAACAAGTTGATATAATCAACAACAGGTCCCCATACTCGGGGTAAAGCACAAAGCTGCAGCTCAAAAGACTTGAAACTGAAATGGCAAATAATTGAAACCAAAACTCAATTTTATTTACATTTCATATGAAATTGAGCGGAGAAATATTTGGTTAGATACACTATACTATGGTGATCACAATATACAATATGGTACAAAAATTTCATCGATCATCTCTCATCATTAATGAAATATTAGATATAAGCACCAAAATCAGGAGCTACAACAGCTAGTCCGGTACAATTTAACAGGAAATTGGAGTACCAATGGAAACAAAATAATCACAAATGTTGATATTGATGCACCCAAAATCAGCTCGTCATGTTCCATTATTGAGGACATTACTTCCGGTGCCTCCGCTTCTGCTCTCCTCTTTGCCTCTTCTCATCATCCCATTCTCGGTCATACATCCTAGAATGTGATTAAGGTCTACCACATTGTGGTAAAATAATTATTTCAAATAAATAAATGATGCCAAACATAGATGCGATGGCCTAACATAAAAATTATAAAAATCATGTGCTATGTTAATGATTTCGGTAGGCTGGTGTCCATTAAAGATCAAATCACCAACCACACAATCATAAATACATTGATATAACTTTGAAGTATAAGGTATTCCCGTGCAATTTGCATCACTCAAAATACGGCCTAACATAATAGGCATGCATATTCAATTAAATGGTGCATGTGTCTAGCTTATGAAAGCAATCTTAAGAATGAGTATATTAAATGGTGCATGTGTATAGCTTATGAAAGCAATCTAAGAATGAGTTTTGAGGATACGGATCTGCATCACGACGAGTCATTTTGCCAGCTACTTCTTTGCCATGAATCCTCATAGGTGGTTCCTCCATGTAACCTGCACGCTGGATCATGGCTCCCTTCCTATCCCCCCGATCTCTTCCGTCATATGTTTGTGACATGCCAATAGGAGGAGGTGGAGGTGGTGGAGCAATTGGAGAGTACTCACCAGCTTCCCCTGAGGGCAAATGTTCTCTTTTAAGTTTCCGTCTCTTAGAGGCTGCACTAGCATCCATTTCCTCCTTCAAAAGGTTCACTTTTTCTCTTTCCCTCTCCCTTTCTCTTTCCCTATCCTCCACCTACACATAATAGTTCAACTTCAAAGATTAGCCAAAACAGTGAGACAAATGAAAGCAAAGTGATCTGCATGCAAGTATGCCTAGACTTTTAGGCTCAAGCTAAGCTTATTTATTAAACAAGACGAGGCACCCACAAATACTCGATCTTATCCCAATCTCACAATAGAACTTAGAAGTGCCATGTCCCTTAGTGTGCATAATATCCATGGACCTTCCATCTAATCAGCAATTGCCCAGACGTGGAAGATTAGTGGGGTCCACTTTATCTCTGCCTAATAAAGATGTGCTATGTAATTACCCGATCTGTGGTTTCCCCTATAACTGGTCTTTGACCAATTGATTTGAAAAAAAAAAAAATTACATAACAATATCTATCCCATTTTTTACCAATCACTTCAAATAATAATGGCAAAAAAGGCAAAAACAAAATCAATGCCATAAAAAAAATCAAAATGTAACATAATACGTGCCAATAAAAAGGCATTTCTATCAAAAGCATTTAAAAGCACCCCTTAATTGGCCATAACAGAGTTTAGAATGCACTGGTGAATCGATGATTTAAAATCTCAAAATAAGGAAAATATAGAAACTAACAACTACTTGATTGTGCTGTCTTTAATGGTCAGCAGCAAAGCAGACTAAGGACACATAATATAGGAGAAATGAAACCCTCTGACCTGAACAAGGTAAATGAAAAAGTAATGTGCACATGAAACTTTCACTTAAACTTGCATCCTCAAGTCAAACTATAACTGACTTGTGTCTATGTGTAAATCTGACTCAACTACCTATCACAAGGACCATGGCCTCCTTTAGGCAATCCAGGAACTAAGAATAAGAATAAACAAGCATAAACGTCGGGACATACAAATTCTTCCATAATCACCTCTACACCAAACAAAAATTTGCATTATAGGGCTTAATGCCAACTGAATTCAAGTCAATGCAATTTAATTTAGCAAGCAACCACATCACATTCCTCCCACTTCATATTAAGCAGTGAAACAAAAAGAGACCGCAGGGACTGGGGAGGGAGGAGGGGATTGACCGACAACACCAGAGTCAAAAAAGTAATGACATATATCTACACTGTCAAACTCAAGTCCAATCTGAATGCCAATGATTGCTTTATGAAACGTCAGACGACAGAAAAAAAAAATCCAAAATGAAAATTGAATAAAGAACCAACAGTAAATGCATACCTTCATTGACATCCCCTCTCTCTCTTCTCGCTTCCTCTCTCGAAAGTCATCTTCTCTTCTACGTTTTGCATCGTCTTGTGAAACCATAGAATTTTCTTCTGAGCGTCTTCTTTCTCTCTCTTCATGCCGTGGAGAAAGCCTCTGAGCATGCCTCGCAGCTCCAAACCTTCTATCAGCATCTTCGTCTCTTCTACCAGTATTAACAGATTGGGGAACCAAATGAGGCGGCAAAGGCGGTGGAGGAGGAAGATTTTGCCCATAAAATCGATCATCAACATGAGATTTTTCCACAGATGTATCGCTATAACGCAGCTTGCTTCGGTCATCCTTGTTTCTTTCATCTTTGGCTTTGTCAGTAGGCCTGTCAAAATTCCTATCAGCACCTCTCTCAACTGAACGCTCTCTTCCATATCTTTCCATTGACCTGTCTCTTGATCTTTCCATTAATATATCATCTGCACGAGATTTATCAGGACGATCTGATCTTTCCCTATAGTCCCTGTCATATCTCTCATTACTTTTGTCTTTTGACCTATCCAAAAGCTTTTCAGTACTTCTATGTATATTTTGCTCATCCGAGCCCATTTTCTCAAGGTCCAGTAATCGAGCATCAATGGACCTCTCTCTATCAGATAATCGGCCTTCACCCTCTAAATCTCTCAATTCAGTGTCACCTTTCCGGCGTTTGATTAATCTTTCAGGATCTTCTCCAGGGCTAGCTCTCTTCTGCAGCTTATCACTAGACTTTGATGGTGCTAGAGAACCATCATGCCTAGGAGAATGAACAAGTCGAGGAGGCTTCTGAACATCAGCAACTTCAGTAGCATCATCTCTTACTACAGATTTGCCAGCTCCACCATCTGTCTTGCCTTCACCACCATGACTTGAGGTTGAGCACCTTGCTGATGCTGAAACCACATTACCATTGGATGTGACCGCAGCAGAAACATTGGTAACACTTCCTTGCCTTCCATCAGACAAATGAGAAGAGATGTCCTTGTCACCGGAGGAAGTGCCAGGAGTTCTGCCCACTGCTTTTCCAGATTTAAAGTCATCTTTACCAAGATCTTGTTTAGGTGTTTTAACTGATCCAGCAGGCACTGACCTTTTACCAGAAGCTTTTGACTGTTAACAAAGGCACATGTTAAAAAAAAAAAAAAACAAGAGGTAAGCCACACCAAAGGAGCACAAAGCAAATCATTCCCAAACTTTGAACAAATAATCAATAGATTTAGATTGCAAAAAAAAAGACTAATTTTCCCCTTCAATACCAGAATTAAGAAAAACAAATCAATAAGAGATTCAAGCATATATATCAACACAACAAATACATGATAATCGATCAATTATTGTCATTTCCATCCAATCATATAGAGTCCATACTGCCATGCAATTATTAGTGGAGGTGCAACAGAAACTATCTTAGAAATTACGTGGGCCAATGCTTGTTAATGACTACAGCCTTCAAATTTTCTTTACACAAGGCATGAATACATGTCCCTAACTAATCCCACTAATTCTGGATACAGAGGGCAGTGTCTCTCCCAAAACTGGATATGCCACAAAAAGAAAGAGTCTGTTTCCAGAAAAATACTTTCTCAGAAAACAATGTCTAGATTTTCCAACATCTGGAGCACATAGCAAATTAGTGAATAGAAAATGTTTTCCTAGTCAAAAGAAAAGCAAAAGTAAGCTCAACATTCAAAATGGGAAGTTATTTCTGAATTTCAACAACCTTAAAAAATAAAACCAAACAATGACTACAAAATATTTTTTGTGAAATTCTCTCGTAGTCAACAATAAATTAAAAAAATAGTGTAAGTGGAAAATTTTACAATTTATTATAAAAAGAAATTAATATTTTGCAACGTACCCTGAAGTGCAAAAGCCAAAAGTTTTTAGTACCACAATCAAGCTACAGAAAAATATACTATATTTCATTAGAAAATAATTTCCTACCATTGCCATTATTTTATGCAAACAAAAAGAACTGAAGAAGAAGATGTCTTTAGCCTCAAGGAGGATGTCTCAGATAGTGTCACAAAAGTCCACATTAACAACATTAAGATTAAGCACAATCCACATGATACCTCAGATTCTGCAGAGTTCTTTGAGGCAGCTCTGCCCATGCTTTCATCCAGCGTTCTATTTGCCATTTCATCCATTTGCTTTTGATTCTCTGCTGACCTTGATGCGCCAATTTGTACAGCAGCAGCAGAAACAGATGACTGAACGTCTGACCCATTCACCAATGACCCACCTTTTACTTTTTGATGTCCTTGATCAGATTTCACATGTGAAACATTTTCAGTTCTATCAGACCTCCCATCCGCAGACTTTGCTCTGGGTTCTCTGGCTGAATTCCCAAAATCTCCATGTTGAGTTACCGTCGCAACTGCTCTTCCCCCAGCAGCTTCACTCTGAGAGACATTAAGGGTAGAACTACTTTGGCCAGCTGCTATATTAACAGCCAATGACTTCGAAGCAGCTGGAGGCTTTATTTCGAGGTATCCCATGCCAAACTCTTCATCGGTAACCCAAGAAGGCTGGATATGCCAAGTAAAATTAGATTATATTATAGCAGTAGCAATTGATTGCAGTGTTGAAATTACTACCCACCTTTCTAGCAGCCAAGGCAGCAGCAACACCGGTTGCCAACACTTTAAGATCTTCTCTTTCATCGCTTTTAATTCTAGCAACCTGTATGGAGAGGCAGGAAAAAAATGAAAACAAAGTATATCTATTATAACAAAGTGTTATTTAAAGCCAATTATTCTTGATTTCTCATACCCGCTTTTCAAGGTTAATTCCACTCCTTTTAGTAACAGGGAAAACACCAGAAATTTTCGTCAACAAGATAAGAGCATTTCGAATTTCCATGTACTCGGTTGACTCCAAGCATTGAATCAACAACCGAGATATCCTTTGACTCCATTTCCAGTGTACCTATCAACAAAACAGAAATTGGATAATGATAATGAGCCAGAGGTGACAAAAAGAAAAACTTATGATAATACAAGAGTTTGGCGTCAGCATTAAGGACAATAGCATGCTAGCAACACTATTTCCTGAGCAATTAACAATTGAGACAACCAGAGATGCTATCAAAAAGAAAAAAGACATGAAACAGCAGCCTCATGTCAAGTGAGTCAACAATATAATTCAAAGAGGCCCACTAATGCAATCTTTACAGAGTGTGTTCCAAAATTAACGAAATTTCAGAAGAAAACTGAAAAAAGATTAAAGTAGTAAATACAAATCATGGGCCATTCTATGAGATGAATTACAAAGTAGAGAATAATTTTCTGCCATGAATCCGCAACTTACCAGTGAATAGGCCAATAAAAGCATCCACACATCTGTGGTAAATAATTTAAGTGGAAATTGAGGAACAAAAGCTGACACATTTTTATTTAGAATGTAAAAATCTTATGAAACATGAAGCACTTGCATAAGACTTGTGAAAACAGATCAACAGAAACGAAATTTTATGCCACTTTTTCCCAAGAGAACTGACCTTGATGAACTGGCCATATGTAACACGTTGGCTATTTGGAAATCTATAATACACAGCAAAGCCTGGCATGTTTCCGCACTCACGTTCATATATTGATTCATCACTCTGGACAGAAAGCATCGTTTAAGATCAAGAAATGAAAAAGATATTTCACATAATTGCAAGAAACGAAGCCAAAAGAAGAAGAAAAGAAGAATAGCATTACAATTGTCCATTACCTTCCAGTAGTAAGCTATCTTTAATGTCTCATACAAAAACTTTCCAAGTCGACCTGCTTCATATTCCGTGCAACAGCAAATCATCGGTTGTAAGGTTTTGCAAATCAGTACATCAATGTGGTTTACTGTGTTGAAAAATGGAGTCCCAAGGGAATGAAGAGTATGCACAAACATAGCACAGTAAACAGCATCCGGCATGCTAAAAGTACAACGTGGAAAAATACAGCGCTGAAGGAACTCCATGTTAATTTTCAAAGTATCAGGGCAAGAACTCAACCATTTGTCTTTTTCACGAGACAGTCGTCTACGAACTGATGCAACATTTTCTTCATGCTTATGAAGTTCACTAGTCAGGCGATCTAAAGATTCCTGAATCCTTTCTTTGTCTTTCTTCCTTTTAGTGATTGCTGAGCTTGAATTATCAGAAAGCTCTTCCAAAGCTTTAAGAGCCGCATGCTGCTTCGCAATTTCAGACTCGTAGCGATTTCTAGGAACATATAGATCATAAAGAGTGAGACCCCAAAATGTCGCATAGAGATCAGGTGAGAGGCTATTCCAGGCTTTTGAAGGCAACATTGTTTTCACTGTTTCAAGAAGATCTGACCACCTGCATAAAATTTATATATAAGCATATTACACATTAAATATTATATATCCAGTGCATTAAGAATTGTTGCTCTGCCAATTATTCTTCAGTAGAGAGCATGATGGGGGGCAGGAGGGATCTGGGCAATGAAATGCTACCACTGCAAGGAAATTACAACAAAAGGATTATATTGTTACGTTATTGGCTTCTGAGGAGCTCCTAGATCCAGAATCACTTTTCCAGAATATTCCAGTTGTTCAGACTCCATGTTCATAGTTGTGCTGTTCACAGCCTCATGGTCATCATCCAAAGGCCATAAAACATCAGAACGTCCCTCACACTTGAAGAGCCTCATTACAGGGCGATATATTAGAAAAGCAACCTACAAGGTGGAGCAAAACAAAAACAAATTACATAGGAGAACAGTGAATCAAACATAAAACTTCAACCATGACATGAATGATAACTTCTAAAAGGCGAGCCAAAGGCCATCAAAATAGTAAGTAAAAAAAAAAAAAAAAAAAAGAGAGAAGTTGAATCAAACATAAAAAACTTCATACCATGACATGTAAGTGATAACTTCTAAAAGGCGAGCCAAAGCCACATGCAAAATAGTAAGTAAAAAAAAAAAAAAAAAAAAGGAGGAGGAATATAGGGAAGGAAAAGAAAATAAAAAATACACATAAGATAGTGGGGGGAGCTCAGAACATACAGAAAAGAAGAGAACGAAGAAGAGACGAGGAGAGGAGGAGAGGGGGGGGGCGGGCGTGAACGCAGCAGAGAGAAGAGAGAGAACAACCTCGGGATCAAATGGTAAAGTGTAACAAGACCCGATCATAGAGATGGAATCAGCTGAGCATAAGCAATTGGCTGGTCTACAGCACTTGACAAAGAATCCAAATAGTTGAAGAGAGGTTCCATGACATCTATTCAAAACTGCGTCGCTAACCATTTTGATGTAAAGGGCGCTCTGCATTGATGAGGGCGGCGCAGAGAGAAGAGAGAGACACCTCTGGATCAAGGTGGTAAAGGTGTACAAGACCATCAAGAGATGGAATCAGCTGAGCATAAGCATTGGCTGGTGTCACAGCACTACAAAGGAATTCCACATATTGAAGAAGAGTTCCATGACATCTATCAAACTGCTCGCTAACCATTTTGATGTAAGGCGCCTCTGCATTGATGACAACCCTGCACAAAAAACAAAACCACATCCTTAACATCAGATGGCTAGAGAGGTTATGGGCATGCAACTACTCGATCAAAATGCCAAACTTTAAGAGTTAGGAAGAGGTAAAAAAATATGTAAAGGAAATGATACAAACAGTATAATTTATAATTCCACTAGTATTGAAACCTTAACCCACTACAAGAGACTTGGAAAACAAAACAAGAGCAAGTGTTATTACCAATAAACATATCATGAAATATTTTCCTTTCACCCAGTTACAGCCATCACACTAGATATACCCCCTTATATTCTCAAGGTAGTTTTCAATAAAAATCACGGTATCCCTACATGAAACTGAAGTTGAGCTGTGGCACCCCCAATATCACAACACATGACCTCATTCCCAGCCTCGCTCTTGAATAATTGGGTAAAGGATTATCCACAACAATAGCCAAAACCATAGAAATTTCTCACAGCCGCAGTCAAATATGCTAAGCATAAAAACATAACTAGAGAAGAATATCTTTTATTACTTAATACAGCAACGCGCATGATAAATTGGTATAACTAGCATAGAACGATGTTCAGCAAAGACATGCATAAATGCAAATACCAAGAGAAGAATATCTTTTTTACTTAAGATAGTAACATGCATGATAAAGTAGTATAGCTTACACAGAACGATGTTGAGCAATAAGTAGCAAAAGAGGGATTGCCAGCTTTGGCTCATCCTTCGGAAGCAACGAGTCCCGAAGCCTGTTAGTAGACTTGATCAAAGCCTGCACAAGGAGATCTTAAAATTTAGAACTTAAATACTCAAATCAACATTATTTTGTGAATTCAACTTTGAGAATTTCTTAACTATAATATGAAAATGAGCTCAGCAAAAAAAAAAAAAAAAGAAAAAAAAATGTAATTGCAGCAGCTATAGTTGCCACTGTTCATAGCCACTTGCATATGGATTCAGAACTTCAACAATGGCAAGAAACAAACAGAAAACATGAAAAAGGTGAGATTTAATTACAGAAAAGCAGCAATCAGAAGCTGCATCAAGGCACTAGATTATGCTAGTCTAAGTAAGCAAAGCAACAGTCAAATATCATGTTCAAACAGATGAAAGCCCTGAGTGGAATGAAAAAGGCCATGTCCCCATTTTCTCTTCCCATTCAAAAGAGAAAGGCATACCCACAGTCTAACATCGGTGACCAAACAAATAATGAGTTAAAATATCTGCCAGGCCCAAGACATAAAAGAAATAGCATGAACGCACCTCAGTCGTAATGCACAAAATTAATCAATGATTCAAAATACCCAGTGAGTGTACATGCATACCATGTTTTGAGATCATATCAAAATACTTTTAAATGCAGAAAACTCTCAAAACAAACATTCATACCTTAGCAAAAAAAAGGGAAAGATGCCTTTTTTTACTTTTCATATTTACTAAAGGAACATCAAATCTAATCTAGATATGTCAACATCAATCTAAGCATCAGAAATTCAACTGTTCTTTTACCTTACTAGGCATGTGTCAATTGAAAAAATGATTGACTGAATTAATGCATATACATAGTTATTCAACAGACTCAAGATAAATAAAGCATGAAGACCTTGTTATTCCGTGTTACTCCAAAAGAAGTAGCCTGATACCGGAGAGTTTCACTCCCTGCCATTGCATCCAACTGTTCCTCTGTTAGGTTCTCTGTGTACTGAACATTAGCCATTTGCTGAATAAGCTCCTGATTAAGCATAAACACCAGTAATTAACAGCAATATTTCACTTTAGTTAGAAGTTATAAATCACATAACTTTAAACTTGAATAGTACCTGCAGAAGAACAAGTTCAATTCCTTGGCCCTTCTTAAGCTGGTTAACAAGATACTGGAAAAGACCCCTTAATTCCATGGATGGATACTTCTTGCACCTGGAAACATGTAAAAATTTCTTCATAAAATCTCAAGGAAGTAACAAATACAAGAGAATCCCATTTATAAAGTTATAAGAGGACTTTCCCCACTCAATTTCACAACAAACAATAAAGAAAATGCAATAAAATGTAAGACAGTACATGTCCCGAAAATGTTAAGGAATCAATGAATTATAAGAAAAAATAGCCTTGTGTGCAGATGAGTTAATCATTGTGAGACCAAATTCAGAAGAAGAAATTAAATATATTGATGACTGACTATAAATTCCACAGAAGCAAACAAAAGGCGGCCCAATCTATCAGGCTTCTAATTAATTAAATAGGATAGATAGTAACTATGACAAAAAGTAAAAATTACACAGCTTATGATTATAAGAGAATCAATAAGTTTAATTTAATTAAAAACAGGTGCTGTTGTTGCTTGATACTCATGAAGGTTTGGCATCTAAAAGTTCAATTAAATTATTTCCATTTTCCATGATGGGAAATTAATTCTTATAACAATTAAGAGTCTGACCTTTATCTAAGGTGGCAGAGTGGAGCACTCTCACAGTAATACAATAATTGTTTTTTCCTGATTCGAATTCAATGCTTTATATCAATTCAATAATTCAACAACTTCTGGCAAGATATTATTCTATTGTTTGCTAAAACCCAGACTCTTAGGAAAAACATCTCCTTTAAGTAGAGATTGGGCATATGAAAGTACATGTTAAGTTTTGCATGAAGACTCATTTTATCAGCCAATACTAAACTGAATCCATAAGCACAGTACAAATTTCAGTTCCAAGTATATTCAAAAGGTGGAAAATGATTTCGAAGTGAGATCATATTTTGTCCATAAAATAACACAGGAAATGTATGATGAAACAATGGAAAAACAAAATTAAAACATGCAAATATACATTCCAAGAGCAATTGGTTAATAAGAACACATCAATTAGGTGTAAAATATAAATAAATACACCTAAATTTAAGCTAATCAGAACCACATTGCCGATCAGGGAGAAAATGCAACTGTTAGCAAAAAATGTACTGTCACCAAAACAATATGTAGGAAATAGAGCCTCCACAAATATCCATTGTCATATTACACATAACATGAAGAGAAATTTCCTTCTTGTTGCTCAAACATATCTTTTGATCCCCACCGAAGGTCACACTTGCAAACTCCATAGTTGCGTCTACAAAGCCTGATCTTCTATCTCCGGACCAAACAATGGCTCAATAGTCCCCATTCACAAAACATAACAAAGCTCATTAACCCCCAGACTTAGATATGTGTGCATTTCACTTCACAGGGTATTGACCCAAACCATCAACCATTTCGGGATGTGATCAAGAAAACTTTATACCTGACTTCACTATGCACTTCAACAAAGAAGACCATTGCACAAATGCCCCATACATATCAACCATACCATATCCAACCCATGATACTTCATTCATCAACTTTCTGAATCCTTCTCAAGCCCATAATAGTACTTTGCTACTTTGAAAAGGTGATATGCCCAAATAGGAATAGAAGGAATGATTATTGACCAAAAACAGAATTCTTTAATGACAGAAATATGACTGGAAATATATCTTGTGAAAGATTCTGAATGCCTATGAAAGATATTTGGAAATGTATTATAATTGGAGACACATGCATTTATATATGCATGTGCTTATGGAAAATATTGAGGCAGATATGTTATATAACAAAAACAAATACCATTGACTAAAAGCAGCACATAAAAGAACTATCAGCGGAACCAATGAGTACTTTATTGCTGTCAGCAAAATTGACAACGAAATTTGTAGTAAATATATATCCTGACATGAGAAATCAACAAACTGTGAAAAGGTTGGGAAGCATGTGAAGAAAGAAAGTGAAGCCCAGAGGACAAATCTGCTGACGATAACACGAAAAGAACCTTTAAACCTGCTTGACAAGGAAGTTGATAAATTTTATCAAACGAGAACATGGAAAGACCAGAACCAAGTCCACACTTAGTGACGCAAGTCCAGAAACATTAGAACGTACATGGAGTCGATGAAAAGGTGAATTATAACCACGAATCATCTTGAGAACTCAAAAAAGGCACAATTGCTAGTAAGTCCATCCACAAGACTTATTCTTCTACTCCAACCTTACTTCTTAGTGGCTGCTAAAAATTCAAAAGTCAGCAACAACACTGTAACAGTAATAACCACATCGTCACAAACTCTTAACTCTAAAACAAACCTCGGCCACTAATTAGTCCCTGTCAGTCCTTTTTCCTACTGCTTGAATCCACTAAGTTATGCGTACAAGTCCTGAAAGAATTCTTTGTTGAAGAACCATTTTGACACATCCATTTCCAACTTATCCTGAATGGACACTACCTTGAGCCTTCAATCTATTCTCCCTGTCTCACATATTCATCTTAACAACATTTCACTTAAGCTAATTGCACAAATATATTTTTCAAGTTGGTAAAGCCACATTAAGAGAGTCTCATCATCCAGTTCCAACTATAAATAATGAAACCACAAACACCAAAGTATAACACAGAATTCCAAATCAATTAAGCAAAATGCAAAATAGCCATGAAAAAAAAAGGGGGAACATAAACATTATATTGCCCAACCAAGTAGCTCTGAACAAGCATGTATTGATATCAGACATCACTTCTTGCAAGTTACATGTGTTACCAACGTTGAAGACCTCTGGCTCACTATATACACGCTATGGTAATCAATGCAAAAGAAGAATTAAAAATGTGAAAAAGGAAAAATTGAATATAAAAAACGCAAACCAAAGTTTTATGAAGTCCATGAAAAACTAGCCCAAGGCATGTACAACTGAACAGCTCTGGCAACAATTAGAGCTTCAACAATATTTCCGAGTGTCGCATCAACAGAATTTGATTTACTTCAACAGGTTGCAAGCTATGTATGGCATTGAACATTTCTATCCATGGAATTCCATCTACGAAGAACCCGTTGCCATTTGACGAATACCAAAGCCACCATCAAAGCAAGCTAATGCAGCTATACCCACAACAGAGTGCTCAATTAACACTCATATTATTCTGAGCACACATCTCGTGATAGAAGAATACCCGTCCGGAGGACTTGAGCCAGCAAAATTATATGTAAACAACAGATCTCTCAGGACATACATATCTTGCAACATTCCAGCAGCAAAAAAGAGGGCAGACACTAACTAACCAAGATGAATGGCATTCAGGCAAGAAATCTACTAAACCCAGAACCAACTGCCTTAAAATTTCAGCCTCCTGCCTAAACCTAAGCTCTTTAGAAGGCGAACAAATTAAGGACATCAATTTCAAACCATTATGTGTCACCCAAAGAATACCACTAATTAGCAAATCTTCATAGGACCACAGCCAATAGTATAGATCTTATCACTGGAAATCACTTTGATCAATTACTCCACTCTCAACTACCAATTAAAAATTTAATTCAATTGGTTTGCAGCAAGTTTAAATATGTTTTCCACCATTATTAAAATTGTAAAAGACACCAAAATTGCAAATTGCATGGTAAAGCACTATTAGCTTGCCAAGAACTTCCCTTTTTCATCAGAAATCATCTTCCATCTGACCAGGTTATGATCATCAATCTCACTTGAATATTTTAAGCAGCACCCTCTAGTCCCCAATGTGACAAACTTGAAAAGGCAATAAAGAATGGTATCTATGTGAAGTTTTGATGAAACAATACTTCCTAACCAACATCCTTAGCTCAAAGCCCTACTTCATAACGAAATCCTAAAGTTTGATCTCCAACGATGAAGGTGATCAATGAATATCACTCCAAAATTCTAGAAAGTGGCTGCCACACATTATCCAAGTATACGCCAAAAAATGAATAGCATCACTGAGAACAATGGATGATGCAATCCTAACCAACCCTCTTCCTCAGGTATCATTTCCAATCCTGTAGACACTTCTTTCAATCTGTTACAAAATCCCATAAAGTTCTCTGAATGAAATTCAATTGCCAAGCCAAAATGTTGAAACTGATATGGCCTCAAAAATCAAGACTCAGAAAAACTGGCAATGTCCCACAACACCTCAGCTCCAATCATCCTGCTTTTGCTGAGTTAAATCTGCAACCCGTAAACTGAAGTAAAGCATCCCAAGAAAAATCTAAAGTTCTTAATAGAATCAAACCAATGCTCAAGGTGACTCCACATGTTGAATATCAGTTTATAGAACATAAACTAACCAGAAGTTGCTTAGTAAGCAGATGTAGGTTACTAGATTAGGAACCCCTTACTGTTGATGAACCATATCATTTAACCACTATTGCCTCATGGGAAAAATAAGAGTACATAACTAATGGAAGTGTCAAAAACCAATAAATTCTAATAATCAACATGCTGTGGCAAAAATAACAATGTACAACAAGGAAGACAGAGCTCCACAAATAAGATAAGAGCACATACAGGTGACCCCAAAATGAAGCCAGTGACTGAAGCCAATCTGACAAATTAAGACCATCATCTTTTAGCTTATCACGACCTCCTTGTGCCAACCGCTCAATTACAACATATTCCAAGATGTCATACTCAAGCTGTACAGAAAATCAAGCATATAGTAAGTGTCAACATATTAAAAATACTGGAGACTAACCCAACAAAATTATTCCAAATAATTTCATAATCCATCATCAAAAGCACCAGGATAAGAGTTTCAACCAAACCGGAAAATAAGAACACATAAAAGTACAAGAAAATAGGAGAGTGAAAAATCAGCTAGATTCTGCACAAATAATCAGAGCAAGATTCTGCAGAAACTAACTATTTAGAATGATCCATAAATCCACTTGCAACATGCAACTGAAAAACAAAAACAACCATGATGTCAAGGAATGTTGGTCTTCTTTTTCTTTTTTTTTTTTTTTTTTTTTTTTTTTTTTTTTTAAGAGTTTCCAAACCAAACGGAAAAATAAGAAAACAGCATAAAAGGTACAAGAAAAATAGGAGAGTGAAAAATGCAGCTAGATTCTGACACAAAATAAGTTCAGAGCAAGATCCTGGCAGAAAACTAAACTATTTAGAATGATCCATAAATCCACTTGGCAACATGCAAACTGAAAAACAAAAACAACCCTATGGATGTCAAGGAAATGTTGGTCTTCTTGTTTCTTTTTTTTTTTTTTTTTTTTTTTTTGTTTGTTTTCCAGAAATTGAGAAAAATTACTTTGGCAGAATGAAATTTCAAGGGAAGCGAGAAAAATTTTTAAAGGGGAATAAGGCAAAGAATACTTGAAAGCAATACGAAATGACTTTTTAAACAAAGTAGAATAAAATTCTGGAAGCGCATCGGCATGAGAAGAAGGAAATGAATTATGGAAATTGCAAGGAAAGCAAATGCTCAACCTGGTGGGGTTAAATATGTTTGAAAGCATCGTACAACAGGCATATATCATATCCCTATGAGCCTCATACTGCCAAACAAAATTTCCCATACAGTAAATTCCTAACTTAATGAAATCTAAATCTGTGAAAATAGAAGATATCACTGCTTTTGACAACAACACCTGGTGAAACAATGCGTTCTGTAAAGTACAAGTCCATTGGGATTTTTTTTTTTTTTTTTTTTTTTTTTTTTTTTTTGTTTGTTTTCCAGAAATGAGAATTACTTTGGCAGATTGAAATTTCAAGGGGAAGCGAGAAAAATTTTTAAAGGGGAATAAGGCAAAAATACTTGCAAACAATACTAAATGATTTTAAACAAAGTAGAATAAAATTCTGAGCATGGCATGAGAAGAAGGAAATAATTAGGAATTGCAAAAGCAAATGCTCACCTGTGTCAAATATTTGAAAGCATCTACAACAGGCATAATCATATCCCTATAAGCCTCAATCTGCCAAACAAATTTCCATACAGTAAATTCCTCTAACTTATGAAATCTAAATCTGTGAGAAATAAAATATCACTGCATTACAACAACACCTGGTGAACAATCGTTCTAAGTACAGTCATTGGATTAGCATGAGCTAGTTTTGCAACCATCCGACCCAGCTGCTTCAGATTTTCTTTTGCAAGCCTCTTTAAAATCCTTCTGGTGTCCAGCTGTGACATAGAATGCCATTAACAAAGACAAGCAAAATGACAAGTAGGATATGAAATTCTTACAACAGCATGCCTGCAACAGAAAATAGCACAAGATCGGCATAGTTCATACTTTGGCTGTTTGTCGTGCAGCCAAAACCATCGGATTCCTTTCATCATCTTTCTCCCATTCACCATATAAACGATAGCGCACCTAGACAGACAATTTTCATTAGCAACATTACAATGCAAGTCTAAGACACTATGAAGTGCAGATATCCAAGGCCAACCTCATATGGAAGAAGATTCATCACTTCCCAAATCTCCTGCCCCACAGCTGGATTGGCAGGCATCAACTGTAGAGAAGGTAGCAAGCACGTCCCCAATGCTTCCTCTACCCTCAACCTAGCTTCCCTTAGGTGGAGACGAGGATTTCCGGTAAACACAGATTCACCATTAGCAGCTCCATCACTGCCACCTACAAGCTCAAGTGCAGACAAGTAGTAACCTCTCAATACTCTGCATACCTGCTCATGAAGGAACCAGATATAGTCAATCTACGAGAGCATAAAAAATTGAAGTAAAAGATTTAAGAAGAAAACAAATCAATAAGTAAACTATATATCTATTTCATGAGTAAAATGAAATAGCATACCTTCTGCAGCAATATTGTATCACGGTAAAGATAAGGTCCAATAGTTGCTAGCATCTGAAAAAGCTCCTTGGGAAGATCAATGAAAGTCCTATGGCCAACGGAACTACTTGTACCCATATAATCAATGCTGGCACCCAATGAAGACCCAAAATTTTGGAGATGCGTTTGACGAATGTTATCATATGCAGCTGAGATTGACTTTTCAATGAGCCTGAACATAACCAATAACCATCACCACATTATCCAAAAAGACAATACATAAATTCCATAGTGATTCTCTCATTGATCTCAAATTTTTATTCTTAGAAGTGTCCTTTCTCAGGTTGAAGTCTTAGATCAAAACCAAAAACTGGAACACCAATCTCACCACACATTCACAAGTGCTTGTGTGTAGATGTACAATGAGCATGTAAACACAGATTAAAGAGACAGATAAATGGATAACTGAAGAATACCTAAACAATCCATTGCATATTTGAACATGTGCTACTGGATTTAGAGGAGAGAGACGATCAAATAGTATGTGAGCATGAAACCTGAGAAAAAGAAATGGCATACAGATAATGAGACAAAGTAAATAAACCACAAATCAAAATTAAGCAGTGGCACTCAACACTTGCAAAAGAAAATTTTATAATATTAGAAAGAAAACAATGATAGACAATAACAAGCATTTACTTTTTTGGGTGGATGAGTGGGTAAAAAGGTTAAGAATTCCTAAAACTATGCATGATAAAAAAAGAAACTCCTCGTGTAGGCCTGTGACATTCAATAAATCATATTTAAATTACCGAAGTAAACATTTGCATAAACATGTAGAAATAGTTAAATTGGAATTAATTATTATAGCATTAGTTGCAGGGAAAAGGCAGAATTCCCAATAATATTGCATAAGAAAAATCAACATTGCTTGTGCATTTTTTATGTGTAGACCAATGACCATTGATCAATGGCAAGTTAACTTCTTCACCTATTAAAACTACCAAAAGGTCAACACACAATGTGCAAATACCAATTGAGCGAAAGTATAAGCCTTCGAAGAAACACGACATATAAATCCTCAATCAACATTTTACATAAATGACCTTCCTTATACAAATTGAGAATAAGAGAAGTTTCACAAATCTCCTAAAAGTTGAAATCAATTCGTGACAAATGAAACTTGCAGGAAAAAGTAAGCAAGAGATTAATTAATATTTAATCAGATACTTCACAGATAATAACTCATATGCATAAAGCTGACCAGATCAAAAGTTATAATGCATTAAATTGTTTCAACAAACTACCCAAATTATTAATCAAAGTTGAAAAGAATAATATTATCATCAATATGAAGAAGAAAACAGATACTAATTGCATAGCATCATAAACCATGTGCAGAGCACCAGAAATTTCTTAGCAATTCCAGAAAAGAAGTACTTTAGCATTAAACCTACCAGTCATCCACTAAAAGAAAACCAGTCAGCAAGCCCAACGTTTGACTACTTTCAAGCTCTGAGGACCTTTCAACTACAGCCTCAGTTTCCATGTCTAAAGCAGCAAAAAGATCAATTGTCACATCTCCTTGTTTGTCATCATCCATGAGGTCTTTTCCAGTAGCAGCCAGATTAATTTTTCCAATTTTGTTAGCCTGCAGAATTGAATAGGAAAACCCACACAGGCAGATTGGAAAAGTGGAGAGGATCAACACTCTAGATAACCAGAAAAACGCAGCTTATGTAGCACAGATAAATGCGTATATATAGAACACTAGAACTAAACTTAGATACCAATGGAAACAAATAATTAGAGCAAGTATACTACTATAGGAGTATACCTCATCTAACCGCTTGGATGAAACAGCATTATAATGCTCAAAGGCCTCATCATCCCTAGGAAGTAGATGAGCATATCTAAGACAAATGATATTTTCGTTAGAGTGGGTCAAAGCAAATATTTGAAGACGGAAATAAAGAAATAAATAATCATATGTACGTGTGTGCATATTCTTTCTAAGGATCATGGGTCTATGTATAAATTATAAACTAGTTGGTAATGCTGTAAAAAGTAGAATTGGTGGCTGATCTGCATTGATATGCCATGTTCGAGAATTTTCCATTTGGCTGATGAAGATTTGTTGATCTTGGATTTCAAAAGAAAGAGTCTCTGAGACATCTATAAAGCACCATAAAGAAGGGTAAACATAGGGAGTATGAAAGTGGCATAAGGGCATTTTCATGAAATAAAAGTTCTACTAATCAATAGGCTGTAGTCACAGTCATTTGGGTGTGGCAATAGCATCAACAATTCTGTAACTGAAGTGATTGATAATAAACAAAACAAACAGCATCACCAATTTCAATGCTCCAAGAAAGCTATTGCTAAAACTGCAGAATGAAAATATGTACTAAAGCGTAGCATCCAATAAAGCAAGAGGACCCAGCCAACAGAAGGATGATTGCACCCAAAACTTTTGCCACAAAATTTATTTTAGCAGCACCAAAATTTAACAACACATTGCACAAATCCCATGCTCAAATATGTCATTGTCGAAGACAAATAAAAGAAATAAAGAAACACTATGCTACAAAAAAATAGAAAATAAAATTGAGAATACCACTCACATGCTATCAAGATCAATAAACTCTTCCTTAACCAACAAAGCAGTAAGCTTGTATAGCCCAGACGGTACAGGACCATTTACATCTATTCTCTGGTAATACTGGAACTTAAAACCAAGAATTTGTGAAGCATGAGACTGCAAACAAATAAAAGTATGAGCATACAAGCCGTTTTTATAACCTCTTTTAAGCCAAACATATGCCAACCTCTTTAAGAGAAATATTGCATACCTTTGGAAAGATAGGAATCAACTCCAAAAAAGTACTGTTGTCAGGCTGAAGTTCAAAACATTCTAAAACCTGATGATTAGGAACAATTGCAGCCAGACATTAATCTTAGATCATTGAGTTCTTAAACATTACAGCAAAAACTAACAGCAAAAATTAACAAGTAAATACAACTTACAATATCAAAAACACGGTTTGGGTCCAGATCAAAATGCCCAATTAATGACTGCAGAGATTGGTTATCAGAAGATGCAACAAAAGCAGTAAGATGAAAGACATACTAGACAATAAATGAAGGTCAACTCAAAACCTTAAGGATGCCTATTGTTGCAGCTGATGTGTTTTCAGTTGTATCTTCATAACCTCGACATAGAAGTGTAACCTGCAGAAAATTAAATTCAATATAAGGAATATGTGCACAAAGTCTTAGAACTATATTTGCCATCTAAACAGCAGCACATATTTGAAAAATGGAATGATATAGGTCAGAACTGTAGCTCGATGTTAAAATTGAAAATGGTCAAATTTTGACACATTGATTGTGTTTGGGGAAAGAAACAAGAAAAATAAATATTAACGAAAAGATGTCAAGTCATGGTAGTTATACTATGGTAAGCAATATAATATGAGTTGCTTACAAGGAATTTGTATCACAAATTTAATAGGAACCAAAAACGATTTGATTATCTAGCAGTTTACGACTATAAAAAGATGGAGATGAGGTAGAGAGAAAGATTAATAGATTTGTAATTGGTAAGGGAAGAGTTTAGACTATAACCAAGGAATTTTTTAGACATAGCCCTCAAATAGGGGAAAATAATCCCTATAGCAAAGTCTAACTAGACTAGGGGATTAAGGTTTAGTCAAGTTGTGCATAATATTGGAAATTAGAGTTAGAAATCACCTGAAAAATTACAAATTAAATAATATATCTTGGTCAAATATATAATGCATGATTTCCAAAAAGTCACTGTATTATTATTTTGCAGACATATAATTATACACAGACTGCTATAATTAACAAGAAAAGCCTTTAGCAAAACGTTTTAATTCAAAATTCTAATATAAGTTGTGGCTAAGAATCTGAAGAGACCATACCTCTTCAAGAGCACTAATTATGCATGTAAATGGGAAGACAGAATTAAATACCTCTTTCGAATGCTAAAAGATATTATTCATGCATATTAAAATATAATTATAATGAGGTGACCATTTGCAAAATAGAAGAATGAAAAAGCTACGTACCAGTTTGGCATAGCCCTCACTTTCTTCTCGAAGAAGGTTAAATTTCGTTTGCTGATAAAGAAGACGAGTGTTTACTCTAACCTGAGAACAACATAAATGTACATCAATAGCGTGCAGGGATTAGAGTTTGCTCCAGTCTGACATTACAGCCATATATCTTGAAAAGGGAAAAAAAACACGATTTGCTTGTTATATCAGCTGCACGTTTCATCAAACAACTAAGCACTCACATGTAAAACCAGACCATCTTTTCAAAACTTTAACATAGAACAACTATGCACTTAATATTCAGTTACAGGATTCACCAAAGAAATCAACTTTTTTTGTATTACAATTATAACTATCAGTGTTAATAAAGGCCCAAGGCACAAGGACTTCTGGTGCCTGAGGCACAAGAAACAAGGACAGGTGCGTGCCCCTGACAGATACAGAGTGCAAGTTGAATGTAATTACATTATATATGATACAGAGTGGCAAGTTGAATGTAAATTACATTATAATATATAATATAATATATATATAATATATATATAATAAACGTTAAATCGTGATTACATTATATGCATATTGTCCAAGGAAATTCAAGAATTAAAACATACCAATATGCCATTTTCCCTTTATAAAAAGATTGGAGATATATAAAGTAAATCCTGATTACATTATATGCATATTGTCAAGGAAATTCAAGAATTAAACATACAATATGCCATTTTCCTTATAAAGATTGGAGATGATGTATTATCTGAGTTCCGACTTCTGATGTACTCAGTTTTTATGAAAGACTTTGTTCCCCATTTTTTGTAGTAACAATTGGATTAGGGAAGTTCAAAAGTTCACTTTCTGTATTAGGTTTCAGTATGGAATCTTTGGAAATTTCAAAAGTTCTCTTTTGCATTTGGTTTTCTATAATGAGTAGTCAATTTCTACAAATCTGGAACCACAAATTAGTAAAACAGTAAAAAAATTCAGGCATGCCCTAGGGGTGTAAACGAGCCGAGGTGAGCTCGAAAATGCTAGGCTCGAAGCTTAGTTCTATAGGATTTAGCTCAGGTCGAAGCTTAATGAGCCTGGAAATTTTAGGCTCAAGAGCTCGACTTGAAGTTTGAGTTCAACTCGAAAAATTTTGAGCTCGGGCTCGGCTCGTTCAGCCTGAGCTCAATTTGAGCTGAACTTTTCAAACTTTTTCAACTGAGCTCAAACAGCTCGCGAATCGGCTCAGATCATTTACACCCCTACCTGGCCCTATTGCATCTTGCCTGAGGTACTTGCACCCAGTGCCTTTAAAACCACTAGACAGCACAATTTTGGGAGATAAAGCAATAGCTTAAGCATTAAATAACATGACACTGAACATTAGCACTTATTATCCTTCACATGACGCTTTAGTCCAAATAAAAGTAATAAAAAGGCCATAATTCCTTAAAAAATTACTTAAGTTGTCCAGCATTCAAGAATCCAAGATTACACTCATTGAACTCTGTAATCATAGTCCTCATCAGGGAACATGAGAATTTGGGTTTCTAGATTATACTATGTAGACATCAAAATGGTAATATCAGACTACAATCCACAATTTCCCCACATGCTGTAAAGTAAATACCAGCTTAATTCACATCATGGGATAAAAGAGAAATTAATAAATAAAGACAAAAAAGAGTAAGCATTTCCGGCTTTTGAAATTAGTACATAATCCGGTTTGATGACACTCAAAGTCAACACCAGCAATAAATCTGAAACCAAAGTACCTCTTTGCCCTTCAAATCCTGAGCCTTAATCTTTATCATTTCAGCCTCAAACAGAAATTCCTCCTGCAAGAAGAAAGTTTTAGTTTAAAGATTCCTTCTTATCCCTTCCCATCAAGCATATAATGAGAGCACCAATAGCAAACTTCTCTCGGAGAAACAAGAGCTCACCTCACATCGCTCCTGGAAAAGCCTCAATGGGACCAATGTAGATTCCACCAGCCATTTCGCCTGTAAAGAAGGAAAGAAGTTGGGCATTAAAAATAACAATGCAGCAATATTTAAAAGAAAAACAATATCATAGAGAACAAGAATAATATAAAGGAACAGCTGCATAAAATCCTAAGGTAATTATTCTGTATAAAGAAGCCAATTGATATTTCGTATGCTATACAAATGTCATTATGACACTCAAACAACAGAAACACTATATCAACAAAACGAGACACCAAGCTGCTCACTAAAATTTCTTAATAACATAGTGCAAATTGGGGAGCATCAAGGTTTTCTTCCTTTAAGAATATTAAACAGCAATACATATGTTCAATTTTACAAGGACCACATGTAAATTAAAGACACCATCAGATACTGATGTCAACATCATTGCAGCAGGTACAACAACCACAAAAAAAAAAAAAAAAAAAAAAAAAAAAAAAAAAGACACCAATCAGATACTGATGTCAATCATCTTGCAGCAGTACAACAACCACAAAAAAAAAAAAAAAAAAAAAAAAAAAAAGAAAAAACATAAAAAAATAAAAAGAAGAGTCAGAAGGGAACTTGAAAAAAAAAAAAAAAAAAAAAAAAAAAAAAAGAAAAAAACATAAAAATAAAAAAGAAGAGTCAGAAGGGACTGAACATCAATCAGTAGTACATCTCAAATAAAGAATTGAATTGGACAAATCTAATTTACTCATGAAATAACTTTCTTCTTCTTCTAAGCCTAGTTGGGGTCAGCTGAAATGAGAGGTACAACACGAGGACTTCCCAAGAGGTAACCCATCTTAGTACTATTCTTGTCCAAACACTTTTAACTTATGAAATAAGTTTGTGGCAAATAAAAAAAAAATACTTGTAGAAAAACTACATACAGTTTCAGACTGCTCCCAGAACAACAAATACTACAGTCAAGACAATAAAAACAGCAAAGCTTGAATTGCCATTTCTCCATTAAGAGAAATGATATTCATGTAGACAGTGCAAATCACTACTAACATTTGGACTAGATAATCAACTCATAACAGAATGCAGCTAATCAGAGAGAGTATAAAACAAGACAGGCATTTAGCTCCTAACTGAGAAAATGAACACTTGACTTGAAATCCCAATACTAACCAACTTTATGAGGCGAGCACGATACTCTCCAGGCATTGTAAGCTGCAAAATCAGTCAATAGCTCAATTGAAGCCGAGAACTTGCTCTGCTTAGTAATATAAGAATATCCAGTAGCTCTAAAGTTCCACAACAATATCAAATTAATTACTCACGTCCTGGGCCATTTGTGTAACGATATCAGCAAAACTAGAGGCTAATTCTTGACTGGACACTCTATCAGAAAACTCTACAGAATCTAGTGCTGCTTTGCACTTCTGAAACGGAAATTCACCCCGAACCTAAGCAATTTCACAAACAAACAAAACGTCAAAGTCAGAACACAAAACGAACAAGCACATGCACATAAATATACAATTAGATAAATGAAAGGAGTAATCTACCATAGTCCAGCAGAGTTCATAAAGGAATCGAAGCATAGGCACGGGGCTAGAAACACGAAAGTTTTGGTTTCCGCTTTTCCATTCACGAACACATTCTTCTGTGACGTATATACAATCAATGGGAGGGAGAGACATTGTGTTTAGACACTAGAAATTGAGAATTCGTAAACCCTAAATGTTGTTATAGAAAAAATAGTGTAGGGTTTGGCAGACGAAAAAAAAATTAGAAAGGATAAAGAAGTGGTCGCCGAGTTGTAATTAGAGGAAAACTCATGGGCAATAGTGGAAGGAAAACGATGAAGATTAGGGTTTCAGTGAAGGCGATGGTTCCCCTTGGTGTTTCAGGCGGAAGTGAAAATGGCGTCTCCTCCTCTCATGTTTATTTCTCCTGTGCGGTGGTTTCATTACCGGTTAGTTTCGAGTCTGGTCGAACCGTTACCGAATTGCCAATTATTGGGAGAAATTTGGGAGAATTACTATTTGGTTGCTATAATTTGATGAAATCTACTCTTTAGATAGCGTTTGTTTCAGTGGATTCCTGCAGCTTATAACTTTTATTTGATAAAGCCAGATGCGCTATCTATGACTATGTTCATATGTACAGGGATAACCATGGTTTAATTTCAAATTAAAATCAAACCAATTAAAATTGAGACTAAGTAGTAGTCAATGGTTCACATTCTAAACAGTAATACAAATCATGAATTGAAAGTTGATTCCAGTTTTTCATTTTTTAAAACCAAAACCAGTGTTTTCGGTTTAAAACAGTGAAAAACATATTTTAAAGTAAATTTTTAACTTGTTTTTTTTCATTATAGTTTTTTAAAATAATTTTTATTAAATTGATTTAGTTTTTTACATTAATATTTATTATTATTTATTCAATCCACAAATCTTAAAAATAATTTTAAAATTTAAAAATATATTATTCAATTTCAATTTAAAACTAAAATAAAACCGAAATCGATGGTTTCAAAACCGTCTTAAAAACGGCTTAAAAGAGGTTCGGTTCGGTTCCAATTTCATCTTTTTTATAATCAAATCGACCTTTTTAAATTCGAACCGATAGTTTTAGAACCGTGATCATGCTTACGTATACAGATAAAAATTAGTGAATTAATTTCTTTTAACTAATTTCATTTTCCATTGAACTAACCATATCAATCATCAAAACTAATATTAAACAGTATTGATTTGAATATTTTAAATATTAATTAGTTTGGACATGCTTTTACTTTTATCTAAATCAAAATTATTGATTTATTGACAGATTTATAAAGAAACCAACTATGAACACTTTCGAGTTCTAAATAGCTAGGCAACTGTAAAATTGCAAAAAATAATTTTGCAAAACTTGGGGGATAAATAAATTTTTTGGGATAAATTTGAAGGCCCATAAAGCTTGGCAACAGGAAATTAGGCCCATAATGGTAAACGGAGAGACTTGAATGAGATGTAGGCCTTCGTTACAAACAGGCCCAAATATTCATTTATGTTCTTGTTGGACCAAGCACGATTTGGGCTTGGCTTGACAATGTAGGTATCACATGCATAAAAGCTTGTTCACTTGGTGGGTCAAACCGTCAAAGGTCACCCAATCTAATAAATTTCTGTATCCAAGGTATCATCATATCAGAATAAGGTTTGATTTTTTTTGTTTTTTGGAGTCAATAAAGCACAGCTAAACCTGCCATTTAAACTTTTTTTATCCTTAATTCCTTATTTGATTCAATATTATATAAGGTTTCTCATTTTTCTATTGTTTCTTTTTAAGCAGATCTATTGAATTACTATTATTATTATTATTATTAGGGTTTAGATTTTTTTTGTTTTTGGAGTCAATAAAGCACAGCTAAAACCTGCCATTTAAACCTTGTTTTTATCCTTAATTCCTTATTTTGATTTCAATATTATATAAGGTTTCTCATTTTTCTAAATTGTTTTTCTTTTTAAGCAGATCTATTGAATTACTATTATCTATTATTATTATTATATTAAATTTATTATTTATAATTATGGTAGATTATCTTATATATAATTATTGAAGTTATCAAGAAATGTCAACAAACCAAATATGAAAAATTAACTTTTACAAGAAAGTATATTTTTCAGAAATAATACATTTAGGAAGTTAAAATTAATGGGTTTTAGGCCCTATATATTATTATTATTATTATTATTTATAATTATGGTAGATTATCTTATTATAATTATTGCAGTTATCAGAATTCAACAATCATATGAAAAATTACTTTTACAAGAAAGTATATTTTCAGAAAATAATACATTTAGGAAAGTAAAATTAATTTTTAGCTAATATACTAAAACTGCTCGAAATAAGTTAATTTTTAGCTAAAGAGAAAAAACAAAAGACTTAAAATGGTTAAAATCGTGTCAAAATCAAAATTGATTGTGTAAACCAATTCTGACGAAATGAATCTATCTAAAAAAATCAACAATTTGGTTCACCAAAAGTGCCAGTTCACGACTAGACATGCCTACAAAGATTCAAGAAAGATGAAAAGGATAAAGAATTTAAAATAATAATAAAAAAAAGAGAATAAGAAATTTACAATTCATATATCCAAAAGAAAGAATATTTAAAAAAAATAAAAAAAAAATCAGCAAAATATACTAGTCGGGTACAATAGGAATGCAGGTAATTTCCGTGTGGGGAAGACGAAGTGCATTGCATGGTGGTTTCTTAATTCAAATACCGAGTAAACCCCGCGGTAACCAATCAGACAAAAAACCCCAAATTCTTCTTGCTGAAACGCAGAGATAAGCGGCGCGTTTCCAACGCGTAATGGACTAATAATGTGAAAAAAGAGAAACCAAAACCGGAAATAAAATAAAACCCAAAACCTCACATGGAAATTACAATTAAGTCTACACCGACCCGCACGTTGACGAATGGACCAACCGGCCCTTTCAAAATTTTCGAAGTGTCAAACTTTTGATCCGTTCCAATTTATAAAACCACCAACACCAAGTCCAAATTAATATATTCTTTTTTGCCATCAAGATTTTCAAACTTCAACGGTCAAATATTCAAAACTCTTATCAAATCAACAAATAAGACTCCCAAATCTCATGCTTTAATTATATTATTTGTTTTTCTCCATTTATATATTCTTCCCTTACCTAGCGGTTTGAATATTGAACAACCGTGTCCCTTTTATTTCATACATTACCGGTCTTTCTCTATATATATATCGACTCCGTTATTACATTACTCATAAACACAATTTCTATAAGCACAGATTTTATTTCAAAAGGATAAATATAATGATTTCTACATGGAGAAGGCGGAGGGCAGCACGGCGAGCCGGAAAAGAAAGACCGGAAGATGAACAAGGCGAGATGGAGTTAGCCATACCGAATCATTTTCGGTGTCCGATATCGCTGGACTTGATGAAAGATCCGGTGACTTTTTCAACTGGGATTACTTATGATCGTGAAAGTATTGAGAAGTGGATAGAGAATGGGAATGTTAAATGTCCTATTACAAATCAGGTTTTCAGGAGCTTAGAGCCTATACCAAACCACACAATACGTAAGATGATTCAAGATTGGTGTGTGGACAATAAGTCTTACGGGATTGAAAGAATTCCTACGCCGAGAATTCCTGTAAGTTCTATGGAGGTTTCGGAGATTCAAGCTAAGATTAGTATGGCTTCCAAAGGAGGGGATAAAATTGGGTGTCAAAATTCTTTGGCTAAAATCAAGACACTGATGAAAGAAAGTGAAAGAAACAAGAAATGCATTGTGGGTCATGGAACAGCTAGTGTATTATCACTTGCTTTTGAAGATTTCTCGAGAGAATTATCTTTAAGTGAAAACGTTGCTGTTTTGGAGGAAATATTGTCGTGTTTGACATTATTTTTGCCTCTCGATGGAGAAGCCAAGAGTTATCTCGGTTCAGCTGTGTCTATGGATTGTTTAGTCTGGTTCTTGAAAGGGGGAGATTTGACTAGAAGAAGAAATGCCGTTTTGGTCCTTAAAGAAATTGTTTCGTCGGACCAAAGAAAAGTAGAGGCTTTATCAGGAATTGAAGGAGCTACGGAAGCTTTATTTAAGCTTGTTAAAGAACCTATTTGCCCTACTTCAACAAAAGCTTCACTTGTGACTATTTATCAACTGGTCACACTCACTCCTGCAAATGTAAAGGTCATCACCAAATTTGTAGATATGGGTTTGGTCTCATTGCTCGTAGAATTGCTTGTCGATGCCGAAAGAAGTCTATGCGAAAAGGCATTAGGGGTTCTCGATGGAATTTGTGGATGTGGTCAAGGACGAGAGAAGGCATACGATAATTTTCTAACAATCCCAGTTATTGTCAAGAAAATACATAGGGTTTCAGATTTGGCAACAGAGTTTTCTGTTTCGATTTTATGGAAGCTATGCAAAGGTGAGAAAAGGGAAGATGGAGGTGTTCTTGTTGAAGCTCTTCAAGTTGGTGCTTTCCAAAAGCTATTGCTTCTATTGCAGATTGGTTGCGGTGAAAAAACAAAGGAGAAATCAACCGAGTTACTGAAGATGTTGAATCCTTATAGGGCAAGATTGGAGTGTATTGATTCTTCTGATTTCAAGGACCTCAAAAGGCCTTTTTGATTCAAAAATCTAGTTAATATTGTTAAAAAAAAGAACATACTCTAATATACACACAATTGAGATATTTTCCATTCAATAACTTCTCTTGCAAAATTTATCAATTACCAAGATTTAAAGTATCTTTATAGTTTTTATATATGTTGGATTTGAATAAGTCATGTTTGTGAGGAGTGTCTAATGTAGTGATTGCAATTACCGTTTCAAATTATAATAAAATTTCCTTAAGTTAATTAGTAATTAAAGCTAATTTTCTTTAGATTAGGAAGTACCTGCCTGCAAAGAGGCAAAAACAGAGAAAAAAAAAAGGTACAACAAATTAACTTACCATTAAAAGGTGCTTGTTTTAGTTAATGTGGGAAACACTTTGGTCAACTGAAATTTAAAAATTTAGCTTATAACATGAGCTTATTATATATTTAGGCTATTATTAATGAAAAGCTATTCTGTATATGTAAATGATTTATGGTATAACACAACTTGTTAGACCGAGTATGCAAGTCAGAATCAACTTTTTGTATCAAATTAAAAGCTTATTAATTAATTAATTAATTAATTCTCACACATAATTCCCATGTTATAGTAGTATTTCTTTTTTTTTTTTTTTTCTAATTAGATGGTTAAGCATGATCAATAATTAATTGAGGATTAGTTATTTAATTCTTAGTTCAGAAGTTGTTGCATGAGGACACAGACTCTGAACAAGTTTCTTTATATTAGAATAGGCACCCGAATTCCAAAGTGGGCTCAGCTTTAATCTAAAGTTTTACTAATCTTTGTAAGGGTGCAAATTGTAATGAAATTATGTAATTGTGTATTTTTCCAACATTTCTTATCAGTCTTTTTATGTTAATGACATTCTTAATTTGGACAATAACATTCTTAAATATGCAAGTACTAGTCAGAGAGCATTAATTTGGACAATAACATTCTTAAATGCATTAGGTTAATGAAGGGGAGAGTATCTTTTAGATAGTTCCAAAAGAAATTTAATTCTGAGTGTACATAAATTGACTTGAGAATACTAATTATGAAAATAATAATAAGAAAAGTACAGTATATTTATGTCTTATAGCGTCATGGATTTATTTCAAGTTCTCCTTCTTTATTATTAAATAAATTTGAAAGTATATAATTCATTCATTTGTTATAAACTTTAATTTATTATTTTTAATTTTATTATAATTTAAATCCATAGGAGTTAATTCTAACTATGGTTTCTTATCGTCAAAATCAAGTTTTGATAGTTAAAGGGTAATTAAGCATCAATGGTTGCATTATGAGTTACTATTATAAATTAAATTAAAGGAAGGATAAGATTAAATCCTGGAGTTTGAAGTTTTGAACATTGAACCGTATGGAAGAAGACTTTCTAGAGCAAAATGATGATGTGTCTAAGTATATAATTAAGCTTAATCACTTCTACCCATTAATCAAGTTAATTAATGGTTTTCTATTAATTAGCAAAAATGTGCACATCATATATAAATTATCATTTGTTTATGTGTGAAGTTGATTATTACATTAAAATGTGAATACCAACCCATAATATATGCATAAAACTTAATTTGTAATATCAAAATATCAACAAAGAAAAGATTTATTTCGGCCTAATCTATATATATAATAAGATTGACGGTCAAAAACTGTCACCCAATATATATATATATATTCATATATAAATTATCATTTGTTTATGTGTGAAGTTGATTTAGATTGACATTTAAAATGTGAATACCCAACCCATAATATATGCATAAAACTTTAATTTGTAATATCAAAATATATCAACAAAAAGGAAAAATTTGTATTTCGGACTAATCTAATATATATAAAAGATTGACGGTCCAAAACCTTGTCACCCAATATAATATATAGTATTATATATATATATATATAGCGAAACAGTGTAAAAATGGTTGGACATGTGAACTGGCTGGGGGCCTCAAAGATTTCTCTCCAAATAATTTGTTTATTGAAAAGAGTTTTCTAGAGCCAAAACACAATGATATTAATCTTCTGTCTTCGCATAAAAATATATAGCCAACGTAAAATGTTGACAGTGTGAACTGGCTGGGCCTCAAAATTTCTCTCCAAATAATTTGCTTATTGAAAGAGTTTCTAGAGCCAAACACATGATATTATCTTCTGTCTCGCATAAAATCATGGGAGTTGAATGAGTAGTAGGGCCGTAAATGTGAAATTAAGCATATTCACATCAAAGATGGAGACTAATGTTCCTTAGACACGTATATATGTTAAAAAGAAAAAAAAAATTATTATGTTTGCTATTACTTTTACTAAAATCCATATCTCATATTATTAATATCATTATTACAAGGGATTGAATTTGTAAAAATGGTTAGTCAAATTTTATTATTAAAATTTGAAACTATTATTGTTATAAGGAATTTACTTAAATATTATCTCTTCAGCCGGAATTATAAAAATAGATAAGAAAAAATAAAATCCATTATATTGTATATGTGTATGCATTCATTTAATAAATGCATAGATAGTGGAGTGGGAATTGCTTGTTGGGTCATTGGAAGCAGAATTTGGACCAACTAGCAAGACGTCTCCTCCTTGTTGAAGCAATTAGTCGTGCATGTGGTGTTTTTATGACTTTTCTCCTTTATTTTTATTTTTTTTTTATTTATTTATTTCTTTTATGTTTACAACTATTAACAAAATTCACACTTAGATTTGTTGGAGAAAAAATTGTAACTTAGACTGGCAAATGAACAAGGGTCTTTTATTATTATTATTATTTATTTTTAAATGAAATTATGACTTTTTTTTTGAGTTCTTATCACGGGAATTGAGGCCGCTTATCATTCCAGCTTAAACTATGGTCATTAGAAATTAAAAATAGTGTATAGCTGTCCAAAATTGACATGGGAACTGCAATATGATGTTTAGCTGTGAAAGGGTGTATTGACTTCAGTGACTTGTATTTGTTGAGTTGAGACTTGAGATACACAGGCTAGGGCCACATGGGCCCAATCCTTCTCTTACAATTTAAACAAGATTGAAATTGGGCCTTTCCGCCACATTTATATAGACCAATTGGGCCGTTTGAATCTTCAAAATTCCTTGTTTTTCATGGCAACTAACAAGTCAATTATTACTTAACATTTCTTCGTAAGTTAGTTCCATTGTTATGTGTTTCCTGGTTAACCAGTAAAAGAAGAAAGAAAGAAAGAAAGAAACTGTATGTACCTTCTTCATTTTGACTGAGACAATAGCTTCTTGAGTTACAATTTTCAAAGTTTACAACGCAAAGAACAAGTTAGGACCATAAATTAAGTTATGGTAGCTGCGAAACTTGCTGCCCGTACCCCCATTACAGCTCATTGGTTCCATTTGGAAGAAAGCAAGTTATTATATTATAGTAACAAAGAAATATTGACTTGGTCTTGGTCTTGGTCTTGCTGCTGGCCAGAGTTTCTTCTTCTTCTTGGTTTTTTGACGTCTGAAGTTCAATGCCATCATAAATGATGTGCAAGCAATTCAACTGACATCTATAATTATGGCTTTAAGGTTGTTTATGCATTATTTTTATATGGGTTTTATTATATGATTCATTTAAAGTCTATAGAAATAAAAAGTTTAGACTGTTTTCTTTAATAGGGGTTAAAATTTATTAATATGCGCATAAATTAGCTTGTGATACTTTTTTTTTTGAAATATATTTCATTAATAATAAAATCTCGAGTGTTATAAATACCCATATAGATTAAATGTGAAATTTATTATGATAGAGTTTATTGATCTTTTAATACATTAAAAAAATGGTTATATTCTTTTAAATAATAAAATTAAAATAAAAGAAATGGTATTATATATATTTTTGTAAAATCTTTATAGTGACAACTAATTAAAACATATAAATTTTCATAGTGACAATTAGTTCTTTATTTAACTTGGATGGCAAAATAATTTATTTGAATCTTTTATACCAGGATTTTTTTTTTTTTTTTAAGAATTTGTTGCATATGATGTACACAACCAAGCTCTATTGAGTCTGCAAATTAGAATTTAAATTGTCCAAACAAATAAAGTCAAAAATCATGTCTTTATTTACTAAAACAATCTTTATAAAAAAAGAGAAAAAAACTATAAATATGGAGTAAAAACAATTGTAATAAAAAAAATGTGTTATAAGAAAAATAGTTATGAATTAATTAGAAGTGAATATAAGTAGAAGGTACAGCTACCATTGATTAATAATAATAAACCCATACTAAAATTAGGGTAAATTACAATAAAATATTTTTAATTTAATTAAATTACTCTTTTTATCTCATATAATTATTTAAATATCACAATTATGTCTCTATAATCAGCCACTGAAATGAAAAGAGAGCTAAAGAAGATAAAAAATGGATTTTCGAAAATTACAGAGAATAATTATTCCATTCATGGTATAAAAATAGCTCTATATAACTTTTACATAATTTAAGAAAATATAATTAATGTAGTCAAACTATAGTAATTTTAAGTTAGTTATTTTCCTAATATACCTTTATAACTTTTTCCTAAATTAGGAATATGAAATAAATTGAAAGGTCTATATTTTAACTAATTATATATTAAAGTTAGTTAATTTTCCTAAATAATCCTTTATAACTTTTTTCCTAAACGTTAATGAATATGAAAATAAATTGAAAGGTCTATATTTAATCTATTATATATAATATATATATATTATATATAATAATAATATTATGGATTAATATTAATATTTAATAGTAATAATAATTTATTTATTGATAAAAAAGTATATTAAAATTGATATAATAAAAATCTGTAAAAAATATTTTATAAAAGAAAGAAATAAGACTATAATTGAAAGAGAGAGAGAGAGAGAGAGAAATAAGCCTATTTTGATGAGACCACATGCAACCCAATGGAACAATTCAAACAGAGAAACATGTGGACCAAACAGTTTACCATACCTTTCACATGCAACCTTAGGACCCCCTTAAAAAAAGCACCAATTTAACATATATTCAGATAATAATCACTAAATTAGGCCCCACAATTGTCAGTGTCCAAAGCCAGATAGATTTCAGACAGCATGTGACTATCTAGCAGTTTTACTTCACATAGTTTTATTTCCTTCCAACTTAATAAATTTGTCAACCATCAAAGCAATTTAAACTGCCTCTACCGATAACTATTTTAGTCACCATCAAACTTTAATATTTTCCTTTCAGTTTTCAATTTGAAAATAACACTTCCTCTTCCTCGTCTTTCCCGTTTTTTTTCCTTATCAACCCAAAATTTTCATTATAAAAAGATTTTTTTTTATAAGATTAATGAATTCATCCTGAACTTTTTGTATTAATTTGAATTTAATTATTAAAATCTAAACATATTTATTTTTTAAAAAATAATAAAAATAAAACAAAAGAATGGTTGCTTTCAAAAGAGAAAGAAAACAAAGCACAAAAATTTTAAAAAATAAAAAAAATCTCAACCACCACCAACATTTCTATAAAATGATTTTAAAGAAAAGGATAACTTTGCCTGAAGATCCGGCTTAGCAGCCGATCAATTGATTTATTATTTAAAAAATTCCTAAATTCGACTTGACAAGTCAACGGTTATATTATTTTAATTATAATTTAATACGTAAGGTCTCACGAAATGAGATGATCACCGCTAAAATAAAACACGAAAGTCGCACCCACGTACACGTAATCACTAATCACTATCCAGAAGAAAAGACTTGCATTGCAGCTGGCAAGCATATGACCCAGCCACTCCACGTACGACACGTTGCATCCATTCTATGTCGTTTTTGCATAGACGACATTGTTTTTTTAATTAGACATTCCAGAGAAAGAATATGAGCTGTCCATGATTGTCTCAATCCTTTCACATCATCCAATACACCTAAAACACTACCAACAAGATATTAGATAGTATAATATAATTTTCTTTATCATGGATAGGCAGTGCATGATGGATTATGGAGTCCCACTCCTATTACGAACCATGGGAGTAAGAGGTCTACTTGTCAAATCCACATCATTTAAAGTGGGACCCTTCTTTTATCTGCTAAAAATAACCAATGGCAATGATGCAATTAAATTAAGGATAATAACAAAAGGAAATTTTTGAATTGGACCTCATATCATATGCATTATGCAAGGAGGCTAAGGCAATTGCATTTTCATCATTAGCAACCAATTCTCATATCAATGTCTAGAAATGGATTGGAACCAAAACTTTATGATGGGTCTCTTTCACTAAAATCAGCTCAATGTAATCATCTCTAGGATTAAAACATAATAAAAGAACTTAGACCAAGTTAAAAAAAAAAAAAAAAAAAAAACAAAGAGATTGGAAGTTTTAGCATCTGCTTTGTGGAATATAGACATTTTGCAACTATTGGCCTTCAGTGCAAAGCATTTGATGCTAATGAGAAAGAAAAGCTCAAGTAAGATGTATAATCAGACTCCAAGCGAGACAATGGGAAAGAAAAAAGAGGAATGAAAGGAGAAAAAAAAAAATATATATATATATATATATAATCTCAATTCTTAAGAGAATCAATATCTTGCAATTTTCTAGGCATCTAAAAGAACTCAAAAAAAATATATATATATATATATATAATCTCATTCTTAAGAGAATCATATTTGCAATTTCTAGCATCTAAAAGAACTCAAGAAAAATGTATTGACTTTTTAACTACAGGGGCAAGGGGGAAGAAAACATCAGTAAAATATCCATAGAGATAGCAAACCTTAAAAGAACAAGCAGCAAGCAGCAGCAGGAATAAACAAAACAAACGAATCAAAGGCAATCGCATCATATCTCTAACTTCTCTTTTCTTCATTTATCGGCCATCGGTTGATGTAAATGATTCGGCAAAGCCAGCTGGTCGAGTAGGTATGCTGGATTGGGTATTATCTGCACTAGGAGTAAATATTGAAGATCCATCAACCTCACTTCCCTCAATTTCTTGCCACTTCTTGAGTGCCTGAGGCAAGGTCATTTCAAGGTCAATCCCATATAAGTCTTCAGAATCTGGTTCTGCCGGTTTCCATAACTCAACTAGAGATGAAAGAACATTAACAACATGACCCATGTCAGGCCTCTGGTAGGGTTCCCTAGCAGTGCAATGACCAGCTAGCTCAGCAACTGTGCTAATGCTGGCAATTGTTTCCTCATCAAGCTCAATAGAACGATCAATAGTCTTACGGAAAGTGTCCTTGTTGATGTGCATCCTACGGAACCAAGTAACAAGGTGCAGGCTATCCTCGGGCTGGGTATCATCTAGTGCTTTTCTTCCCGTAATCATCTCCATTAGTATAACACCAAAACTAAACACATCAACCTTGGTAGTAACTCGTCCAGTCACTGAAAAGAAATTAGAAAAAAATTTCAGTTAGGCACATCGGTCTTCATCTTAAGTTGACTTAGACAAACTTATTCATTGCAGCAACCACATTTCACACTTACAATACCTTATAGATATTAGACTAAAATTTACAGGTTGATAACAAAACCATATACACGAATACCCTTCTAATATTTCTGTCGGTTGCCAGCAACCTCTTTCTCAATCATCAATTTCTAATATTTTCCCTAACTCAGTGAATTTATTTTCAGGCATTAACATAATGTGTTTCTTTTAAGAAAGAAGAAATTGTTTGATATTGAAAAAGAAAAAAATCAATCATACCATCAACAATTAAAACCCTCCATAGAAAAGAGTCAATCACAGTAAGGAAAAGGAAAGAGAAAAGATATAATAAAACACAAATTATTTCAATATTTTGTTTCATCCTTCCCCACGCCATTCATTTATGCATTTCATTTACTCCACTGTGTCTTCCCCAAGTATAATGTTCCTCTACTGCTTACCAAAATTTTTCTCAAATTCTTCATTTTCTGGTCATAAAAGATTCAATGATAAAAAAACTATTCTAGGCACATAACCAAGCATGACATTTTAAAGATGAGTTACCAGCATACTCCGGTGCAAGATACCCAAAAGTTCCAGCTAGTCTTGTCTCAACTGAGGCCTTGCCTTCAGGAGCAAGTCGGACCAGTCCAAAATCTGCAACCTTGGCCCGCATATCATCCCCAAGAAGAATGTTGGAAGGCTTCAGATCACGATGAATAAAACTTTGATGCGCAAGGCCATGTAAATATTCAACCCCTCTGGCAACATCCAAGGCAATGCTCAATCTTCTGGTCCATTCAAGTGGTTTCAACCCTTGTTGCCTCCAATCAAATAGAAATCTACTAAGAGTACCCTGAGGCATATATTCATAAACAAGAAGTCTCTCATTTCCATCCAAGCAATACCCAAGAAGTGCAACCAAGTGACGATGACGGACTTTAGTGAGCACTGCAATCTCAGACATGAACTCTGCCAGACCTTTTTCACTTATCACTCCTGATTCCATTCTCTTCACTGCAATTTTTGTCCCATCATGCAGTTCTCCCTTGTAAACAGTTCCAAAACCACCTCTTCCTAATATATTCTCTTCGCTGAAATTATTAGTCACATTTCTCAAAACTTGAATCGAGATCACCATACTCCCAGTTTCAGCTACATGAATGTCACTAGGTCCACTATCAGTATAACTTGTAGCAGTAGCACTAGGATTGGCACTTGATTCTGCAACAGTGATTTTCACTGCATCCTGATCACTAGAATGGCGAGGATGAATTACCATCATATTTGGACTCTGCACCTTACTGAATCGTTTCTGTTTCCTGCTATAGAAAAATATACCCAACCCAACAACACACAACCCACAAACAACACCAACTACAGAACCCACAATCTTAACTGTACCAGAATTCTTGGTACCATTTCCATCAGAATCACTACCAGGAGGTGTACCAGATGTGCTCCCAGGAGTTGAACCAGGAGGAGGAGTTAAGCTACTATTCTCCTTCCCAATATCAGGATTACCATCAGTTATCAATTGTGTACTTTTGAACTTAGGTACTTTACCAAATAGTTTATTATTTGCAACATTTAATAAAGAAAGGCTAGGCAGAGTTGTAAGCTCATCTGGAATAGTACCACTAATCAAATTGTTTGACAAAATCAATTTTTGCAAAGAGGGTAACGATGAAAAATTCGAAGAAATTGTACCAGTAAGCCCCATATTATGAAAGTTGATAACAGTAATGTTTCCTCCAGAAGAACAAACAATCCCCCTCCATTGTGCACAAGGGTCATTTCCTTCCCAACTGTCAGCTAAACTTGCAGGGTATCCAAAACCTTTGGCAATTGATAACAGAACATTAACACGAGGGTCACAAGAACCACCAGCAGTAGAAGTGCAAAATCTATTAGACCCAGAAATCATGTCAACCCTGACAGAATCAAGAAACTTTGGTGTTGGTCCCTGTAATAGATTATTTGTTAAATTAACAACAGAAAGAGTGGGAAGATTCACTAGTGAAGCTGGAACAATACCAGTGAACTGATTATCCCTTAAACTCAAATTCTGTAAAGCATCAAAACCATTAAATTCTGGTAATGGACCAGTGAATTGATTCCCATGCAACCAAACCTCAGCTAAACCAGTCATGTTTTGTAAGACAGCAATTGTACCATTGAGTTTGGAATTACTCTTTTGCCCATTAAGCCAAAGTGAAGTCACCGATGAAGATCGTGAAAAATTCCCAGGCAATGGACCCTCCAAATAATTCATGGCCAAATGCAGAGTTTCCAAAGTAGGAAAAACATCATTATTGAAGAAATCAGGGATTGTGCCAATTATATTCGCCCCATTAGCAGAAAAATCCTTTAAAGTTGAGGCACTCTGAAGACTCGTTGGTATAACCCAGGGTTCAAACGGGTTGTAATCCAAATTCACCGACGATAACGAGCTCATCCCGCTGAAAAAATCAGAAGGAAACGAAGAGAACCCGTTATCATGTAAATTTAGAGTTTGAAGCGAGCTTAACCCAGCTAAACTCGGTACTGGACCCGTTAAATTGTTTGACATTACCTCCAAAATCTGTAAAGCCGTCAGCTTTTTGAGGTCCGACGGGAGAGTTCCCGTTAAACCCTTCCCGGCGATTTGGATTTTGGTAACCTGATTGCTCGGGTTGCATTCCACATGGATCCATTTACATGGGTCAGAACCAGACCATCCTATATTTGATGGATTGCCGAGACTATCTCTCAGTTTAATCATAACGGCGGCGTCACCGCTTTGTTGAGACTTTGCAACAGAGAGAAGACAGAAACAGAGAAGGAGAAACGGCGGACTAAAGGTAGGACCCAGATGCCGTTTCTTCATTTTCGTTGTCCAGAGAGGAAATGGGGGAAAATTGGCAGGGAAATATAGTAGTAGATAGTGAGGAAACAGAAGGAATTGAAATGTTGTGTTTGTAGGGTTTATGTGCACATGAAGAGAGTACTAGCGAAGAGTAAGAAAACAAAAGTGAGTCAGCAGGGAGGGATGGTGGTGATTGGCTGAGGAAGCGGCGGAGATAGAGGAAAAGAGGTAAGCGAAGAGACAGAGAAAGTGAAATTTTAAAAAGGGTGACTTTTGCTTTGCCAATTGCCAAACAGGCGTTGATTCGACAGAGAGAGAAGAGAATAGAGAAGAAGATAACTGTTTTGTATTTTTCGTGTTTTCATTTTTTTTTAAAAATTTTAAAATAAATTCGGGATATTTTTATTTTACTATTACTTATTTACTTATTAATTAGAGAAGAGGGAAACAGTTGGCACTTGCGTGTGGGTCCTGCAATGCGGAGTGGGCCCGAGCCAAAAGTAGTTTTTTTTTTTTCTTTTTAGAAATTATTTAGATTATGAGTTTTGACTTAATAAATAAAAATTTTAAATTTTTTTATATAGATTACTAAATATAATTAATATATTCACAATAGAATATATTTATTTGAATTATTTTACATAAATAGTAAATAATTTATATTACTCTATTAACATTATCTATTTAAGGTAAGTGAAAAAAAATTTTTTAATAAACAGTTATGTATTAATGTCGCTTTAAATTTATTTGATAATAATCTTAATTTTAAATGAAATATAATAATAAATAAATAAATCTCAATTTAGAAGGTTAAGTATTGTTTGCACTAAGCGTGGCTGGTTCAAAAATATTTTTAGAGTGAATCTAACTAGCCCTTCAACAATTAGCTTCCGATCGATTTGAATTCCACGCGGTATTAGCACAGTTACGCATTCACACAATTTTTTCTCAAAAAAAAATTAATATAATTTTGTTTTCGATTTTGCATTTTTTTTAGAAGAACATGCATAATTAATTAAAATTTTCTTTTCATATTTGATTTTATATAATTAATCAAAATGATTTTCATTTTTATTAAGAATTCAAATTGAATAATTAATCATAATTTGACTTTTCATACTTGATTATTTATATTTTTTATCTTCAATGGGAATTAAGAATTGAATAATTAACTAAATAATTTAATATTTATTGAAAATATTAACAAAAAATATCCAGCTAACTAATTTTTTAAAATTTTTATTGAACGTTGCAACCATATTATAATATCATCATAAATATTTTGTTTCATGCTGATTTAGGTATATTTTTTTCTCCTTGAATTTAAATTGTCATTAAACTTTCGGTTTCAGTTTGGTTTTTGAGTACTGACAATTCTAAATTGATTATATTTATCAACAGTATAAGGGGATTTCGATTCAGAATGCCGACACCAGCTTAGGATATTTTTTATTTTCCAAAAATGTTATGGTAAATCACAAACATAGATGTCAACATTTCAAATTGAGTAATTGACAATTTTAATTTTAGATATCCAACAATAGTTTTTTACATAATTTTTGATATTTTAATAATGTCAAAATATACTATTATTATTTTTAATGTTCCGATAACATCTGGGTTAATGTTATTTAGAGTTTGAAATAACGAATTATGACATATTATTTTATTTAACGTTGATGAATCATTAATAAAAAAATCGGCAATTGCAAATCAAACTAATTTTATGAACAATGACAAGTCAAATATATAAAATGAAATGTTATAAACATACTAATAGAAAGTACATTGATTATAAAAAGATTGTTAGTTTTTTCATCAAAAAATTTAACTAAGTAAAAATTCACTTTCTTCAAAAAAAAATAAAAAACAAAAAATTCACTAAAATTAGAGTTACAAATGAATGGTCTCAACGTTGTTTTTATAGGAAAAATTTCCATTTACGGTGTTCTTCTTATAGAAAATTTTGCATAACATGAAAAATTTATGTTACCCTTATTTAAATTCTTTGTGAAGCTTTTCAATGTGAAAAATTTTCAAGGTACCGGCAGACAAAATATAATTAGACATTTAATGTGACGAAATTTTAGAGAATGTGTTGTTTTATATCATTTTCGCTAGAAAAAATATATGCTCCTATAGGAAAATCCCACAATATTTTCAGTTTGACCACATTAAAAGTAATCCTTACATTCTTCGATTGAATATTTGAAAATTTGCATCATATGTAAATAACTAAAGGTGGTTTTTGAAAGGTTAAAATAAACACAAGTTTTCATATTTTCACAATTTCCAAACAATGTCAAAAAAAAAAAAAAAAAATTGAAATTTGCATCACTATGTAAATAACTAAAGGTGGTTTTTGAAAGGTTAAAATAACACAAGTTTTCATAACTTTCAACATTTCCAAACAATGTCAAAAAAAAAAAAAAAATAAGGGTTAGAGCATAAACTCATTTTTTCATCCATTTGTATTCCCTCCATTTCACCTTTCTCCAAAAGAAAGTATATAAAGTCTTACTCTTTATCTTCCTCCAAAAAAAAAAAAAAAAAAAAATAAGGGTTAGAGCATAAACTTCATTTTTTCATCCATTTGTATTCCCTCCATTTCAACCTTTCTCCAAAAGAAAGTATATAAAGTCTTACTATTTATCTTCTCCAAAAAAATATTTAAGGTTGAAACGTAATTTAAGGTATAAATTGATATTAGAGAGGAATTAATGATATATTAAGGATAAATTATGGAAAAATGACAAAAAAAGGTTGGTCAAACTACTTTCTTAATTTTGATGAAAATTTAATTATTATTACATAAAAAGAACTGAGGAAATATAAATCTATAGACACATATTTATTTCATTACCCACTTACCATTAATTACCACCTAACATCAGTAACTACCATTATTACCAGTCATATTTGGCTATCACCGCCAAATTCAATAGCTAATGACTACCATAATTTATTATTTTTATGAATTTTCTTACATTTAACAATAAAATTTTAAAATATTAAATTTCTATAATTTTTTAAATATTTTTATAAATTTATAAATTAACAATATTAATATAATAAACTAATTTTTAATATTGTAATCAAGTAATTAGATGACGAACTATTTTAAGATAAAATTATTTTTCAAAAGTAATAGAAGCTAAAGAATTTGAATTCGAAGAGTGCACAAGTAATTCATAATTACATACATCGGCCAAAAGTAGAATTAAATCTTTTGTAGATTATACATCATTAGCTTTAAGAGGCCACAAGTTTTGAAATCATGCATATGGACTAATATGAGCAAAGAGAGAGAAAAAAAAATTAATTAGGTGGTAAAAGGACTTTTTTTTTTTTTTTTCTGGGAGTCAAGAAAGATAATAAACCTATAATTTTATGATATGTTATGTAACATGTAATTTTTTTTTTAATCTTATGTTGTTTTCCATATCATCTTTCTATTCTCGGAAATATCAAAGTTTTTTTTTTTTTTATGTGTTTTTCCTTTTTTGTATTTTCCGGACAGGTCGTTATTGGAAGCACAGTTGGGAACGAACCCGAGTTATACATGGCGTAGTGTGCTTGCTGGGAAGGAACTGTTGAGGAATGACTGTGTAGGAATGGCAAAAGCACACTGTTTTTTTCGGATTCTTGGTTTCCTACTGTGAGTTCTCCTTATATTCTATCTCCTCATCTCACCGGTATGGCTGAGGTTTGTGTTGCCGATTTATTTCTTGTTGGGCAAAAGAGGTGTAGCAGGTTTTGTTTGGGGAAAATTGCTACTCCCCTTCGAAAACTAGCCACAGTGTCCGTTTCTTTTTGTGAAGAAATCAGCGAATCAGTCTGTTCATATTTCGTTTCACACAGTTATTTTTATGTCTGATTCAATGGAATGGAGTTTTATCCCACCATCTATTATTTGTGATGTGTTGCATTCTCATTCTAATAATGAATAAGCATATTCATGTTCCAGAAAAAATATATATGTTTAACGTGTTTTATTTACAATTTTTTATGTATATATTATTGATAAGTTTAGAAAATTACGGATAAAATTAAAAAAACGTTGTGTGTATATAGATATATTAAGAGTAATATCTTTATTAGAGAATTTTAAATAGAGCCTATTATGCTTTCTTAATATTTACATGGTGTGTAGAGTTGATTTTAATACTATATTAGTAAATAAATAAATTATTAAGGAACTAATTTCAAAGTTGTACTGAGAAAAATGAATATTTTAAATGATAAAATATATTTATTTAAATATGATTTATTTATAAATGTATAACATTATTCAAATAAACGTAATTTTTTGCAATTAAATTTTAAAAAAGAAAAAAAATCTTATTACGTAATTTTTTTAACATTATATTTTTACTTTTAGGTAAGTGATATTTAGATAAAGTTTGTGGAAAAAAATAATATTAAAATAAAATTCTCTCAAAAATCATAACCGTAAATTTCAAATATTTTATAGAAAAAATTGGCGTAAGAAGGATAAAGGTCTGTTTTGGCCCATTCATTGTTGGTCGGTGAATATTTAGCTGAATGCCAGTAATGAATAAAATGAAAAAAATTATTGAATACTAATAATTAAGAAGCGTGCCCACATTGATTTGATGCGATTAATTAAAGATTTGCTGAGATTTTTAACAGTAAGTTACAGTAGAATATTCTGTTGTGATTCTGTTTAGGCATATTTGTCAGCCTTTGCTACTGTATCTGAATTCTGACAAATGTTAATGGGAACGAGGTTTCTGATTTACTCCGTTTTCATTGTCTGAATTATTCCTTTATTATTTGTTAATCATCATCAAGTCAATAATAATAATAATTGTTGTTATAATTATCATGTCAACTCCTGCTCAAGTACTCACCTTGCCAACTGCCAAGGCCGGCCTGCACGTCGGGTTGGATACCAACCCATTCAATGTCCAACACCGTTAAGCTCCGTATAAATACAATCTATTTAATAATAATATCAAATATTAAAATATGAAATTCGCCTGAAAATCATACATGAGATAGGAACATAATATGTCTACCACGTTTAATTAAATATAATGATCAATCATAAAATTTAATATATCTAATTAAAATGATCGTATAAAAATGTTATATATGTTGAAAAATTTAATATGTATAACACACGGTTCACTTGATATATGTGCGCGCGTGCGCATGCATGTGTATGTGTCATATTGATAGCTAATATTGTAAATAATTGAAAATAATGACAACAATGATAATAGGAATCATAGAGCATATATAATAATTATAGAAATTATAATGGTGATGGACCACTGTGTGTGTGTGGCGAATAGGTTATTCACATTTAAAAAGAAAATACAAAAATTTGACTCAAATGTTGAATTTAATTTTTAAATTACTCCAAACATAAAATTTGAGTTTAACAAAAAAATTTAGAAATTCAAAAAGAATATCAATCACATTATTTAAAATTGAAAAGAAAAACAATAATACATTAAATGTTTTCTTTTTATTTTCACATTTTGTAATTTTTAAATTTATGATTAATGAATAATTTTTCTTATTTAAAAGTAAAAAAAAAAAATTAATATTTTATCATTTTTACAAAAAATGAAGTAAATTGATAATCTCTCTCTATATATTTTTAAAATACATTAAAAAGTCGAAGCATCAAACCAATCATTTATCCAAAACCTTTTCAAGAAACTTTAGGAATGGACCTTTTCCAATTTTATGACTAAAGCATTTGAATTTCTTTATATGCAATTCCTTTCATCATATTCTCTTAAATTAATATCCAATCTTTGTCTTAAGAATAAATTTTTACATAGAATAAAGGCATAGGGCTATCAACTGAAGCTCCCTATATATGTATATATCGTTAAAATTTATGAATTAAAAAAATAAATACAATATCATTAAAATGCATTAATTCAGTAAATTATTTATATTGTTAAAAGTTATATTAATTTTTAGCATGTTATTATATTTAATCAATTATATTTAATATACTTTATTTCAATAATAAATAATTATAAAATTTATTTTATTTTCCAATAAATATTTAACTAAGTAATTGCTATGAAATCCCAATAACATCATTTATCAATCATTAAGCACCACTTGTCAATCACTTAGAAACATAAAACTAAGTTATTACTTTGAAATTCTACGTGACAAATAATATTATCACTTGTTAATCGCTAAAATGGCACTTGTCAATCATTTTAATTTTGTAACCATCCATAGAGGAAAGAGGATTAAATGTAATTAAGCTTGATTAAATTAATTTATAAAATAAAAAAATTAATTTAGTTTATTTTGAAATTAATTATTACTATTATCATTATTATTCATAAAATACTGAAAAATAAGATTGCACTCAAAAGCTTTACTTATCTAAATTGTTACTAGTATTATTGTTGTTATTATTATGTAATTATATATAATTAATGTTTTGTTATTATTTGTTTTATTATCATTATTGCCAGTTGAAAATATTAAATGAATAAAAATTATTAATAATAAAAGTTATCCGTGATGGTGACTAATAAAATATAATTAACTCTAAGTGACTTTATAATTCATAATTAAAATTTTGAAAGATGCAAGGACTACTACTACTAATTATTATTATTATTATTATTATTATTTCATAATACTTATTACATTTTAGAAAATAGTATATTCCAAAATACTTATTACATTTATGGCTTCAGAAAGTAATAAATATTTTTTTCATATTTACTTTTTATATAAGACCAATAATTATTAATTCAATTTAATAGTTTTCTTAAAAAATTAATATTAAATTAAGGGCAATAAGGTCAATTTACTCAATGATTTATTATAATTTAAACAAATTTAATAAATTTTTTTAAAGGACGTGAAATTCCAAATGTGATAAGTACTATAGAACAAAGATAGTATGAGTTGTATCGAGACATACATGGTAATATGGCTATATCTATATATTAGTTGAAGAAATACTAAATTAGAATCATTATAATTCTGCGTGGCAATATAATCTTTTAGTTGATTAATTACGAGAGCTTTCTTACGAGTCTCATGCAGGTTTCTATTAGTAATTAATTAAATATTAAGATGTTAATTATTTGTCTATAGTGTGATACTGATAATTTATACACACATAGAAGATTTCAAAAAAAATAAAAAAAATAAAAAATAAAAAATCAAAATAGGGAGGCAGCTCCTTTTCATACAAGTAGAAATTAAAAGACGCCACCTTTATTATTTTGTTATAATTGTTACTAATTATATTACAAACACATTATTCAAATTTTACACACACACATGATGCCATCTTCAACATCTTCAATACGACTAGTTTCCCCAGCCAACTATAATATGCTTTTTGTCGTTTCACACACTGCATTAAATTTAACAACAGAAATCAAAATTAATTAATTCTCTGATATAATATAATATTTATTTGTATATAATTATAGGAAATGCATGCATGTGTATTATATTTCTTACCGATCATAGGCAATGTTAATTTTTCCAGCATCGGTGTTGGCAATGGAGGCAAAAGCTTCTTCAGACAAATCAATGGTGCCCCGACAAGCCGGGGAGGGACAATAGTCAACGATTTTGACCTCCACTGAGTTACCATTACAGGGGTGAGGATCGCCTTCATTGGTTGCGCTCAGGCATTTCACCCTATACTGTCTTCCACAGGCTGCTCTATTGTCCCATAGAGCATCACTTGCTGCTGCAATCATCACACCTTCTTCTGAATTTCCATAACAAGAAGATGCTGCATATAATATAATATATATATTGTCATGTAAATGAAAAATGAAGAAGAAAAGGAAAATCATCATAAGGAGCTTATTTCAAATTCTTCCATGTATCTATATATATGAAAATGAAAGGTTAAAGAATGAAAGCTTATAAGGAGCTTACGGACGTATGGAGGAGTGTAGAAGGTAGCAGTTCCTTCATCTGCCATAGCTTCTTCCGAGAAGAAGAAGCAGAAGGCTAAGACTAGGGTTGTTATGAAGAAAATTTGCATATGGTAGAGTTTTGCCATCACTTAGTTTTCTTTAGTTAAAAATAAGTATATGTGCAAGTGCAATATATGCTCTCCTCATGGATTGGCTGCCATTTATAGAGACGTACTAACGTATTACACATGCTAGTTTTCTTTTACTTAATTTGTAATTTGGACATTGGCAATCTGGATTTGAGGCTCAAGACAACTACTTTTCGACATGAATTGAAAAGTATTAATTTTGATTTTATCTGAAATTTTACATATTATTATTATTGATTCTGAATTATTTCAATTTGTGAGAACAGATAAAATAAAATGTATAGGCCTTGTCTGACAACATCTTATATTTAAAATCTAACGGTTAACAATTATTATAATAGTTAACAGCTATTAAAATGGCTAAGATCGTCGAACATGGTCATAGTCAAGTGAGGATATATATACGTATAAAAATATTTTATTTTATTTTATAGTTATGTTTATTCATTTAAAAAAAATTACTAATAATAAAATTTTGGAAGGCTAAAATATAAATCATATAAATTATGGACTTTATAAGTCTAAATTATTTATTTTATTGTGTAATAATTTGACTGAAAATTCAATAATTTAATTATGTTTAATTCTCACAATATCAAACCTAAAATGATTTTTAATATTTTAATATTAATATAAATTATCTCCTTCTCAAAACATATAGAATTTTTTTTAAAAAAATGAATATTAGTAAAATTTGGATTTAATGGCCATATAACTTGTAGAATGAAAAATTATATCAGCTTTGTATTTACTTTTGGCGGGGAAAATGGTTTCTTCCGTTAAAATGGTAGGGAAATTTAATTGGTGATCTGAGTCATTGACATGGACCAATAGCATTTATTTAAATTAGGGTGACTCTTTTAATTTAACCTTTTGCAATCATGCAATAATTACAATACAAAACAAGCAAATTTTTGAAAATGAAGGGCTTGTTTTTTGGTAAGCAGCAAAACACAAAACACAAGAACCGAAAAGGACTAAATCGAAATGGGCCTTAACCGAACCTGCAATGGGCCTCTCGGAAAAAGGCACAATTTGTGACAAAAAGACTAGTATAAGAAGATAATATCAGTCTCATTAATCACATACAATTATTTCTAAGGGTAGTTTAATAAATTTAAATAATTGTCTTATGTGGTTTGATTTTTAATATATTAAAAACGGATCAAATTCTTAATCATATTATTGAAATTAATTATTATCATTTTACTTCAATTATATAAAAATATCTTTAACTGGATAAATATGAATTAGGGCATATTTGGAACCTCTTATCAGCTGTCTAAACAAGCCTTTGTCTTTCTACATTCTGATAATACAAAAAGAATGAATATGCTTTGATTTGGACTATAGTAAAATTTGCAGAGGGAAAAAAAAAATAAAAATCTGTTGCTTCTTCATATTACATTATTAAATGCAAATTGGGTTAATGAAGTCCAGGTTTTGGCATTTTCTTCTTGCAATTTCCGTACGTAGCCAATCAAAGTATATCCTTATACTAATTTAGTGATTTCCATTTTTGTTTATTAGTAGAAAGCAGCCAAAGGATATGATCTACCCATTTAGATTTTGACCCTATTTATAGGAATTTAACCCTATTTGTAGGATTTTTGTTTCACTTAGCTAACCATTCTTTGGTTGGCCATAACATGTTGCAATATAATTATACAATAAAGATGTTTGGCTCGAGTTGTACCTTATACAACAAGAATTTTATGATGTACATTTACTCGAATACCCCATATTGCATAAGGGCATGAGCGCAATGTAGGTGCTAAAGTAACTGTCGATCTTCTAGGCGGAGCTGACATCGTCGATCATGAAATTATGTTCACACTTTTCCTCCCTACCGTGACCCACTTTCTCTCCTTCCTCACAAAACTGTTGTTCATACTCCTGTCATCATTAAACCCGAAGCTTGAATTTTCAACGACTAAAAATCCATAGTCATATTCATCGAGTTCTAGAGGCAACACTTGTTCACTCCCAGCGACATCGTTTTCTCTATGAGCAAAGTTCGCGCGACCAGAAATTGAAAACTATACTGTGTAACTCTCCTACTAATTCTATCTTTTCTTATCTTCTCCAGTTTGTTTTGCCTACAAATTCAGCTTTTGTGACATCCGTTCCAAGCCTATTCACACTCGTCTGGGAGAAGAATCCTGCAATGTTAGACTCCTCATCGAATCTCCAGCATTTTTAAATGCATTGAAGATCTTGTGATCATCACGGTTGAGCACAAGCAATAAATCTAGAGGAAAATTGTGGATTTGGTCACCGTCACCGAGAAAGAGAAAATTATAGTTAGCGCACTGGATCTTCAAACTGTCGAAGCCGGCTAGAAAAGTGTCTGGACGGAGATTCTCGTCTCGTTTTCATATTTTGTAGGTATCTGAGGGAGTAATCTTCGCGATGAAAGGGATGACAAAGCTTTCGAAGTGAAAAGAAATTTCTATGTAAAAGTCTCGCATTATGCGAATAACCAAATAACAAAAAATTTAAGGGCATCGTGAACATTCTATCTATAAATATTCTAGTTGAGCTAAATTCAAGCCGACCCATTTAGCATTGCTCTGCGTTACTTTTAATGTAAATAATTATATTAAAAATGCATTTGATTATATTAGGTTTATATTTCACACCATTCATCAAACAAAGTCTATTTTTTAATAATATAAAAAATCTACCTTAAAAAATTAATATAAAAAATCTGAAAATTCAACCTCTATTAGGAATTTTTTTTAAAAAAAAATATTATCATAAATAAAATAAATTGTATTTACGGAATGAAATGAAATATTGAATAATATAAAATAAATTGTTATTGTGTTTCATCCATTTTCACAAAAAGCTTCATATATAAATATTAATCCATAAATAAATAAATTGTAATTTACGGGAATTGAAAATGAAATATTGAATAGATATAAAATAAATTGTATGTGTTTCATCCATTTTCACCAAAAAACTTCATATATATATATTATATAATAATATATATATATCCGAACTTAAAATTATTTCATGTTTTTTGGGGAATTCAAGGCTAAAATTGGCCTAAAATTTTAAGAAAAAGCGAAGTTTCAGCCGAGTCAAGCTGCGGGTTTGTATATATCCGAGCTTAAAATTATTCATGTTGAATTCAAGGCTAAAATTGGCTAAAATTTTAAGAAAAGCCGAGTTTTCAGCCGAGTCAAGCCTGGGGTTTGAACTCAATGAGCCGAGTCAAGCCTGGGGTTTGAACTCAACTTGGCCAGTACCATAGTCCATAATTGAAACCTTAGCTATGACCAGCCAAGACATCAATTTTATTCACAGGAAAACCCAAAACATCACCTCACAGACACATCAATGTCATATTCATACCAGAGTGATGCTCACATAGTCCAATCAGTGAAAGTTCTTTTACCTTCTCTACACTCAATCAAAAGAAGCAATCAATTTCCACTCAAATAATGTGTATATTTTCCAGCATTGAAATGTTCACTGATGCAAGTTTTTCTAGAGCAGACAATAATACAGATCAAGATGTGGAGACTCCATTAACAAGTAACAATATTAAAAAGAAGGGGGAAAAAATATAAAGAAAATTATGAGATTTACATCTTTTTGCTCCCACCCTGTTCTAGGATCTATACATACAAGTGGGGATGGAGGCTCCTTTTAGTACTGTACATGTACTCTGGTTCTAGTCAAAGTTAAAATATTAAGTTGGTTAGAAATAATTGCCCAAACCTGCATTTCGCCATTTGATCAAGAATCTCAAAAATCCAAGGAAACCATCATCCATCATCCACTTACGGCCATAGTACACCAGCAGATGGGTGAAAATTGCTGGCGCCACTCGACCTAATAACACTCTACAATTTTAGATTTGCCTAGTTTGCAGGAGGAGGCAAGGAAGACATGGCTATGAGTCTGAGATTGGTTTAGCTTTGAAGAACTTGGCAACTGCCTGATAGAGATTTTCTTCCTCAAAGGGCTTTGATACATATCCATCCATCCCACATTTCAGGCACTCATCATATGTTGCATGTATCACATCAGCAGTCATGGCTAATATTGGTATGTGCCACACGCCCTTTCTAGCAGTTTCTTCTACCATGGATTGACCATTTATCAGATCATTTGCCTGGCTCTCCATCTGCCGGATACGACGGGTTGCCTCAAACCTGGAAAGAGTATTCAAGGGGAAACCAAGTCATATAAAAGTAAGCCAAAAGCACTTGTTCTAGCGTTCCAAAGGCATGGAATTAAATTTTGTAATACTATAATTCTTTAGGTTTCAAGAATGCATTGCAGGATGAAATAACCAGTGAACATATAGACAAATCTTGAGAACTCACCCGTCCATTTCTGGCATCTGAATGTCCATGAAGCATGCATCGAAACTGTGTGGTAGTTGAAGCAATTTCAGCGCTGCTTTGCCACTGTCAGCACATTCTACATTAGCTCCGAACTTCTTCAATGCACCTGCAGCAACCCTGCGGTTTACCATATTGTCATCGACCACCAGAATTTTCTTGCCACAGAGTAGACTTCTAACAAAAGAAGATCCATTAGGCATATCTTGTGACCTCTTCTTCCCCATTCCTAGCACCTGTTGAAGACATGCAGCAATCATACTTGCTCTCAAAGGTTTCATGATCACAGTATCTGCAAAACCTGCTGCTTTTGCCTTGTTAAATTCTTCACTAGTAATATTAGTAGCAAGAAGTATTGTCTTAGACAACTTAGACATATGTCCGTTCTGTTTCCAGTCCAGCAGCCATACATCCTCTCCGGAAATCCACAAGTCCTTCTCAACTAGAACTATATCTGGCTGGATACTGCTGTCATTTAAAATGAAAAAAGTAAACATAAATTTATTTTATTGATTCCTTGAGAAATCTTATTATTGGTCATCTTGCAGGAAAAATAGCTAGCAGACCCAGTCAACTAGCCAACTAGCTGCATGGTCCAGGTCTACAGTAAAATAGAACTTACATTTATCAATCTGTAAAATAAGTACAAAACTAAAGTCCTAATAGGATAAAATCCAACTAAGCCATGATCCCAATGTAGTTAGGACCGCTATGTGGGTACTTTGCCTCCACTCGAGCTTGTTTAGGACAATTCTCAACAGGATAAATTACTGTGAAACTTGTAAGGCAAAATGTGCACTAGGTCTTAGATTGTTCTATTTTGTTTTTAAGTGGTTTCAACTCTGAGGTCAATTATGGGGGAGAGTGTCTTATGTAGGATGGAAGACTTCAAAGAAGCAAGAGAAAACTTATGTAGGAAGATAATTTGGAACACATGTTCCCCTTCTAAAGTTGCATTTTTTTCTATAAAGTATACTTGGGAACATATTTTGACAATTGCAAATCCACAAAATGGAGAAAAATTTTGGTGGATGCATCTTCCAGGTTGATATTCTTAATGGGGTAAAATTAGGAGATTCCCTTTCTTGTAAATGACATACTGGTTAAGCTTACAAGCCCCTGCAAGGACTTAGTTGCAGTTAAATCTTTTGTCATTTTATTTGAATCTTTCAATTTCTTATCACAATTAAAAATATCTACGAAAATAAATTGATGAAGAACTTACCCAGAAGTCAGAGAACCATTTTTCCCGCAAGCACTGGCAGCTGCCTTCAGACTACTTGCAACTTCAGCCACGATACCAAGCCTCTTCAAATGGTATCTGGTTACAGCAGCCCTCACTGGTTTGCCATCAACTACTAGTGCTTTCAATCCTCTAAAACTAGAAGGAAGATCTTCAGAATTACGCTTTTCCATTTTGTTAAATGTATTTTTCTTGCACCTTCCGAAAGCAGCAGTGAATGAGAATGTGCTTCCAACCTGAGGCCGGCTAGTAAAGCGAATATGACCACCCATAAGCTCGACCAGACATTTACTTATGCTCAAGCCAATACCAGTTCCTCCATAATTTCTAGAGGTTGAACTGTCTGCCTGCATGAAGGGCATGAAAACACGATCTTGAGCATGCAAGGGGATTCCAATTCCTGTATCCTCCACAGATACCATTAAAGTAACACTCTCAGAAGCTTCATTATTAGTCAGTACATTTAGCGAAGCATCAGACTGGAATCCTTCATCTGCAACTAAATGCTTAAAGGCTTCCCAACTGTTCTGGTCATCAGCTGCTTCATAACCACTTAAGGTTTTGAACTGACAGGTACCAGATATACTTTCATTGGATCCTCCATTCAAACAACCATCAGCTTTTGCATGTGTTGCAGCCTTAGCATGCTCATCCAGGTGAACTTTAACAAATATATGGCCTCGTTCAGTGAACTGTCAAGCATTTGGTTACATAAATCAACTATGTAAAGCATAAATCCAAAGACAACAAAGAAATACGATCATTGTATTACAAAGACACATGTCGAAAATCACATACATGGCAAAAGACCACACAACTCATCTATATAGTTACTCTAATGCAACTGAAGCAAATTATGACCAAGAAACATGTTGGAAAAAAAAAACTGTATGGCAAAAACCACACAACTTATCAATCCACTGACCTTGACAGAGTTCCCAACAAGATTTGTAATGATCTGTCTGAATCTCCCTGGATCCCCAAGAACAATTTCTGGAACTTTGTCAGAAACAAAGACAGACAGCTGTACTTCCACATGGATTGGCAATTGAGTTGTTTCGATGAGACAACACATTACAAGTGCCACATCCATTGACATTGATTCAAGAGAAGAAAGACAAGGAAAAGAAAAAAATGTCAGTTTAAATGAGATGAAACAATCTGACAGTTCACTTTTTATAAAATTAAATTACCATGTAAAATGCTGCAACTCGAGCAAGTTTTATGTCCTTTACAGGGCAAGCACTTCAACTAAGAATACAAAATAAAACTAAATCTTACCTTTTCTTATTGTAAATCTATATGACTTACCTCAATACCCTTGTTTCTGGACTTCTCAGAAAATAAAGAAAGAACATCATCTAGTATGGATCGAAGGTCAAATGGGACAGCTTCAAGCTCTAACTTGCCAGCTTCAATTTTTGCACAGTCAAGCACCTCATTTATTAAAGCTATCAGTGCCTTTCCACAGATTTGAGCAGTTTGAGCATAATCCCTTTGTGTTGAGCTCAAATCTGTATCTAGGAGTAAAGCAAGCATTCCTGCAGTCGTACACGGATTACATAGTTGATACAGAGGTACAGGCATCTAGAGTATGTTTATACTTCAAAAGAAAAAGGAGAATATGTTCCTACCAAGAATACCATTCATAGGTGTTCTAATTTCATGAGATACAGTAGCGAGAAACTGGCATCAAGAACACAAATCATAATCAGGTCAAAAGATGCTGCAATGTAGGAATGAGAAATTAAATTGTGCTTCTCAATTATGTTTGAATAAACACCTGGGATTTAGCAACATCAGCAGCTTCTGCACGTACTTTCAGCTCCTGCATTTCATGAAAATCATCCTCAACTTTTACAATATGAATTGCTGCGCCATACAAGATATACCCCACTAATAAGCCAATCACGAAGAATAAGAAAGCAGTGGTAAGTGCTGTCCATAATGTTGGTGCCTTCTCATGATACCTGTTCAAAATCCAAATCAATAAGTAAGTGCGTGCTGAAAGCCTAAACAATTTCACTTGTGAAAATATTAATCAGTTAATTAATGCACTTACCTACATATCATCTGATGCTTCCTGAAAGGATCTCCAAAATCAAGCTTGCTTTCATGCACAAGAGACATGTCACCATCTTGATTTTGGTGACCATACATTATCAAGTGATCAGAAGAGTTAGTTACATCATAAACATTCACCAAAATTGCCTGATTCCCAGCAAGTTGTCCAAGTAAATTCTCCACAAGGGACTCAACATCAAAGGCTCCACCAAGGTACCTGCTTTCAAGTAGAAATCTACATTATACGTCAATGCATCAAAAGGTTCCACATTAATAAGCGAACTGATCAAATTAATGACTTTTACAGCTAAGTTCACAGGCAGTAACCATAGCTAAAATGGCAAACTTTTTAGTGTATCTAAATCAGAATTCCAGCAGTGATAAAATTAAAAGTTGTCTCACTTACCCGGCACTTGCTTCTATACGTTGAGCCACTGTGGGGTTTGGAGGAAGCTTGAACTTGTAAACAGGGAATGTTAGAACCACACCAAGATGATGAGAACCTAGCAACCTGAAGGGGCTGGTCAACACAGCTTTCCCTGTAGCTCTAGCCTTCAGTATGTTTTCTCTGTCCTCCTACATGCAGAGGCGACATTACTGGTTCAATCCCAATTAAACACCAGATTATATAATAATATCAGAACTTAAAACAAGATAAGCAAAAGGACAAGACTGAATTCATGAACCGTGAAAATTAGATTTACCTCCCCTGACATCATGTCAAGAGATTCAATGTAGGATACAGTTTCTTGGGAAAATATCACCGGCGCATACTCATCTCGTGTGGGTGAAGGCTCCCTCTTCATCGTCTTTATTGTCCATCCGTGTTGCCTCTCAAATTCATCCCTCTCTGAGTCGATCACTCTCTGAGCATAGGCTACCCCACTCAACAATGGCCGTTCAAATGATGTTCTAGCCGTGTATTCAGCAAATGTTTCCTATATTTTGCAAGAAACGCAACTTAAACATATATAATTAGAGAACAAAGAACAAAAAAAAAAGTTTCAAGTTCCCTTGGAAAGAAATTTTTACGCCCTATCGATAAAAGTAATAAAACCCATTTTATAAATTTGCATCTCCAAAGTAAAATGGTCGCAGATCAAAAGTTTCAAATTTCATTTAATTTCATCCCTCAATATTATCATAAATAAATTACATAAACAACTTCTTTTAAAAAAAAATCCAAATATGAAAACTCCAATACCGTTATTAAGCTAAATCAAATTCTTCAGTTATGTCAACCAAAAGAGAACAGCAGCAGAAGTAACATTTATATTTATATTTTTTATTTTCTCCTCATTCCTCTGCAACCAAGCAGAAACTTTACCACCACAGCAAACAGGAATATATTAAATAAAAATAAATAAATAAATAAAGGTTTCAACAAAAGGAAATGGGCACAAACCTGATCGATTGCAGATGGGTTCTTGTTGTAATGGAAAGTGGATACAAGAATAGCAAGGGCATGGACATGATTAACACTAACACTAAATTGATCTTGCAACATTCTTGCCCTTTGATCACACATGCTACCTAGCACATCCCTTCTCCTTACTTTATTATCAGCATCCATCCCATTATATATCATCCAACTAATAAATGCCATAAGCATAACCCAAAGCAACAAGAATTTAGGAAGCCAAGCCCTATGGGCTTGTATAAATGTGTACCCTCTTTTTGTCCCCATCTGCTGCTCATTGACCTTAACAGCTACTGAGTGGTGGTGATGATGGTGCTGGTAGATCTGCTGTAGCTTAACAGCCATGGAGAGAAAAAAAATACAAGAACTCGAAATCTTTCCCTGCTTCTTTTTCAAGTTGTTGGGTCTTCTTTCTCTTTGTTTTCTTGTTCTTTCTGTGTTACCCAGTTCATATCCAAGCAAGAAAGTCTTCAAGAACGCATGTACCCGTAGACATGTATACTAGGTGGATATATAAGGAAGCTCCTTTAGCTCCTTTAAAGGACTGGCAATTTTGCAGGTACCCTTTTTTCTGATATAGAAAGAAAAGGGTACTGCTAAGCTTAACTAGAAGTAAATTATCATGTGTAGCATTGTTTTGCGCGAATCAAGCGAAGCAGAAAAACATAAACAAACATAAAAATTGAAGAAATAAACAAACTTAAACTCTCCTTTTACAAACCCATTTGAAGAATCAAAAGGGGAAAAGACCCACGATTTGAAAAACCAAATAAAAAAGAAAAAGAAGAGTTACTCAATTGTTAGAGACAAGCATGGCTCTCAAAAGATGCAAAACAGCCCAAATTCCAAAAACTAGTCTTTCTTTTTTTATCTCTGTCTTAACAAAGAAAGATTGTTTGCTATAAAAATAGAACTGGATAGAAAGAACGACACTAATCATTTTTATTTTCAAGCGTGAAAAGAAAATTAGTTTGTTTTTGTTTAAGCAAGAAGACAAAACAAAGAGCACGTTCACTGTTCTTCTTTGATTAACATTTATTATAAAAAAAATCAAGAACGAAAAGCTTGACTAAAGAAACACACACAGCGAAGCACAAGCAGGCAAAATGCTTTTAGTGAGAGAAAACAAAAAAAACAAAACAATGGTTACCTGTAGAGAGGTGGAGGAGAAAGAAAGAGAAGAAGAGGTTCTTTGAATAATAGCAATTAGCAAGAAAGAAAGAGTTTAGTTTAATTAGTTTAATGTAATTAATATAATTAATATAGTTTATATATATACGCTTTTATCTGTCCTTTGCTTTATAAAGCAAACTGTATCGAATTTTTAGGATTTTTGTAGATACGATGGTGTCCTCTCTCTCACACAAAATCCATTAAACTATGACTTTCTCTTTCTGTAATACTTCACTTCCTCTTCTCTTTCTTCTCTGGCTTTCCTTTTTTTATTATTATTTCTTCTCTTCTTTGTCCCCTTTGTTTTTTCATTTTTATTACTTGACATTGACACATAGACATGTAATTTTCTTTTTTAATACTTCTAATTAAATATAATAATAATTGGCAAGATCAAAATTAATATATAACAATAGATGTTATTATACGTAAATGAGATTAGTAATTTAATAATGCAGTGAGTTTTTTTTTTTTTTTTAGTTTTTTTTACTTGAGTTATTAATTATACAATGCTAAATCTGCTAAAAGGGCAAAATATATAATATAAATTTTTAGTGGGAGCTAAAAATTTCTTTTTTTTATTTCAAAAGGACTTTCTTTTTTATTAATTGCTATTATAATGTTAACTAGTCATTTAAGTATTTATTTTGTAATATTAATTTTTTTTCTCTCATTTTAAGGAAAAAGTATAATACTCACTTTATTTTAATACTCCAGTTTCATTTTTGTACGAAAATTAAAAGAACTTTTTTGTATGAAATAATTATTATTAATGTAATTGTTCTTTATTCTAGTAAAAAAATAACACATAAATTAATGTAAGTATTTGATGAGTATTATTTTAAAAATAAAATATTAATATTCATAATTAATTAAAATAGAAAACTAAATAATTAATATGAAATAACTCAAATTAATAATAAGAATTGTTATTTTAATAACAGAGAGGTTTTCTTTTTCAAGTGGAATGAGCAAATATGATTGACGATGACGTTTGTAATTATGGAAACAAGAAACATGAAATTGACTGAATGCATAGAACGACCCAGTTAGATTCCAAAGGAACGAGTTGGTATTTCAAGATCCAGCTTGATTGGGTTTTGAAGAATTTATTTTTTAAAATAAAAGATTAATTCTTCTTATTATTTTTTCATAAAGAAAAAATATATATATATTTGTTTCAGATTATGAAAAATAAAAAGAAAAGAAAGGTTCCTGGGCTATGAAAATCACTATCACATATCTTAGCGAAAGGGACACCAAGACAAGGAATGGATCTCATTCCCACCTAATTTACCTGTATCCCCACCTTTTTCCAACTATATTTCCGTTTCCATGCACCCCTCTCTCTCTCCCTCTTTTTATTTTATTTTTGATTTTCCTCTCTTTTCTTTTATTTTTATTTTCCAATGGAAATAATTAAATTAATAAAAATAAGAGCTCTAACCGTCTCAATGGCTTATAAGAAACAAATATTAATCAAATCGATATAAAAGAATGCGGCATCAAAATTGACCGAGGATGAAATTTAGTCTCGAGTTGGCTCAAAAATACGACTATAAATTTGGAAAAATAATTATTAATTTATATGTTTTCGTATAATATTGTCATTAATTTTTGAATATTCTAAATTTAGTAATTTTAATTGTTGCATTACCATCAGCCCAAAATGTAAGATGTGAAGATTTAAAGTATTTTCTAATAATTGAAAATTAATATTCAAGAAATAAATCATGATTCGATATAATCAGCATGGAATTACAACTAAAGTTTCAAATTGAGGCTTCAATAGCATAAAAATTTTTTACATAAAATCGCAACTGCTTAAAAAGTTTACGCTTAGATTAATAAATAAAAAATCTTTGTACTTTACAATTATTATTGTATCTAAAATACATATAATAGGGAGTAGATAAAATCAAGAAGATAGGAATTCACTTTTTTTTTATTGGAAAAGATGATTTGAATTTGGATATATTTTCAGGTTGGAAGATAGAAGTTGACTTTCAACCTTTATAATATTTTATAATTATTACTGGATCAAGCATGCATGAACTATATTGTTCAAAAATGTTGATTTAACAGAACCAATAATGGAGAATTTCCGGGCAAGTCAAAAAAAAAAAAAAATCATCAATGGATGCGACTCTTTGAGCAAGAATTAGCAACACAATCAAAATATATATATATACATAATTAGAAATTAAGTATGACTTTTTAATTTCTTTCTTCTTTATAATTTCAATAATAATTCACAAACTTTTTTGAAAATAAATAAAGTGTGAAGAACTTTTGTTGACATGTGAAATGGCAGAATCTTAGAGGAATCTTTAGATCTACAATAAATGGTTTCCAGCTTTGGCAGCTGAATCTAACTTCCAATTGTTTACTCACTTGATTCGGGAAGTTTTATATGCTTCTGTATAATGATAGTAGTAATTATTGTTTATATGCGTTTTATCAGTAAATAACTTGTCATTTATAGATATGTATTGTAAGATAAAATTTTAAAATTTTCAAAAAATTTCTTAAATTTTTATATTTTAGATTGAAGGATAATTTTTTTTTTTTTTGATTGTATGATAAATTTGACTCGTCATACCAAAACAACAATAAAGATAAAATCAAAATTCCTATTTTAGTGAAGGGAAAAAATAAAAATAAATGGAGATCCGACCCAGATTCATGCACCTGAGCCAACCCTCACCAGATGTTATGCATGTGCATGAGAAGTTATCGATGAAAATTAAATTATATATATTCAAAAAAAAAAACTGTAAAAACCCATTAAATAAATAATGATGAAATGTTTTATGTTATCGACAAATATATTGTTTAATAACTTATGAATTTATTAAAAATCAACTGAGTCCTCACTTATTTTAGTTTGACTTTTTTTTTCAAAAAAAAAAAAAAAAAAAAGTATTTATAGTGCTGGTAGATTGAGAGGGATAATTGTTTGGTTGTATTGTTTTTTGAATGTTGTAAATATAAGATTTGACTCGTCATTGAGGCAAAATACAACGAGATACAAGATAGAAATCGAAAATTCCGGTGATGGTATTAAGGTGGAAGAGGAATAAAAATAATTGCAAAGTAAATGGAGATTCCACGAGCTCAGATTCATGCACTGAGCCAATCCCTCGACCAGATGTTATCCGCATGTGCATGAGAAGTTAATCGGATGAAAATATAAAACACTCATCATACTCACTTCCAAAATAAAAAAAACTGTAAAAACCCGCCATTAAAATAAATAATGGATGAAGGTTTTAATGTTATCGACAATATTAGTTTGTTTAATAACTTACCTGAATTTATAAAAAATCACTGAGTCCTAACTTATTTTGAGTTTTTGAGCGCTTTTTTTTTCCAAAAAAAAAAAAAAAAGAGAAGAGATAGAATATAAACTAAAATCAATAATGGGGAAATAAATTGATGCCAGAAAGAAGTTAGATAAATTAGGGTGAGGAGACAGAAGAGCCGGTGCATAATGAATGTCAAGATGGGCGCAAGAGAAGGGAAACACAAACATAAGTAAAACCTAAAAAGGAGTTCACCAAATTGTAAAAATAGGATTTGTGAAGGAGTATTTATTAATAGTATGTGCGGTTTGACTGGATATCTTTTTAAAGATCAGAAAGGGCCAAAGGAATTGATTTCTCTTTTGATGGGAATGACGTGGGAGATTTTTATGGGGGGCCATTCTCTATATTACTCTCTACTCTATGTGGATGGCCAACAGGGACCTTCTTTCGCTGTTAACCATGGTCTGCCCTTACTCATTTTATTAAGCTATCCAAAATTAGTTAGAGCCTGTCATATTCTATATTTTTTTTTAAAAAAAAAAAAAAAAAAAAGAGATAGAAATAAATAAATAAATGGGAAAATAAATTGATCCAAGAAGTTGATAAATTAGGGTAGGAGACAAGCGTGCATAAAATGTCAAAGTGGGCAAGAAAGGAAACAAAAATAATAAAACTAAAAAGGAGTTCACCAAATTTGTAAAAAATAGATGGTGAAAGTTATTTAATAGTATGGCGGTTGATGGATATTTTTAATGAAAGGGCCAAAGGAATTGATATCTTTTGATGGGAATGAGTGGGAGATTTTATGGGGGCCATTCTCTATTTCTCTTCTACTCATGTTATGGCCAAAGGGACCTTCTTCCTGTTAACCATGTCTGCTTCTTTTTTAGCTACCAATATTGGAGCCGGTCATTTCTATATAAACATTGGGATGCTCAGTTCTATGAATTCCTTTTAGAGGAAAAATTAGGATGCATTCTAGTTTTGATTTTGATTCATGTCGTGAGATCTGATCCATTTTGAGTTGATTAAAGAGTGTTTTTAATATTTTTAAAACTATTAACTTAAAATTATTGTCAAAATGAATTTGACAACATAATTTAATCATTTTCGTTTTTATTTAATTAAAAAATTATTTTTAATCTCAATATTAAGTGAAAAAAACAAAAAAAAGAGAGAGAAAAATGGGTGCCACTGAAAGTGTGAGTATGATGTATGTATGTGTCGGCCATGTGGGGTGGTAGTGAAGCCCCACCGCAGAGGCATCACTTTCTTCTAAGGAAACAAAAGTCTTAAGTTTCTCTGTTGTGTTCAATAAATGATAATCATGTCCTCTTAGCCCCATCACCAGTAGCGAGTGACCACATGGCCAGGTAGTTGCTTCTTGCACCGGCACCAGCACCAGAGTTCCTGAACCTGGGTTAAACATTTCCTATAGGGTTTCCTTTGCATGCCCTGCTATGGCTCTTTTCTGGTCCCCCCCCCTCCCCTTTTCTTCTTCTGGGTTTATATTCATCCATGTGATGTTCTGTACTCCTTTCATCCAATGGCTGGAGTTTGTCCCATTAATATAAATTTTGCAATCATTATAACTTCCTTGCCATATGGCATATGGCAAGTGGGTTCAAACGTTCAAATGTTCAAAGCCAAAAATTCAGTTTAAAGAAGAGAGAGAGAGAGAGAGAGGGCAAAAGTTTTAAAAAATTAAAAAAATTTTGAACTTTAGACTAAAAATCTAATAATTTAATCCAAAGGGACTGTAAGTTACATAAAATTTTAAAATTATCAA